GAATTATACCTGTACTCCTTTTTTAATACCCACCTTCAGCTCTTACGCCTATATTACATTGTAATTTATACTATCTTGATAACTAGCTTAGGAAATGGCTTCAAATTGATAATAATTATTATAGTAATGTCAAGAATATTAGGAATCAAATGGTTTAATCTGCGTCTACAAGGACGTTGAGATATGATGGTTTGAAAAATAGCATTTTGTATGGATATTTTAGCTGGCCAGCTCGGTGATATGGCCAGCTCGGTGATAGATTACGTTATCCGTTTCAATGACTAAGCATCACCTGATTGCAGATCACCTGACCCGCACACGTCATGGCTGCAGCTGAATGCATCCCACTATCTTTTTCGTTCTGCTTGACTCAAATTTCGCTTTTTTTCTCGATTATACTCCCGCTGTTCAGTCGTTCTTTCGTTGTGTGGGTGCCGTAAAGGGTACAATTTGGATTTAGCCTACGGAAGAGACCCCTGCAGGCCCAGACCAGACCCTCCAGGATACCCCTCGACGCGAGTCTCAAAACCATGTTTCCATAATACTAGCAAGCCCATGAAGCCGATCGTTCAATTCACCCTCGTCCACTCATACCGCAGCTATGGCGGACAGTGAGGCCCAGGCCCGCTCGCCCTCACAGGCATCCTCTTCCTCCTCCCGCCCCGGCCAGAAAGCAAAGACCGTCCGTGCTTTATCCCAGAAACGCCATTCGACTTCGTCCAACACGACATCCGATTTGACTTCGTTTCCGTCGCTCTCGCCTGATCTTTCGCCGGAGGGGTTCGTCGGTGAACCCGCGCTGAATCGTTCGCTGGCTAATGCGTTGGTGGACGGTGATGGTGGTAGAGCTGCGGCGGATAATGGTGGTGGTGGGGGGAATGATATCGGGCGGACACGGAACCGGAAAGCTACGCTGGCGAAATTGACGAGTGAATCGCCTGCGTCGTCGGGTCGCGTGGCGTTGTTTGATGATTCGGTTGCGTTGAATACTGATGTCCCTGGTGCGTTGCATTTGGCTGATGATGCGCATATTGAGAGGTTGGTGGCGAGTAATGGTGCTGTGAAACTGGTAAGGCAGTTTGCGCGTGATTTGGCCCTGCGAGACGCGGAGATCTCAAGGCTGCGTCTGCGTGCTGATAAACGGGAACGGGAGTTGAAGAGGATGTTAAGGGAGGTTTCGGTGTCGAATCAGGATATTGAACGGAGGTTGTATGTGCTTGATCATCGAGACGATACGGCGAATGGAAGAGATAGTGGGAGTCACACCGACCAGGGGGGTTCGAATGGAATCGATGGGTTGATGCAGCAGGCCATGAAGGATGATGTTGGGTCGGAGATGCACGAGGAGGTCAATGGGCCGGTTACCTTTCGTCCACAGCATTTGGACAATGACGCGAAGTCGGGTGCGTCTAGCGAGTCGGGGATTAATCGGAAACGGCAGAGTGGTCGTGGCTGGCAGGATTATATCTTTGGAGGTACCACTGGGAGTCGGAAGACCTCTCGTGCTAGCAGTGTCATGAGTGATGTGGGGGACGTTGACGAGACGAACAAGCCGGTCCGCCGAAAGACGTTTGATGAGCAATTGTCCGGTGAACAAACAGGAAAGCCCGCCGGAGACGACTCGAGCACGCATTCGCGCAAATCTTCCAATTCACTGTCATCATGGGCTGCCAAATTACTGGTCGGGAATAACCAGGGCAAGGGAGATTCAACTGATCCTGGTCGCAGAGCACCGTCTGCGGAGCAGCCCAGAAACAGAGCTATTTCGTCTGCCAATGCACCAAAAGGAGGAATGACGGCGGTGGCAGCTTTAAAACGAATCAATAGCAATGCCCCTGGTGCTCCTGGAAAACCCAGTGTACCGGGCAGAGCCAATGCTCAAGCCCCGCGGAGGGCAGCACCAAGCGTTTCTCAAGGAAGCACCGAGACGGCCGATAAAACTTCGAACAATCTCGGTCCAGTGGAAATGGATGCTATTCTTCCCATGGAATCTCGACCTCCTACTCTGACGCACACGTATAACAATTACCAGCCAGGCGATCTGCTCACTGACAGATTCGGATTCATCTACGATCAACGGCGGAAGAAGAGACAGAGGGAGGCCAGGAGCAGCGACAGCCGCTTGAGTATTACCGAAACACTGAATAGCTTCCGAAGCGATTCTGATGGCGATGAGACGCCTGCAAGTCCCGGGCGCCCGCTTTCCTCTCCATCCCCTGAGGATCCGGATTCCGGTACGGTTCAGGTTCGAAAATGGCAGGATTACTTGAGGATCCCGTCAAAGCCGACGGAGTTACTGTCTCATACGCCGTCTGCCGGTCCTATCGTTGCGTTAACTACTGGCGATGACAGTCAACCACGCAGTGCTCCCTTCTCGGTGGACAAAAGTGGCTCTGTGTCGGTCAACCCTGTTAGGCAGCCATCAGCGTCTACCTCTACGGTGGTTGCAGATCGTCCAGAGTTTGCAGGGACATCTGCTGATGAACCGTCCGCTGCGGCTTTCGGGATGGCTATAAGCAATGAACAGGAGCCGGTCCGGCTACTCCTCGACCAGTTGACTGACCTCCATGACTCCTTGCAGCGTGATAGGACTGTCAGATGGAACGAGTTTCTGCGAAAAGTACGCGCCGAGCGGAAGAAGGAAGGCGAAGCAGCGGCCGCCGCAGCCGCAGCCGCAGACCGGCCGTTGCAGTTTATTGATACTCCCGAGGCGTCTTTGGCAGACGGGGAGGTCATTGGTATTGCTGGCCTAGGAAACAAAGGCAAGGTCGGCCGTGCCAAGTGGAAGGAGTTCCGATCGCTTGTCCTGGGCGGTATACCGGTTTCTCTCCGCGCGAAGGTCTGGTCTGAATGCAGCGGTGCGTCTGCCATGCGGATACCGGGATACTACGATGATCTTGTGACGGGGTCTGGAGGCAGTGATCCCGATCCGTCAGTTGTGGCGCAGATCGACATGGACATTTACCGGACGTTGACCGATAATGTCTTTTTCCGGATGGGACCTGGTGTTGGGAAGTTGAGGGATGTTTTGCTGGCGTACTCGCGTCGGAATCCGGAGGTCGGGTATTGTCAGGGTATGAACTTGATTGCGGCGTCGCTGCTTCTGATCACGCCTACTGCGGAGGATGCGTTTTGGATTCTTGTCTCGATGATCGAGGTTATTCTTCCGCAGCACTACTATGATCATGGATTATTGGCTTCACGTGCGGATCAGGTCGTGTTGCGGCAGTACATTACTGAAGTTCTGCCAAAGTTATCGGCACACCTCGACGATTTAGGGATCGAGCTTGAAGCTCTGACGTTCCAATGGTTCCTATCCGTCTTCACCGATTGTCTCTCCGCAGAAGCCCTCTACCGCGTCTGGGACGTCGTCCTCTGTCTCGATGCTAGTGCAGTCACCAACAACCCAACCTCCACAACCCAAGAAAACGACCCCAGCACCAACGCCGCCAAAAGCATCGCCTCCGGCAGTGGAGGCGGCAGCACGTTCTTATTCCAGGTTGCTCTGGCCCTGCTCAAGTTGAACGAGCAGCAGCTGTTGACGACGTGCTTGACGCCTGCCGCGCTGTATACGTATATCAATCATCAGATGACGAACCATGCGATTAGTATAGATGGATTGATCCATGCCAGTGAGGCGTTGAGGAATGTTGTTCGTCGGGAGGATGTGGTGGGTAGGAGGACGGAGGCGTTGAGGGAGATGAGGGAGTTCAGCTAGTTCCCTCCCCGCGCTTTCTTAATCCTCTCGATTTAATTTTTCTGTCTTATCTATTTCCTATGTTCACATTCAGGTTCCCAGATCATGCCAGGAGTTCGAGTTCGATTGGTTATTATTAGAATGTTCATCTTGTGGTTTTTTCTTGTTAGGTTATGGGCAGGATTCTGGAGTCATTCCTTTTGATTGAGCATCAGCACAGCATTCATACAGAGATACCCCTCCTTTAGATTGATACAATGAATTGCAGTTCAGTGTACTTGTGTCTGGGTTGAGTGAATGTAAACTTCTGCAGCATAGCTTGATAGGCTGTTTGTATTCACTTCCTATCCATCTTTCTATCATCCATCTCCTGTTATCAGCGTGGTTTGCTACTACCATTTTCTTGTCTGGTGCTATCGTCTACCTTCGATCATCATCATCATGATCGTCAAGATGGCCATACAGCCTATCCCAGATTGCCTGGTTGATAAAAACAGGCAAACGAGAAGAAAATTCCATGGCAACATCAATGGAACAACCGACAACACGGCGTTGACGGTTCTCAGTACTTCCCAGACAGAGGGGCACGAAAGAAAGCCCGGGAGCATGCCTCTTATTATCTCTCAGGGTGTTCTTGCTGATACTACTTGTGAGTCTAATGCTCATAGTGTTTTTTGGTGATGTTTGATTTCCTGGATTCTGGGGTAGTGCTTATAGTGGATGTAAGTGGTGTGATGGCAGCCTTTATTGCTTGTTCTATAATGACAGTAAAGACCATTTCAACCTGGATGGTATGAAGGTAGCAATTCCTATCCAGATCCCAGAAGGTACGGAGATCCAAAACAGCCGGGAGCCTACACTCTTTCTTTACTGGCGATGTTTCTGCCAGCATTTCATCTCCCCCTAGGGGTCGTGTGCTTTATGTACCAGTTATGCTAAACATTACCATCCAGGCTACATACCAATTTGACAAAGCTCGGTCCGAATCCTTTGTTCGCGGACAGCTCTTCGCATCTGTACGAAGATTACACACTCCCGAAGATACCGAAAAGAATGAAGCTATACATTTCCACTGGTTCTGTCCTGGACAAAATCGTTTCATCAAATTGAGTCCAATGGCAACGGATAACAGGTTGATCCAAGCTGTGAATCACATCTTGGCCATGGGCCGATTTACTGGTCTTGAATTTTTTTCGATTACAGTCTGGCAATAGTTATAGCCAATGCAGAACGATCAAAGGGCTGTGTGACGGGGCTTGCACTTCATCCAGATGCCATCTAATCATCGTGGAAGCGAAGCTGAGTGCTATCAACAGCCAAGTAGTGAAACTTGACTCAAAGAAGGATGTGATAAAGCAGAGGATTTCAGTCAATCTGCAGGATATGCTAAGCAAACAGGGCAGATCTCATCAAACCACACCACTGGTCTCAGTCGGTCCTAGATCTCGGACATCCAAACCGTTTCTCCGTGCTTGTCTCATAAAAGCCATTTACTGGGAGACCATAAATACCTAACACTACCGCGATCAATAAAATTCTTGCTATCTGTGCAAGTTTGTATACGATAAGATTTGCGACATCATGAGCAATCAATCATAGCTAACTATCGCAGATGGCGCTTAGTGAGCACAGGGACGATGAAACAAAAAGAAAAACAATCAACACTATATACTGTGACAAGAATAGCGCTCTCACCTATGAAGCGAGTACTCGATCTCTTGGTGAAAAACCATCTAATCCGCATTTTCGGACCAGAAATAGCAAGACCGTTTCTTCTAATTGAAGGTGCTGAGACTTTTATCTAACTCGAAATCCATAAGGATTCAACCTATGCCAGATGTCGTGCGCAACGCGGATGCAAAATTTCGCTTTCAGTGGACGAGAGACAGCATTCCCAGCCGGAGTACGAGGACGTGATGTGTTTTAGCCATTGACTGACTACTCTGGGCTATACAGTTCGATATTAAGTTGGAGATAGTCGGTTTCCCCCCTAACCAAGTGGAAGTTTATTGAAAATGGTCCTGTATGCACATTCAATGTGCGATCATATCGGTAAGAGAGAAGACTGAGTGCTGTCAACAGTCAAGTATTGGAACACGACTACGCAGAGATTATTTCCAAGCGCTTATCAAAAGACGATGGGAGTGGAGCCAACCCGCCAGATATTGCGAGCCACAACATGGCTAAATTTATCGAACTGTAATGGGAACAGTTCACCATGAGCAAACCGCTCTATCAAACAATCTACAAAGCCCGGCACCAGTCAGTCTGAGGCCCTCGGAAATCGAAACTGGTTCTCCGTGCTTGTTCCATGAAAGCTATCTACTGGGGAGACCACAACTACCTTACTCTACCACGATCTCTCGCGTTCTTGTCATATGAGCAAGTTTGTATACAATAAGAGTTGCTACACCATGGGCGATATAACTAAAGCAGATAGCACCCAACAAGTGCAAGTATGATGAAACGAAAAGAAAGAGCAATCAACGCTAACCCACTTCCTACGAGATATCGATCCACTCCGCATCTTCGAATAAAAGAAGACGAGAGCCTCGTCTCTTTTGATATCTGAAGGAAACTCGCAGTCCATGAAAGATGTAGTCGTGCGCCAGGAATATAAATCAACGCCTTCGGCCCCGGAACCGCATGGTGTGCTATTACCATACCTGGCTCATAACTGGCTCCCTTGGGAACATTACTGCCAACAGATGTATCACGCCCCTGGTGTTTTACCGATCCGACCATGAGGAGACTATAATGGTTGTGCTCAGCTAGTGCACACGAGAATTCGGACACATGCTACTCCCACACATGGACCTTTGGTCCGCATGCTAAAATGCTGGATGTGTTAGCAATTCTCCTCTGGATTGATAGGGCTCATATGTTCATGGCGGAGGGTTTAAGAGCACGCTGTGAATTCCTTTTCTCTGTTGACTGTGTCGCTCGCTTTGTGGTACCTAGGTATGCAGTTTGTTTCTCGGGAACACAGGTTATGGTGCCAAACATAGAGGACGCACTAGTGAGCCTTGGCTTTTTCATTGCTGTCAAACTAAGATGACATTTGAACTTTGGGGTTTATGCATAGTGATTGTCCTTGCAGGCATTGGGGCGGTGTTGAATTAATGTACTCCGGAATAGTAAGATTATGAGATCGAAGTACTATGTATTTATGTACACTTGCCAAAAGAGAGCCATTGGGTCTGAGCACAGTATCCCTTTCCATCCTTAACCCTGATTACCTAGTCTCTTTCATCACGGCGGATGCCACGTCATTTGTGGTCTTGTCAGTGTCACCCGAGCGAGGGTTCCGTCAACTGGGAGGTCTGGGAGGTGTGCACTCGATTATGCAAGGTGAATAAGTGTACTTCGAGTCTCGTAGTGATTCTTCGCCGCACGAAGTATGGCTGAGTGTCGGTTAATCCCCGGTAGAATTTCGGCCAGATCAATATCAATTAAATCAAATCCGGTAAGCTCATCTCGGCAGCGCATCCGGCAACCAAAACCGATTATTATCCAGCACCGTATTCAAATCCAACTGGTCCATCGTCGGCCGCAGACCCATATCCATAACATCCCTTGCAACAGCCTTGATTTGTCTCATGATGAGCTGTGAAATCGCCCATGTCCTCGCCAGGGACTTGAACACGCCGATTGTCAGCGTGAGTCTGTCACGGCCTGGATCGGGCATTTGTCCCGCCTTGACGGAGCATGCGGCTAGTTGCACGATGGAGCTGAGGACGAGCGCGCAAATGAAGAATGGGGTGTGTTTGACCACCGGCAACCGGATGGAGGCGAGGGTTGAGATTTCGCTGGCTGCTTTGACGGCTTTCATGGCGTGCGCATGGTGCGAGAAGGCTGGGATGCTGAGCGGGCCGTGGTGGCCGCAGATAACCTCCGCCGCGACGGCAGGCGAGGAGAGAAGGTCTGAGCGGGGGAAGTGTAGGTAGACACCTGCGCCATTGACTATCATTGTAGCTTGGAACATCATCTCATCGACTGAGCCGTCGGGTCGCATGAGTTCGGCTTTGCTTTCGGGGAGGTGGTGGAACCAGCTTGCGATGCGGGCGTCGGCGGCTTCGACGTGGTCTTGTTGGCCTTCAATCATTTCTTGGATAGCCACGACGCGGCCTAGGATGCGGATCGCTTCGATTCGGTATGTGTATGAGGAGAAGTCTCGTTCTTCGTCGGCGAAGACACGGCCGTCAAACTGGGCGATGGTTGGAGGGGTTGGGGGAGTCAGTCCATCCTGGAAGATCCGTTCTTCGCATGGCAGTCCGACTTCTAGTGGTATTGCGCCGGCACGGAGAGCCTTTTGCACACCGAGTGCGGTCAGCATGCCCTCGACAACAATAAGCTCCCACCAGGTCCGACGTAGACTCTCCTCGCGCAACGGATCCTCACCGCCCAGTCTGCTGGCACAGTCGGCCTGATGGAGTCCTAATTCGAATGCCATATCTGTCGCCATGGTGAGGCACTCGCCTGCCTCTGGCCGCTCGTTGCGCGAATGCAGCACGATTGCGAGCAGCAGGAGCGCCTGGATCTTTTCTATGCTTAGTTCTTGTTCCATCGCGGTCGATACCACAGTTGGACGGTATATCTCGCTAGACGCTGCCGGTGTAAAGTGTGACCCGATAAACTTGATGACATTCTCGAGAAACAGCGGTATTCTGGAACGGTCCAAACAACGAAACGGGCGTAGAATCGGATGAGCGGAATGGAAGTAGGTATAGTAAATATCAATCAGATACCCATCTGTAGCACCCGAGTACAACGACGCCCCAGAATCCGGCGTCATAGGTCCATATCCCGGCACCGGCTGCTGCTGCTGTTGTTGCTGGGGAGTATGTGCGCCGCCCAACACATCCGTCAAGAAAACCGGACTCTGCGAGCTAGACGACGGCGGCAAAGGAGCCACAGGGGCATATTGCATTCCACTATTTTGCAAACTCCAGTTCGGTGGAAGATCGAGCATCCCAACGGAGCTAGGGTCGAACGAGGGAACCAGATCGGTGGCTGTCTGTTCCGGCGTCGTCGGGTTGGCACGTCGCTTCTTCGAGGGGCCTTTGTAGCCGCGCCGGCTTGGGGTATACAGGCATTCGCTGTTGGTGACCTGGCAGCGTCCGCAGACGGGGGTTTGACCGTCGCATTTGAGATGCTTGTGTCGACAGAGGAGGCATGCTAAAAGCGATGGGCCAGAGCCCCTGGCGTTGGGATTTGTGGGATTGTTGGGATCGTCCATGGCGTAGACTCGATAGTACTATCCCTCAGGATGTGATCGCGCGAGTAAACAAAAGCGGTTCGTTGCAAAAGAGGTTCGTTAAGAAAGGATAGTAGTGGCCGTCGACGTAATCAAAACAAGCAGACAGTCGAGATCGAAATGACGCGAAGCAGCGAGGATGAGAGAAAGTGGGAGAAAAGCGACAGCCGAAATGAACACGAAGCAACACACTAAGCACGAATAATATAAACGACACGGAACAAAGAGAAGCACTGGCAAATGAAAAGAACCAAAACAATCGCAACAATCGAATCAATCGTTATACGGCCGTTAGGCGTGGGCCTCCGCCGGGGACCCAGAAACAAATCAGAAGCCGCGCCGTTAGGGACGAGTTTCGCTAAAAGCCGTAACCAGGGTTCAGTTACGGCTTAGCCAGCGATTAGGCATAGGCACTGCCCGGAGGCGGCTCATTGGGGCCGTGGTGGGAGGAAGAGCCGCCCGAGCTGAAAGGTGTCACTTTCGACACTACCAGCCAGCCAGCTTAATAGCTTAACAGCTTAACAGCCACCGCAAAGATATCTATCTACAAATAAAGAAGTGAGCTCTAGCCAAAGGTAAGTGCTTTTAAAGAGTCTTTGTTCGCGTCATTACTGTCCCTGCCTGACAGCAGATAGCTAAGTTCAGTACAGTACAGCTCCGGTCGACTCCTGTCCACCGATCCAACTCACTCCCTCCCTCCTATCAATCCCTCAAAACCATCCAATCAATACCTCAAAATGATCTCTGACAACGACCTCTACCGCCTCGCCCTCTTCCTCGGCACCTGCGCCATGATGATGATCGTCCTCTACCACTTCCTCGAAGTCAATGCCCACGACGAGGAGGCCGACGAGCAACCCCAAAAGAACACCGGATCCGCAGACAAGACTTTGAATTTGGGAATCACGAGCGACGGTGTGCCATTGGCTGCCGCTGCCGCTGCCGCTGGAGGTTCGGGTCCGTCAGCTATTGGAGGGGGGAAAGGGAGGTAATGGTGGATATACGGAGTATGGGGGATACACATGGATGTGAAGGGATGGTGTGTGGATAAAATGACGACTACGTGGTGAAATTGGCTGTGAGCACTGTTTTATATCCTATGGGTGTACGATACGTACGATACGCCTTCTTGACCTCTATTCAATCTCAATTAAATGCATGATATGAAGACTCCCCTAGCTACCCAAACGCCAGATGCCTCTGGGATCAAACAAAACACGCTTGACCCACGAAGTAAATATGCACAAGAGGGGAATATACGAAATAAAAGAAACGACATGGGTATCAAGACTCACTCTCAGACTCGGATTCCCGAGCAGGTCCATCTTCCGGCTCAGAATACAACTCGTAAAACTCCTCGTCATTACTGACTCGCTCATTCCGCGCAGGAGTTGCCAGCTGACAGCCTCCTGGGTCCAAACCCACTCCAATCCTCTCCTTGTGTCTTTGCACCGCCTTCAGGATCTCCCGGGCCTTGTCTTGTTGGGAGGTATTGCCGTGGACCCGGTTAAACGCGCGGATGGAGCTATAGCTAGCTGGAAGGATGAGTGAGTCTTCGCCTCCTGTTTGATTCGAATCCGGCGTTGCATGGGTTCCTGGGCTATTCTCGCCGGTTTTATTGTCCACTAAATGAATCACCATTGGTACACGTTAATAAGAGTTTTCGTTGTGATGAGAGCACGTTAAAACATTGCCACAGCTAAAGCATGATGTTTGTCTCACCAGTTTGGGGTACTGATGGTCCGTCTCCCAGCTTCCACGCAAGTGGATCGAGATGGTTGGATTTCACATGGTTGAACAGCTCCGCCGCAGCCATCGGATCGTTACAGTCGCATCCCGACCAGCTACACGTAATGGTATACGGGATATGCGACTTGAGAAGATGATGTCTAAGAAGCTCAAGGTTGTGCAATTCCGATTGACAGTTCTGCCATTCGCACGCATATACTGGATATGACACTGGCGGCGCAGACAAGAGAATCGACACTTCAACCTTGGGCGCAGACTTCTTCCCCGCCATCGTCTCAGGTTGCTTTGACTTCTTTGACAGTCTACCCTGTCGTGCTGACTGGGATGGCGTGGACTTGTTTGATTTTGCTGGAGAAGACGGTAGCTGAGGAAGCGATATGGCCTGCAGCTTCTGTGGTCGCGGTGACGGTTTCGGAGGTTGCACCTGCACCAATGGCACTGGTGATTGTTTAGGTACGGAAGCTGGAGTCTGTGGACGACTTTGTGGTTGCTTTGGCCTCGGCTTCTTCTGCTGCTGCTCCTGTTGCTGCTGCTCCTGTTGTTTTTGTTGCTGCTGTGGTTGCGGGACAGGAACCGAGACCGCGGGCGGATGCGAAGGCGGAGTAGGATGAGTCGTGGCTGCGATTGGCTGTGGTTGGTCACGTGGCGGTGCAGTGGGCGGTGGACGAGGCGGAGCGGCAGAATGACTGGCCGGATGTGCTTGCTGAGCGGGAGGTTGTCCATTGGCGATGGGAGGTTGAGTTGTGACCGGGGGAGGTGGCATAGGCTTGATGGCAGTCTCGGGATTCGTAGGCTGCGAAGGACGAACTTGCATGTTGGGAGTATCGACAATGTCCCAGCGAATGGTTTGCAAGTCGGCTGTGTTGTCAACCAAATTGAAGATGTCGCGCAATCGGGACAAATGGTGGTTCAGAGCTGGTTCTGTAGGGTGTCGGCCAGATGCCACTAAAATGTCTCTCGCGATGGTTTTTGGATCGTATGCCGTCTTCTCTGCGGCGTCCTTTTTGTCAAAAGGTCGAATGATGTCGTTGCGGTCACGGAGGACGGTTCCATTGGTGGGATGAAACGGTTGATAAGAATAACCTGACAAGTCATGTTTACTGGTTCCTTTTGCCTGTCCACCATGTTCAATGCGACGGCGCTTGACATCATTATTTGGATTCGATGCTGGAGGGGCTCGGGGCTGTGGAGGAGCAGGTGGACGTTGGGCGGGGGCGGGGGCGGCAGGCGGCGGACGCTGCTGAGCTGGAGGGGCCGGTCCTGGAGCGAAAGCTGGAGCTGAACGCGCGAAAGTGGGTTGTGTGTGAGGAGGGTGGCTCGTTGCCGGAATTGGAGCTTGGGCCGATATCGTCGACGGATGATGGCCCCGAAAGCCCGTTGGAGCTGTGGACTGCGGGCGCTGCGGCGGGCGTTGCTGCGGCGGCGGCTGGTAGTATTGCTGGTGTTGCTGGTGTGGTTGAGCTGGAATCGGTGCAGGAGGAAAGAAGGACCCGTATGGGGACATGTAGGGGTATGCATTCTGAGGTCGATAGGTCACGGATGATTCTAGCGCGCTTTGAGCCAGAGCAAACGAATCCATATCCATATGGCCGTCGTAACCCGGAGTGCTGCTCTGTCTGGCATGCTGCGTTTGCGCGTCTGGGTAGCCGTTTGGTGCGCCCAGGGCGAAACTGGGTTGCGACCAATAATTCGCGGTCGACTCGTAGTCTTCAGCTGACATCTTGGTCAAGATAGGCCACCCTCTCGCTACGCGAGAAGGGGCTGCTGAGCGTGCTTCGGGTCGGACAGACGGGGTAGACGCGTGGGACGAGGAACAAGAGAGTGAGGATCGTTCGGAATGGTGTCGCGAATAACACGGACGCAATAAGTGAATCTGAACTAACCTCTGCTAAACAAGCGTAGACCTCATAGATAGCCGCAGTCAGAGCCGCCGCGCGATTGACATTACCCTTTCCGGATAGCGGAGCGCGAACCAATCACAATGCAGCAGCCAGCCCTAGGCTAAGCGGGTAAGTCATGTGACGCACACTCGGGCGGCGCACACAATTTCGGCTAACCAGAAGTTCGACGCAAGAGACCTTTTCGACGACCTTACGACGACAACGTTCACCACGACCCCCTCTAGAGCCCGGTGTTAATACTCAAAGGAGGCTCGACAAGATGACCGTCATCAACCATGGTGCGTGTTTTTTTCCGTTTACATGTGGTGGAATAATGAAATGGTGGAATTGTGGTGGTGGTGGTGGTGGTTACGGGGGATACAACTGAGGTTGAATATGTTCATGTTGAGGATGGTTATGCTGATAGTTTTCTCCAACAGCCCTCGCCTCTTCGCGCAGCAAGTCGCGCAAGGCGCACTTCAGCGCTCCCTCCAGCGAGCGCCGTGTCATCATGAGCGCTCCTCTGAGCAAGGAACTCCGTGAGAAGCACAACGTACGCCATCTGCCTACACTCTCCCCCATACGCTCTCGCTTCTACGCCGATCTCCCAGAATTGTCTCGAGAAATCGTTGGACGGAATGGTACCTAAGTGAAGGAACAATGCTGGACGACCGTTTTCGAGGGAACACTTCTGGGAGACAAGCGGAGCGAGGGACAACGTCTGTCGAGGAAACCGGACTAACAGATTCCAGGTCCGCTCCATCCCCATCCGCAAGGACGACGAGGTCACCATCGTCCGGGGCTCCAACAAGGGCCGTGAGGGCAAGATCACCAGCGTGTACCGTCTCAAGTGGGTTGTGCACGTCGAGCGTGTTGTTCGCGAGAAGTCCAACGGCCAGAGCGTTCCCCTCGGCATCGCCCCCTCCAAGGTTGTCATCACCAAGCTCCGGATGGACAAGGACCGTGAGCAGATTCTGGAGCGCATTGCTAAGGGACGTGAGGCGACCAAGTCTTCGTAAAGGGTTTTTTCGCATCGGTTCTGTTTTCTTGTTGCAAATTAGGGTGATGGCGTGGGAGTATATGAGATACTCAAAATGAAAATACCTGCTACGGCCAGGCTTCCGTCTTCAAGGTTATGAATGGGATACAACAAAAAAAGCGAAAATTTTCACCTTTTCCTCGGGTCTAAAACTGGCCTCATGATGTTCCTCACCCAGACCTCTTAGGTATCCATGAATGCCAAATTCTAATGTTCAGCTTTCCTGTGCTCCGGTTCCAATCTCATCTACGAGTCGTCGCCCTCTTCACCCGTTCAATACCACTTGCACCCGCCCGAATCGCTTCGAATGACTGCCCATTGCGCCATCCGACTGTCGAACACAACCCCCACGGAACTCCGTCTACAAACGGCACCGCCACATTATCACCTCATCATACCCCATCTACGGATGGCCATGGTTTGACGAGGTAAACAGCTGGCGTAGAGTGAATCACAGACGCTGGCCAATGACCACGCTTCTGCTCGCTTGCAGACTCGCACTGATCCCCATGAAGCTGCGAGTTTGAGAGTGAGGAACATGTAATTTCGTAGTCTCATTATTATAATACATTCGATTTTTTACCTTAAATATTCTATGCTCTATTTTCACTATGCTCTTCACTATATACAGGTTATAGTACATCTAAGCAACGACCTTATCTCCATACTCCTCCAAAAACTCCTTACTATACGGATAATCCAAGTACCCCTCCAACTGCATCGGTGTATAGAACGAAGGCCGATGGTACGCATTCGGCGCAATCCCCTTCTGCATCCTGTACACCAAATCCGGCGTCGACAGGAAATACCGACCAAACACCAGCGCCACGTTCCGATCCTTATACACCCCATCTAGATAATGCTGCGCATTGTCCGGAGTAAACCCGCCTGCCAATAGAACGACGGAATGGTCTCCCCACACATCAAGCACGAAATCAACCTGCTCAGGCGTATCGATGTCTTCACTGTTGGTAACCCGCGCCTCAATGATATGCAGATATCCCAACCCCAGCTCCTTAAGAGCTCTCGTCAACTCCGTAAACTGAGGAACCGGATCGTCCATCCGCATATCCTGGAACCGACTCCACGGACTAATTCTGTACCCCGTCCTCTCAGCCCCAATAGCACTGCTCACAGCCCGCGCAACTTCAACACCGAACCGGTTGCGATTCTCCACGCTCCCGCCCCAGATATCATTCCGGTGGTTACTAGTATCCTGCGTAAACTGATCAACCAAGTACCCATTCGCGCCGTGAATCTCCACGCCGTCGAAACCAGCCTCCATCGCACACCGCGCTGCGTGTGCGAATTCCTCAATGGACGACTTGATGTCGTCCTCGCTCATCGCCCTCGGCGTCGCCATCCCAGTAATTGGGATGGCGCTCGGCGCATCAACACTAAATCCCTTGCTCGCAGCAGCATCGGGCATTCCCGCGCGTCCGGGGGCAACGATCTGGCAGTACATATAACATCCGCGCGCGTGTACTGCGTCGGTAATCTCCCTCCACCGCTTGATCTGTTCCTCGTTCCAGATACCTGGGGCGTGCGGGAAGGAGGACGCTGTGCGGGGGGAGATCGTGCATGCTTCGCTGATTATCAATGTTCCCGGGTGAACGGCGCGTTGCGTGTAGTAGGAGATTGTCATGGGGAGTTGGATGTTGTGCGAGTCGGCGCGGAGGCGGGTTAGGGGGGCCATTACTATGCGATGGGAGGCGGTTATGTGCCCGGTTATGAAGGGGGTGAATGTTTTGGTCATTTTTGTGGTTTTGTGCTGTTTGAGGGTGTTTTATGGGGTTGTCTGGTTTCAATTGAGGCAATTGAGGGGAGTGTAGGTGAAGAGTAGGATCTACTAGAACTTTATAATTAGTTAGTTAGTTAACGGTTGATTATCAATCAGTGGCCAATCATGTCTAAACCCGGGTTAGTCTATTGCAACACCGGAGAGTCGAGGGTAGGGATTGATAAGAGGAAAGAGATCAATTGATCAATTTAGGGTATGGACTGCTTGCATTTACTGTCTACAGTTGGTGTTCGCAATTCTATGTGCATGCATGCGGATATAAAATTCTGCAAGTACCCGAGGATCCCTGTCGGGTATATATATCTCGGTGCGGAGTGTATACTGCAGCCGGTTCTATTTAGTTGAACCCTCATAATATGCGATCAAATATAAACCCATTACTATAAGAATGACTAGACATACAACACCAGCATGATATCGTAAAATACTACACAACTAACCCACACACCTCCCCCAAGCCGGCAATCCACACCCCATCCCAACGAACAAATACAACAAGAAAATCACCACCACAACAACCATAATCATCAACTTAGTATTCTTCCACCACATCTTCCTCCGTAACCCGCGGCTCCGAATCCGAAAATCATGCGCACTCCCCCCCAACCGATCTGTCTTGTCAACCAACAAATCAATCCTCTCCCCTCGCTCCAACACCCGCTCGATATTCTCCGTCATGATTCCCCGCACATCGTCGATGTCTCGCTTCGCCAGCGCCAGCGAGTCTGACGGAGAGGCTGTGTTGAATGTTTGCAGCAGCGATCGCAACTCCACATTAAACGCCGCACAACCATACGCAGGAAGTGATGGGAAATCAGTACTCGACGGCGGAAACGTAGACAGAAACTTGCGCTTCATCTCCAGCAGAAACGCGAACGGGATGCGACGGCCTTGCTCCGCGGCTGCGACGACGATGTAGCTCAGCGGGAGGTGTGATGTGGGCTCGTGGCGGGTTGCATCGTCGGATGCTTCGCCGGTTGGGGAGTCGGCGATGCAGTGCACGAAGAGACGGTCATGGGTGTAGGTGAGTTTCTGGGATTTGTCGTGCGTGATCTTGGGGAGGATGATGGAGGCTAGGGATGAGGCGGAGGTGGAGGATGTTCCTGGGGCGGAGTGCTCGGTGAGGATTGTTGTGCGATGAGCTATACAGGTGCTGGTTTTGTTAGCTTTTTGTATGGCATGGCTGTGTCTGGCAGACAACGTACTAGAGGAGGAAGCTCGGGGGTTTGGATGAGGAGGCCATGCTGGCGGATGGCTTTCGACTGAGTGATGAGCTAAGTGATGAGCTCAGTAGAATATCCGATGCCTCTATCAAGTAGGCCAAAGGTAGAGGAAGACAGGACTTCCGACAGCGGCGATGATCGCGATAAACGAAGCCCGTGACGTCGCGCCAAGAACCCCGGATTATGTCACGTGAATTCCTTTGAATGAGACAAACAGAAGAGTCTGAATAGCTGGAGGTAATTGGGAAAATATATTAAGGCGACTGTTGGGTGTTGATTTACTCCATGAATATATAGCCTAGACCTGGCAGTGGCTTTTCTGCAGCTGGGATTGCGGTGAACAATAAAAAGCAACATCACGGTCTATGCTCGTATATTCAGTTCTATCATTATCCATATCTATGTACTCATCTCATCTAGTCCCGATCCAAGTCTATGCAAGCTCAGGCCAGTACTTTTGCACAATCGTCTTCTTGTTCACCTTGCCCATGGCATTGCGTTCAATAGCGTCGACGACCTTCAACACAGTCGGGATCTTATAAGGTGCCATTTCCTGCTTCAGCTGTGCGCGCAGAGCCTGGAGTTCCAATGGCTCGGTCTGCTTCTGTTAGCCTTGATACGAAATTTTGGGAACGAGGGAGGCTTACACCAGGTCGCTGCTTGACGACGGCACCCACACGCTGTCCCCATTCTTCATCTGCCAAACCAACCACGGCGACTTCTTGAATGGCGTCCAGACCAAGCATCTTCCGTTCCACTTCCAATGCGGAGATCTTGTATCCGCCCGACTTGATCAGATCGACTGACGCGCGACCCTGGATAAAGTATGCGCCAGCTGCATCCCGCTTGGCGACGTCTCCGGTCTTGAACCAGCCATCCGAAGTAAATTCCTTAGTAGTCGCCTCTGGTCGTCTCCAGTATTCCTTAAAGACGTTGTCGCCCTTGATCTCGATCATGCCATCCTCATCTACGGCATCGACGACTGCGCCGGTCTCCTTGTTTGTAAGTCGCACCTGCACGCCAGGAAGAGGCCACCCCACACTTCCGTCGATTCGCTTCTCAACTTCCAGTCCGCAGCTCAATCCCATGCCAATTTCTGTCATGCCATACCGCTCTAACAGAGTCTGACCGGTGATATCTGCAAACTTGGACTTGATAGGTGTAGGGAGAGCCGCTGAACCACTGACAATAAGCCGCAGTGCCTTGGCTCCAGCACGAGCAGCAGCCTCGTGTTCCGTACCGCGGATTTTGGTATCGAAGTAGTCCACTAGACGCGAGTAGATTGTCGGAACGGCAAAGAACATGGTCGAGGAGCCTTGGTCCTGCCACCGGTCCCAGATCACCTTGGGGTCGAATTTCGGGTGCATCTCGACAGTCACTCCGCTAAGGAAGCTAGCTGTGAGACCGTTGACAATGCCATGGATGTGGTGCAGAGGAAGAACGTGGATCAGGCGGTCGGAGGAGTTGTATTCCCAGGCTTCAACTAAGCATCCGGCTTGGAACGTGATATTCCTGTGTGTCGTCACGCAACCTTTGGGGCTCGATGTAGTGCCGGACGTGTAGATCATCAGTGCCCGCTGGTCCAGAGAGCATTCTGAGCTGAACGGAGGGAGAGTGGCTTCGTTATTCTGGGAGAAAGGTGTCAAGGTCATGAATCGGATGTCTTTCGTGATCCCCTCACGGAGGGGAGCTTCGAACTTCTCGAACGACGGATGCAGGATGATCAACGAGGGGTTTGAATCGCCGATTGTGTATAGCAGCTCTTTGGCGGGGTGGGTGGTGCCTATCCTTGTTAGCTATGCTCAGTTCCTGGTTGTGTATGATACATACACAATGGTACACAGACACCCCCAGCCGCCCAAACAGCCCACTGCACCACCACATAATCGTACCCATTTGGAGTAAGGAATGCGATACGCCGTTCTTCCAAACTCCCAGTGTCTGCAAGCCCTAATTCCTCCAAAATGACCTTTTTCATTGTACCCGCATCCGCCAGCAACTGCCGATAAGTAAACTGCTGCCCCTTGGAGGCATCGTCCACTGCGATCTTGTCCGGGGTATTCTCAGCATGCTTCCTCGCTTCGAGGAATAGAGGTAGCGAGGGGATTGAATGTGTTGCCAATTGGCCGTTCGCGGGTTGCGCAGCCATTGTGTCAATTGAGTGGTATAACAGTTTATCGATATATACAGTGAGGAATTCGATGAGAATGAGGGGAATTGGAGTATGGGGGCGTAGGGGGTTGTTAAGCGGAGTTTATCGGTTTTAAGCACGATAAGCTTAAGTGAGCGTCGGAAAGAGTGGCTGTTAGAGTCCGTACAAAGACCGAAAAAAGAAATTGTGTTAGTAAAGAGAGATATGCCAAAAGAACTGCGATTGAATCCAATACACTTCGTACTCCTCCCTAAAATGTAACAATGGCTGGTGTGCTACACTTCGTTATCGGTAATGCACGTGATGCCACGTGCAGCCCTATCGCGATGTCGGAGTCGGAGTTAATAGCGGCGGCGACGAAAAGTTGCGATGCTTGCTTGACTGCGGCAACATCATGCTTCGTCGACCGCTTCTATGGACGGGGATCCTGAGAACTCCGAGTCCGCGTCTCCTACGCTATGCCTCCTCCGTACCCCCGTTGATTCGCATTGACAAGGGAACCTTTTACCAGCGCTATCCCACCCCCGATGACGCCGCTACCGGCCAGAACCTGCCTCTGTTTCCGAACCTCAATTTCGTCCTGCCAGCTAAGCCGGAGAGTGTTTCAACGGAGAAGAAAGACGAGTCGCAGCAGCAGCATTGGGCTGTGATAGGGTCGTCTGGGAGAACGAGTTTCCTCGACGTCTTTCGCGGCCAGTATATCTGCGATCCCCCCACCGCCCGCAGCTATCCGTTCCTCCTTACAGACGAGATTGCCGAGAAAGATCCGCGTTTACGGTTTGTCGGGAATGCGGTGCAGTATATTGGGTTCAGTGGTGAAGGGTCTGGGGCTATTGGTGGCACGCGTGGTGCCTACTTGAGTGCGAGGTATGAGAGTCACCGGGAAGAGACGGATTGGACTGTTGGACAATATCTCAAGGGACAGACGGAATTGAATCCGTTGGAAGGATTCGAAGACGGAAAGGTCAAGGACAAAGAGCTTTTGGACCAGGTTATTTCTGATTTGCGGTTGAAGGAGCTTCTTGATATGCCGGTAGCGAACCTTAGCAATGGCCAGACAAGACGTGCGCGGATTGCAAAGGCGTTGCTTAGCAAGCCGGAGTTGCTGTTACTTGATGATCCTTTCAGTAAGACTTCCTACGGTATTCTATATACCTTTTGCTAATTGGCATCTAGTGGGACTCGATCCGGCCACCGTCCGGGGCATCTCCGGTTTCCTCCATCAACTGGCAGCCAAAAGCTCACCCCGATTGATCCTCGCTCTACGTCCACAAGATACTGTGCCGGATTGGATCACACATGTCGTTATTCTCGGAAACAACAACAGGGTTCTTTTGCAAGGGTCCAGGGCAGAAGTTGACCAGGCTTTAGGGGTGTGGGCACACTTACCTACTAAGAGCCAGACTGGTCTTTGTCCGGAGGATAAGAAGATATATGCAAGGGCAGCGGATGACATGGAGAAGGGGTTTTTGGATAAGCAGTTGCTCTGGGATTTGAACCTGTTTAAACCAAAAGCGGGCAAGACGGTGCCCGTGGCTGCGGAGGGAGGAGAGCCACTAATCGAGATGGATGGTGTGCGCGTGCAGTATGGCGACAAGGTGGTCCTTGGTAACTGGGAACAGGACATCAACGGAAAGAAACAGGAGGGACTACACTGGACAGTCCGTCGTGGTCAGCGCTGGGTGGTACTTGGGGCAAACGGGTCAGGCAAGACCACGTTGCTGTCGATGATCACATCAGACCACCCCCAAGCATACGCCATGCCACTGAAACTATTCGGACGATCTCGTCTCCCTGAAGTCGGGAAACCAGGAATCTCCCTATTCGAGCTCCAATCCCGCATGGGCCACTCCTCCCCCGAAATCCACGCCTTCTTCCCCCGCCAACTAACCCTTCGCCAATCCGTCGAGTCCGCCTTCGCAGACACCTTCCTCTCCAAACCCAAACTCAACCACGACCGCGACCTCGACGTCAGCGCCGTCCTGCGCTTCTTCAAAGCCGAACTCGACCCCGACGCCGCATCCACCAAAGAAAACCCTCCCAGCATCGAGAGCAAATCCGGCAAAGCCTTCCCAGATATCGGCCTCTCCCACCGAATGCAAAAACAACCCTACTTCCCAACAGACTACGACGTCGACTACGCTGACACGGTCACCTTCGGACAACTCAGCACCGCCCAGCAACGCGTCGTCCTCTTCATCCGCGCGCTCATTCATAAACCAGACATTATCATCCTCGACGAGGCACTCTCCAGCATGCCAGCCTCCACACGAGACAAGTGCATCACCTTCCTCGAAACCGGCGAAGTCATTCCCCAACACCTAATCCCTCCCCCTAACACCCGCCGCCCCAAGAACGAACAACCCCCCATCAAGGGCTTTAACTCCGACCCGACCACGATCCGCCACACGGGTATTTCACAAAACCAAGCACTCATAATGATCAGCCACGTCAAGGAGGAAATCCCCGATACTATACGACACTACATGCGTCTGCCCTCGGACCCAGGCGACGGCGCGGAACCATTGGATTTCCGACTCGGTGTGCTGGAGAATGATTGGGTGATGAGTGACTCGCCGATGTGGGAAAGAGTGTGGTCGCCGGCATCGGAGTTTGAGAAGCCGTTTAAGGCTGTTAAGATTAGGTCTGTCGAGCCGGAGGAGAAGGGGAGGAAGCAGAGGAGGAGTAAGGCGGAGATGGTGGCGGAGAGGGCGGATGAGGAGGTTAAGGAGGAGCCAGTGGAAGAGCAGGCTGAGCCTGAAGAGCCGGAGGTGAAGCCTACTCGTCGGGGGCGGAAGAAAGCAGAGGAGCAGACGGACGAACCGGAGCAGAAACCTACTCGTGGACGGAAGAAGAAGGTGGAAGAACAGCCGGAGGAACCAGAGCAAAAAGTTTCTCGTCGGGGACGACCAAAGAAGACAGAGACAAAGGAGCCTAAAGGCCGTGGGCGACCAAAGAAGGCAGACTAGGACATGTACAATTTAGATTTGTATATACGCTGTACTTGTATGAATCACAGAATATGAATGCTCCATGTGCAACAGTTGAAATAAGAATTATATCCTGCTACACTAAAAAGAAGGCTGCTCCGCAGCAGCCCTGGCCAGTCCCGAAATCAACGACTCCGACCTCGTCATCTCCGGCCTATTCTCCCTCTCCTCGCCGCTCATCTCCAGCCCCCTTGCAACAAGATCAGTGAAATCAACAGCAACCTCCCTCAGAACTTCTGCCTGTTCATGCACGATGTCGATGCATTTCTGCCAGACCGTGGTCCCGCGCTGCACGGTGCTGAGCTGCCGGGTGAGAAGCGCGTTGAAGCCGTCGAGGTGCTGCTTGGCCCATTTGATGCAGGCGCTGGTCATTACGGAAGGGAAGCATTGCTGGTAGATGCTGATGGTGTGCTTGACGAGGGTGAAGTAGACGTAGGAGATTTGGAAGATGTACTGGGGGAGGTCGCCTTCGAAGACGCAACCACTGGACGGGTTAGTATTGAAGAGTACAATTATAAGGGAAAAGGAGGCATACCGGATTCGCTTGGTTATGATGTCTGATCGGGCTTTGAGGTAGGCTTCTCGGGCTTGGTCCTCGAATCCCAGACGCGTAAGCCAGCCTACTTTGGTTTTGGTGGCATTTGGGAATGAATTGGTGTCGACGAGAGACCGCGATAGCACACCGGCTAGCTTGGCCGCTCGCTCATCGACCTTTCCGTTGATCACGTCCTGCGCGATCGTGTTACCTCTCAGTCCCTTGGCTAGCTTCCGCAGTCGCTCGATGGAGGAAACGGCCTCTTCGAATCGTTGCAAGGCGATATCGATATCCAATTCGTCGACTTGGCCCTCAACCCAGCGCATGTTTTGCTGCTTTCCGTCTACATCGATGCGCAGTTCTGGCTTGTCGCGCGGGTTATCCAAGCCACCGTCGGAAAAATCGCTAAGCTTCAATGAACCCAATGACGATTGCCTCGCGCCGGCCAAGTACCCGAACGACTCGTTGGATCTGCTGGCTGCTTCCGTCTCCGACCGTAGCGTCCGTCGCAGATCTTCGACAGCTTTGCGGAACGTGGCTAGCAGTTCATTCTTTGCGGGACTGTTGCGCTTGTCGTGGCGGTAGGTGAATGGTTTGGCACCAACCCGGACGACCACTGCACTCGAGATACCACGGTCTTCGGCCTCATCGCGAGCTTGTCCGGCACCCATGTTGGAACCGAGATCGATCAAGTCGATATCTTGTAAGGGCCAGCACTGCTCCGCCACGAGTTTCGTCGGAACCGGGCCACGATGGTTGCTCTGGTCTACCCGCTTTCGCTTCTTCACTGCCACCAGGAGGTGATCGTTCAGCAGCACAATGTGAACCGGCCGTCGTGGCTTCCACGTCGCTGAATCGAGCTCAACCCAATTGCCTGTTTCAATCACAATATGACGACCCGATACGGCCGGAAGAAACTTTTGCGATCCCTCCACGGTCTTCCATAATGTTTGTAGCTGAACATTCCACATGCTCTCCAGGTTGGCCACGGAGCTGCGATTAGCATTCCGCTTGGGTAGACGCTCGTCGATAGTAGATGATATGGGATTAGGCGAATTTCCAATGGTAGTCTGGCCCAGTGCCGTCGTGAGTTCTGCCATCAACGTACGGAGTGTCCGCATTTCGCCCTTGAGCTTCTCCGCCTCTTTACTGATTTTGATGAACTGCGTTCGGTTTTGGTATACATTTTGCTGAAGGTCGGTCGACGTGCGGTTCTTCACTTTCCGGAGGGCGTTTTGGTAGTCTCGAATTTCCTCCTCGGACGCGTTTGCGAGGAGATTAGCGACATCTACAACGTCATGTGTTAGTTACAACCCGAACAAGATGCCATGTGTCAAGATACACTCACATCGATCAACCGGTAAACTGGGATCCCGCAGCACATTCAAATCAACCTCCGGAGGCGCAGACGGATCATGCGATGGTCTATTATTGCTAGCTGGAGGCGGACCTAGCCCGCCATACCCCGGAGGCAGCCCCGGCACCGGAGGGGGAGCGTCGAAATCCGGGACCTGATTGAAGCGGGTCGAGTAGCGGCGCTTGACCAGATCAGAGGTTGCACCGCTCTGAGGGGTTCTTTCGCGCGCGGTGGCCGATGGGGCCTTCTTTTGGGCTGAATCGGCTGCCCGATTGTTGGCAGGGGCAGGGTCGGCGATGGGTTTGGGGGCACTGATTTGAGGCCGGCGGCCTTTTTTGCTGCGAAGGGTGAGTCCGCGGCCTTCCATATTGCAGAGGGAGGATTGGGAAAATTCCCTTCTGGTATTAGAGTGTAGTTAATGATTGTACTGTAGAGGTAGCAGTGGCTAGCTGGTATGTTGGGCTCAAGCGGGACAGAAACGCCGAGCGGAACAACGATAGTCCCGCGGTTCAAAATTATCGCCGGCAAAGAGAGTCGAGCTTCACTCTCTGTCAAGCCCTGCCAGTCCCCGGATTCCATTTACGCCGTACTTCTCTACTATACATTTGTCTTCTCCCGGCTACTCCCTCAATCCCCCCCAATCCTCATCATGAAGACTTCCACTTTGGTGGCTGCCACCGCCGGCACTGTTTTGACCGGTCTTTTGGGTAAGTCGAAATAGTCGACGATTTGCATAAAACATCGGTGAATGTGTGGGGAACCAGTGCTGATGACGTATCGGATCATTATAGCCTACGCCGTGTACTTTGACCACAAGAGACAGACCGATCCGGAATTCCGGAAAGCCTTGAAGAAGAACAACCGTCGGATGGCCCGGGCTGTCAAGGAAGAAGCCGAGGCGGTCGGAGCCCAACAGCGCGAGCAGATCAAGAAGGCCGTGCAGCAGGCCAAGGATGAGGGCTTCCCGACCGACCTGGAGGAGAAGGAGGCTTACTTTATGGGTCAAGTTGCCCGCGGAGAGTCTTTGTGTGCGGAGGGTATGCTGCTATCCGATAACAAACTCTTTGGGGATAAGTCGCTTACAAACGCAGGATCCGACAACGTCGAGGCCGCTCTCTGCTTCTACAAGGCCCTCAAGGTCTACCCCCAGCCCAAGGACCTGATCTCGATATACGACAAGACCGTTCCCAAGGAGGTGTTGGAGCTTCTCGCCGAGATGGTGGCTATGGATGCTGGCTTGAAGTTGGGCACTTTCACTGGCGAGGGTGGTAGCGCTGATAGCGGCGCTGCTGTTGATGAGTAAAGAAAAAGAAACGAAAAATGACCGGTCATGCCTCCATACCCTTACCTCCTCTCATCCGTGCTAGACATCTGGAATTGCTGTGCTTCTGGTCAACGCTGGGCCGTGGCCTCCAGATGTTTTCTCCCATACTCCCACATCTTAACCGCACCCCGTTATGACCTCTCCACTTGTGTATCCGTTATGTTCTTCCCTGTATATTTGCATGAGTCTTGGCCATGGACATGGCGGACCATTTCGTATCTCGGCGCCTTGCTCTAGTGTTTGTTCCTGTTTCTGTTTGTTTTGGGCCTGAAAAGACTGGGGTTTCGATGAATAGCACTGGCGCCGGTTAGTGGTCCTCGTTTCTGTTGAATCCATCTGACAGATGGACTAGATGTATGTGTATTTTAGAAAGGTTTTCTTCACCGGAAAAGTCTGCAATTGCAATACTAGTCATGGCCACCATCATCGTCATCGTATCGCTTCGTTGCCCTGTCACCGTCCGACAAAGCCATTGTTGCATTCCCGTGAGATCATCCGGCATGGCACATTCTACATACCAGTATGAAACACCTGCCGGGGAGACAGCAACATTGAAGATTTACACAGAGTAACTGTTTATCTATAAAGGGTCCGGTCCCTGATCTCCTGTCAGACCCTTCCAAACAGCTGTGTTTAATTAGTCTGCAGGGCTCCGGTTAGACGTGTTACAGATACAATAAGGTCCACTATCTTAACCCTATAAATTTCTGAACGTTTCGCATTTAACTACCCAATTCGCCTCCCCCTTCATCGATATCTTTTATTTAGGCTACGTCCTGGTCGCTTGTTTGTGTTCGATCGGTCATTGACCAAAATCAAAATGCCTTCTGTATGTGCCCCCCCCCCAAATACAAAAGAACAGAGAACTAATCTACAACAGACATCTACTATCCTCACCACCCTCGTCGCGCTGGCCGCGACAGCCTCTGCCGTGACCCCGGTCGTGGTCGACGGAAAAGACTTTGTGAACAGCGAGACAAAAGAGCGATTTCCCATCATTGGCGTTGAGTACGTTGCCATGCCCTTGATCTACGCGACAACAAGCTAACCGCTACAGCTACCAACCCGGAGGCGCAGGCGGCTTCAGCACGAAAAAAGACCCCCTAAGCAGCCCCAAAGACTGTCTCCGAGACGCAGCATTAATGCAGCGACTAGGCGTTAACACGATCCGTGTCTACAACCTTTCCCCCACTTTGAACCACGACGAATGCGCATCTATCTTCAATGCTGCGGGTATCTACATGATCCTGGACGTCAACTCGCCGTTGCAGGGCGATAACCTCGATCGCACGCAGCCGTGGAATAGCTATAACCCCGGATACTTTAAGCAGGTCTTTGGTATCATTGAGGGGTTTAAGGATTATCCCAACACGCTGGCGTTTTTCTCGGGGAATGAGGTTATTAATGAGCAGGCTGCGCATGCTACTCCTGCTTACATTCGCGTATGCCCCCCCACCTCACCTACACCCTACATGAAGTTAGAAGCTAATGAAGCAGGCTGTCCAACGCGACATGAAAGCCTACATCTCCAAACACGCCACGCGCCCCATCCCAGTCGGCTACTCCGCCGCCGACGTCCGCAGCATCCTCCTCGACCAAGCAAACTACTTCCAATGCGACGTCAAAACCGCCGACTCGCGCGCCGACTTCTTCGGCCTAAACTCGTACTCCTGGTGCGGCGACTCGGACTACCACGCCTCTGGATACGACGTGCTCACTGAGGATTTTGCCAATTCCTCGTTTCCCGTTATTTTCTCGGAGTATGGGTGTAATGCCGTGCAGCCGAGGAAGTTCTCTGAAGTGCAGGCGTTGTATGGCGAGGATATGAGCCAGGCGTTTGCAGGGGGCTTGGTGTATGAGTATGCGCAGGAGGAGAATGATTATGGGCTTGTTGTTGTTGATAGTAGCGGAGACGCTAAGCTACGTGAAGACTTTGATGCGTTGCGGGAGCAGTACGGGAAACTTGACATGGACCGGCTCAAGAAAGCGAGTAAGGCGCATACGGACGCTGAGCCGGTGGAGTGCAGTTCGAGCCTCATTACCAGTGGTGAATTTCTGGATTCGTTCGAGTTGCCCGAGAGGCCGGAGGGTGTGCAGAAGTTGATTGATGATGGGTGCGGTGGGAAAGGTGGGAAGATTGTGGGCTTTGGAGGGAGGGGTGTTACGCAGAAGATTCATGGGGCTAATGGGGAGGTGGTTTCGGGTGTGAGCTTGGATGTCCAGGATGAGTCTGGTGACAAGGACAACGACAATGAGGACAAGGGCAAAAACGAAGACAAGGATGAGAAGAACGATGAGGACAAGGACGACAAGCACAGCAGCAATGATACCAATACCAACGATGACAACGACGCTGCATCCACCTCCACCACCCAGACCTCCGAAACCACCACCTTTTCTTCTGCTACACAATCCACAACCACACCAACCCCCTCCACCCACAGCACCGACACCATCTCAACCCCTAACTCGAGCTCAAGCTCGAGCACGAGCACGATCATCCACGCCACCGCCAGCGACAGCGCAAGTCCCAGCGCAAGCCCGACCCCGACTTACTACACGGGTGCCGGCAGTAAACTCTCGTCGTCGATGCTTCTTGGCTTGTTGAGTGGTGTTGCGGGGTTGGTTGCTTTGCTGTGATTGTTTAGGTGATTTGATTTTCAGTGTTTAGTTGTTTGTTTAGGGAGTGTAGTATTTCCTGATGTACTTGTATTTTTAGTGAGTTGTATGGTAAAATTAAGAGTGAGCAATCATATGTACCTCAGATTAAAGTATCCTTGAAACAGGATCTGCTGTTATGCATGATTTACAGTTGATCAACAGGGGTACATTCCAGTATCAAGATTATGCAAGGCAAAAACAAGTATAAATCAATATGCAAAACACTAAACCCAAAAATGATAGATATCAACAAATAACAACATCACAAAGCCTTTCCCTTCCCCTTGTCCTTGCTAGGAGACTGCGTACTAAGCGCAGGGAACTCCTCCCACTCCTCCGCCGTTTCAGGAGCATTGTTCTCCACAAGACTCAGCTGCAGCGCAAACTCGAGATCGTCAACCTCTTGCTGGTTACTGCTTTCCGCCGCTCCCGGTTCAGGTGAATAGTCACTTTGGCTGGATTGTGAGGCTCTCGTAGTGAACGGATCCGTACCAAATGAGGACGCCTGCTCCTCGAGCAAGCTCAAGCGGATGGCTTCAGCAATTTCCGGATCATCCACGTCTTCAACGCTTGTTTGGAATGGAGACGAAGACGAAGATGGTTCATTGGACACGTCATTGAGCCCAGGGGTACTAGGCGAAGTACTGATGTTCGAAGTTTCGAGACTTTCACCCCGCTTCGCGGCATCATCGGTCATAGATTCTTGGCTCAGCAGCTGCGCGTAGGCGATAATTTCTTCCTCGCTGGCATCTGGACCCAGCAACTCAACACCAAAGCGGTTGTTGAGATGCTTCCGTTCCTTCTGATCAGCCACCTTTTGTCGTTCCAGTTCCACCTTTTCGTCCTCGATATAATCCCACACCGCTCCACGGCCGCTGTTGCTGAAGCGTTGACCCTCGCCTGAAGCATTGTCACCCCGCTGACCACGCCGCCATCGACGCTTACTTGTCTTGTACTGATCCGCCGAAGACGAACTGTACGACCAATAGCGTAGATGCGTTCCCAAGGCGACCATTCCTCTCAGAACCGTAGAGTCTGGGTCAAGGCAGATTGCACCCACAGCAAAGAAGTTGTTGCCAACTCCGTGCATGGAAGCCTCGGCCTGAACGAGCCGACGACGGGCACGCGAAGAGAAGCGAGAGTTCATGGTGCGAATGGGCCCTGTAGACGACGCAAGAGGATCCCAAGCTTGCACAAGACCATCATTTCCTCCGTGTACCAAGTAAAGCGACGTCAAGGCAACACAAGAGATCTGCGGCGAATCCGTCTGGATGATCCGGAGAGGCGTTACGTTGTTGATGACCTCCGAGTTTCGCGCGGTCGGGGATCGTATATCCCACACAAACACCAGTCCCGTGGCTGTACCGACGGCAACATACCGTGCTCGTTGACCAGGAACCTCCGTCCCTGATGACGGTTGCGTCATACGCGGCAACGGAGAAGACATGGTTGAGGAAACCGAGCTGCCTGACATTGCCAAGAGCGGATCCTCCTCCTTGGTCAACAAGGCATAGGTCGATGCATCCAAGGTGTTGGTGGTAATTTGAACTGATTTGCGATCGCCAAAGTTGAAGTCGGAGATATACCATTCGGTATTCTTGGCGGTGCAGACTGGTTCACTCACACGGCTTGATCTGGACGGCGGGATGCTCTGAGGCTCAAGTTGAAGAGGCTCCTTGATAGGACCACCGAAGATAGATGTCGACATCGGAGTACTGGCAGCGCTAGTACGGGCTTCAGGAATGGAAGAGGCAACAGTCTTCCTTGTGAAACGGCGAATCGAAGCCTTTTCATCTTCGCCCAAGCCGCATGCAATGATCATGACAGACTCGCCTGCTCCGTTCCCATCGTCACCGGCAAAGTCGACCTTTAATTCACGCCTCATATCCCAGCCTTCGCAAACCTTGCGGAAGTGCTTTGGTTTAAATGCCAAGAACTTTTCAATTTCCTTCGTCTCCGCAGCGATTTGGTTCTTGTCCAGCTTCATCGAATCAGACGAGGATCGAGGACTGTAGCTACCATCGACAAGCTCCTGGTTGTATGGGTCCGGCCTGGCAACACGTCTACTCAGCTCTGCAAGCTCCCAGCGGACGGACCTGCCTGTTTTCCAAGCCAAACGGTCAAGTTCCTCTGGGGTAGCCTTGGGCGGGACATCTGGCTGCTGCGGTAGATCGGTAAGGTAAAATACCTCGCCTAGTGCATTAAGAATGACGGCCCAAATTCGGCGTCCTGCATGGCGTTGCTGCGAAAACTTGTCATCGACGGCGATCGCAATGATGGGGACGCCCGGACAAAGGACCCATTTGGCGGTTGGCTGACCTCGTTCGAAGCGTGGCTCATACAGCGGGTTAGGGCCCAAAGAATAAGCCGTCAGGATACCGGCAGACGAGCCAGACAGCATTCCAACCAAGCCCTTTGTCATTCTCAGGACTTCGGATGACTTGGCGATCCAAACCGCGGTAACAGACGAGGTAATCAGATTCTGTGCTGGGACACCCAACTGCGGCTCCGGATTTGAAACTGTAAGCCCCAAGAAGCGACCACGCAGTTCAGTTGATGAGATGAAATAGCTGCGACCCCGCGGGCAACCCTCTCCATAGATCATACCGTATGGCTGACTGACATCCATACGATTAGGCAGACCAACAATGTCACCAGGACCAAGACCGTATTCAGCAACACCAGTGTAAAGATCCGCAAAGTGTCGAAACAGCTGATGGTCGGACAGTCCCCACGTTCCAACCTTGACAGACGCGGGGTCACTGGCCGATGCAATTCCCTGCTCCGCAGCGCCGTGAATGAATACCGGCCGTTCATTGGTAGTTTCCGTACCAAAGGAACAGGCGATGTGACTGACGGGAAACATCAGTTGCGAGGTATACGTGACAACAGCACTGCCATTGCGCACATTAGCCGATCGTACGGCGCCGTTCTTCTTTGATGGTTCGAACTGGGCCGGTTTGCCCTTCGAGAGAGAGCGTAATAATCGCGTTCGCAGTATGTACTCGCTTCGCCAGGACGCTAGCGCAGTCAACCGAGTAAAGTACCGTTTATCCGACACAAATTGTTCCGACCGCTGTGAGGCCTCGACCCGACTGCTAATCTCATCGTTGCTGGGCCCAGGAAAGTAGCGGGAGAAGGCGATTCTCCAAGCATGGGGCGTAGTGACTAGAGTGTGGAAGCGGCGCGAGACCAATGCGATCGACGACAGCGACGGAGGGGGGAGGTGGGACAAGATGTGCGTCAAGACCTCTGGTAGAACCTAGTTAGGATCGTCCGATTATCGGGGAACGAAACAAGGATGGCATACCATTGGGGAAATCCTCAAATGATACCGACGACAGATGCGACAAATCGAGCACATTGAATTCATTGCTTTGCGTTTGCTGCGACGACAACGAAGAAGCCATATTGTCTTCCAATTCGTTCAGGGGCGTATCTGCCCCGTTCCTCGGAGGGACGACTTCTGGACGGTCTCCAGCCTCCCCATGATGGGGAGAGTCAGAGACCAGGTCATCGCCACAGAAGTCATGTCCATGCTGGATAGGATCGAGGGGTTTTGTACGAGGCGATTCCGAGAAGGGTGTATGTTGAGATACTGCAGTAGACTCGGGTTGCATAAAAAGGTTTCGCGGGAGAACGGGGGCAAAGGGGGGCGACTGCACCAGGACGACAACTGGAACAGCCGGGTAGAAGCAAGAGAGTGAGGAAGAGTGCGGTAAGAGGTCCAAAGAGACAAGAAGATGCCGTTGAGCATGCGCAAGCTGGGTGTTATGCTAAGAATGGGTGAAGAGTGAAGGTGAAGGTGGAGGATTGAGTCACTCACTTCCGATGGAGGGGAAGACTTCGCGCTCCGCGCACGTGACGCGCTTCAGACCATTCACTGGTAGATTTACACTACCCTACTTATTTCTGCAATAGAAACCCTTCTTGTATCTCTCAACTGGCATCTACTTGGCGATGGAAACGTGGTGGTCAAAGAATGCCATCGAGAAATGTCTTGGCTGAAAGACCTAATCAGCATGAATATGTCTTCATTCTAGACGATCCTTTGAGCCAACGACATGGTGGCAGGGCCTTTCTAGTCCTGCTACCAGGACGAATCCTACCGATCAGTACAATGGATATTCTTGTGTTTTCGGGGGATGGATCCAACTGGATTGACTTTCGATTGAAGACCCCAAATGGGGTATAGAAATCTTGCGTGGTGACCGCCTGGGAGAACATTGCAGGGGGTTCGTGAATAACGGCAAATATATGCTTTGGGTCCCTGGAGATATCTAGGATTGGCTAATCCTGATTGTCGGACATTGTGTCCACGTCAATAGAGTAAGTTCTAACTCTTCAGCTAAAAGGTTATATGGTTAATTCTAGCATAGAAGTCCCCGGAACAAAGCTCTGGAGGGTTATTTTTGCGCCCGGCTTTACTTCCGTCGAGATCTTGAATTGAAAACAGGGTGGTCGTTAGAAGGCCTTCCCTGATGGCATACTTCTCCCAGGAGAGCAGTGAAGAGATTAAGGGTAAGCTATAAGACTGAAAATGAAAAAGGATATGAAATATTGCGAGGCCAGGGAAACATTGGAACGCCTTTTTTCGTCACCCAGGTGAAAACACAGACTCAGTCCTGAAGCTTGCAAAGATATCCAGAGGCCGTAAAAGAGAGCCTGGGATCGAAATCAGTATGGCTGACAGTCTAGAACATTTTTCTATGTTGCATGCTGGCACTCACGGACCTTCTCACCAGTCACCTACGGTACATCGTAGGTGTCGACGAAGATCGCACATTTGGCAGTGATAACACTAAAGCACCGAAATGGAGGATCTCTAGGGGAGGTTGCCAGGCTTCTGGCTAGCCACTGAAAATGACTTTATTGAACGTCGCCGAAAGATGGAAGAGCAATGGTATTTTTCCGAGTTCAGACTTGGGCAGATAGAATTGCCGAGCAGGTGTTCATTAAACTGCCGAGAACGGGACCTGATGACTTTAGAGCCGCTGTGTCAAAAGCCGAGCCTTGCTGAATATGCAGCACTCTTCTCAATATTCGAAGATGCAAGTACCACGGAAAATGGCAAAAATGATACTGAGCTGTACGGTTAGAAGATGAAGTGAGACGACAGGCTGCGAAAGTCCTATGCATGGAGTCATCGATGGATTAGGTTCTGCCCAAAACATGTACTGTTGCGGATGTTTGGATGGCACATAGTAGGAGCAGAGGATGGTTGTTCCAACTGCCTTCTTCCTAACCTGTAAAGGCTGGATGGCTGCCTACTTCAACAGCCCGGCTCCGCTGTGTACAGGCGTTATGGGACGTGCGCCAAGGGACCAGTGCATTGTGAATGCACCATAGCATTACACCTTCTCTCTCTTGGATCACCGGCAGTGGCTTATATCGGCGTTTCTAAGTTGTCGTGCATCTCATGTGGGTAGTTCCTACGGGAACTTCCCATGGAAGTACCCCGACATCGAGATCAGGGAAGCAGGTATATCAAAGCAAATGGGCACGAATATCGCCAACTCATTACTACTTCATCTATGTTTCATCAATTTCATCTACTATGATAACAGTGTTAGAGAATGGTAAGAACCTACTATGATCAAGAAAAGAGACGTCGTAGCTTTCTATATCATCTTGCTACCATTGAATGCCATATTTTTAAGTATGTTAGTCTAGTTCACCATAAACCTATGTTCTTGCGGTATATAATTGCCTTAGGTTTCGGTACAAGATTCGCGTTCCGCGACACGTGACGCTAGACGCGACCGGAGGCGACATCACCATATCGTCTCTGCGACAACAAGCACCGCTGGTGACTGAGCGGAGGAGGAAGAAAGAGACGCTGTAGAGTGCATTTCTGAATGGAATTTATTGTGTTTATTCCTTTTTAACCGTTTGCCGCCCCAGGCAGCAACTCCCGCTAACTAGTATTTAAGCTCTGACTTCCCCGATTTCCGCAACGCGACAAGACCACTTTAGATCGTCAAAATGCCCGGTGTAAATGGTAAGAACTTCACTGTCATGGAAGTATGTAAGTCTAAGCTGACGAACAGACCCGGAAACCATCCGCATCCTCGTCGCAACCGACAACCATGTCGGCTACAATGAGCGAGATCCCATCCGGGGAGACGACAGCTGGAAGAGTTTCCATGAGGTGATGTGTTTGGCCAAAGAGCAGGATGTCGATATGGTGCTTCTGGCGGGTGACCTGTTTCATGAGAACAAACCGTCTCGGAAGTCCATGTATCAGGTGATGAGGTCGATTCGGATGAACTGCCTGGGAGACAAGCCTTGCGAGCTGGAGATGATCAGTGATGCCAGTGAGAATTTCCAGGGTGCTTTTAACCATCCGAACTATGAGGATGAGGATATCAACGTGGCGATTCCGATCTTCTCCATTCACGGGAACCACGATGATCCCTCGGGAGAGGGCCATCTCGCGGCCTTGGATCTGTTGCAGGTATCGGGTCTGATCAACTACTACGGTCGAACCCCAGAGTCGGACAACATACACATCAAGCCAGTTTTGCTACAGAAAGGACGGACCAAGCTGGCCCTGTACGGCATGAGCAATGTTCGGGATGAACGTCTCTTCCGGACCTTTCGAGACAACAAAGTCAAGTTTTACCAGCCAGGAATGCAGAGAGATGATTGGTTTAATTTAATGTCCGTTCACCAGAACCATCATGCCTACACTGAGACCAATTATCTTCCCGAGAACTTCCTTCCTGAATTCATGGATCTTGTTATCTGGGGACATGAGCACGAGTGCTTGATTGACCCGAGACTGAACCCCGAAATGAACTTCCACGTTATGCAACCCGGATCATCCGTTGCGACATCCCTCTGTCCTGGCGAATCAGTGGCCAAGCATGTGTCGATTCTCAGCGTCACAGGCCGCGAGTTCAAAAGCGAACCAGTCCGCTTGAAGTCTGTTCGCCCATTTGCGATGCGAGAAATCGTTTTGTCAGAGGAGAAGGGGGCGCAGAAATTGGCACGCAAGGAAAAAAACCGTACCGAAGTCACGCGGTTCCTTATGACGCTCGTGGAGGAACTTATCGAAGAAGCCAAGGCAGACTGGGTCGATACACATGGCGAGCCAGCAGAGGACGAAGAGCAAGAGATTCCGTTACCGCTCGTACGGCTACGTGTCGAGGTCTCAACCCCAGAAGGAGGCAGCTATGACTGCGAAAACCCGCAGCGATTCTCAAACCGTTTTGTCGGCAAGGTCGCCAACGTCAACGATGTGGTACAGTTTCACCGCAAGAAGAAGAACACGACTCGTAAGCAGGGAGATGTTGAAGTCGACGAATCGGCCGTTTCTCAACTTGCGACGCTCGACACGGTGAAAGTAGAGCAGCTGGTGCGAGACTTCCTCGCTCAGCAATCACTGAGTATCCTACCACAGAACTCCTTTGGAGACGCTGTCTCGCAGTTCATCGACAAAGATGACAAACACGCAATGGAGATGTTTGTGAACGAATCACTGGACAACCAGATGAAGCATTTGCTATCCCTTGACCGCGAAGAGGAGGAACAGGACGACGAAGAAAAACTCCAGAACTCCCTGCAAACCGCTATGGAAAAGTACCGTGCGCAGATGGAAGATATGTTCTCGCGCGGCATCAAGAAGCGAACCCGGGGCAAGAAGCGTTTCAAGCCCAAGCCTGATGGCTGGGACACTGAATTCGACGGCGTCTGGGAGGATCAGCCGGGTGCATTGATCCACTCTGATAATGAAGGTGGTGATCCGAACGAGGATGTTGCTGCTGAGGATGGTACCACGCCGGCCCCCTCCAGAGGTAGTACGCGTGGTCGCGGCCGCGGACGAGGGGGTAGGGCAGCTGCCAAGACGGCGACCAGTACTCGGAAGACTGCCACGACGAAGAAAGCCGCCCCGGCCGCCCCGGCCGCCAAGGGCCGTCGACGAAAGGCCGTTTCCGACGATGAAGACGAGGAGGAGGAAGATGTTGTCATGCTGGACGACGACGACGACGACGACGACGACCAAGGCTTGTCAGACATCGACGAAGACGACGACTCGCAGGCTTTATTCGTCAAACAACCCGCCGCAAAGAGCAAAACAACGACCCGCAAAGCAGCCGCTCCTGCCACGACGACCAGCCAACGTCGATCCGGACGAAGTGCAGCCTCTCCTGCGGCACCGTCGGCCACTGCCACTTCACGGGGTTCTCGGAGCGCTGCGCGCGGTAAACAGGCGATGCAGTCGACGTTGAATTTCTCAGGGTCACAGGCGAGATCGAGTCGGACGACGAGGGCTACGAGTCTACTTAGTGACGATATTTGACGATGATGACGATGATGATGCTTTTGAGGCGATGCCTAGTTCGAATCGACGGAGGTAGTGTTTGTTCTACCACATTTGCATGTACGGCGTTATTGGAATAGCTAGCTATTATTATGAAAAGGCGTTTACAATTGTGATGATGAAGAATGTTTCCAATCCGCAAGAATATACACCGTCAAACTAGATTCCGAAAGGGAAATAGAAAGAAAGCAAGAAAGGATAAACCCCGAAAATCATATTAAAATAGCTAAATTTAAAAGCGATGAACTAATGAGAATCGAAGGAAAACCCGAAATGTTGCATGTACTAGGTTAGGGCTCGGATTCTAACCAATAGGCCCCAGATGCCTATGGTAGCTGCTGGTCTCGTTGAGGTTCACGTCAGAGGTGCACGCCAACAACTTCTTCAAGGTCTTGAGGCTGGCTGCCGATGTCTGTTGGTCATCGTCGTCTTCTTCTGCAGGATGTACCAGTCCCGAATACAAATCTAAACTCATGCCCACGGCAAGGACCACGACCCGATGCATATCGTTGAAATTATAGACCTCTCCCTTGCTCTTCCTCTGGCTCTTGCCATTGCCATTGCCATTGTCATTGGCTTTGTCTTGGCCTTGGCCTTTGCCTTTGTCCTTGGTGGCTGAACGCAGCATTTGGCTATACTTGTTATTCTCACCCGGATATACGGTAACAGCGCTTTCATGGTTGTGCAGCGAGCGGAGGGACATCATCATTGCCAGATGCCCCATTGCTATCTGAGGCATAAGCTTTGCGGCTGCCCGGAGAGAATCCCGCGCTTCAGTCTTTATTGCGGGTGACATCACGTCGTTTTTCCGATTCTTGACCTGCAACAGGAAATAGCTCATTGTATTTGATGCCGGGAGGTACACTGGGACTATGATATCACATCCCTTGAATCCTGGCGGTGGGAACAGGGCAGCGCCACGGTAAAATGCTCTTCGGAGACTGGTATGCGTAGGAGGGTCTGATAATCGAACAAAGTGAGTAAAGAAGACGCATCCATTTCCCCACAGGATTTGTAGATTGTCATTATCGTTCATGCGGTCAACGACTTCAGCGAGAACAGTGCTGTCTGAGCCAAACAAAGATTCCACAAGCCTGGCGAGTTTCATAGGGCGCGGTCGAGCATATTGCTGACCAAAAAGCTTATCAAACGAGAACAGCAAGAGCAATGTCGCGGCGATTTCACCCAAATCTCCAAGGTGGATAGTGCCCTTGACTACACTGTCATAAAGCGCGCGCAGCACTTCCAATCGTATGGCGGGCTCCCGCCGCATGACGTTAGCTGAAGAGTGAGCCAGAATTGGTTCGGTAGGTTGCGCGGTTTGCATAAAGGTCCGGTCTTCATCCACACCCACTATATACCGGAGATAATGGATTGTAAGCGTGTCTGCAAGTGCCGGCATGCCGACATAAAAATTCACTCGATATGATAGCAGAGCAAGCGCTTCAACGGTACTGATTGCACCACCTGGAGTTCTCATGCGGCCTCCAAACATTTTAGTATCGGCGACACCAAGGACCGACGCTGCACCTCCACCTGGTTGCTGAAGAAGTGCGCCCCAAAGAGGCCTGCCGAGGGAAAGCAGATAGACCAGATCCCCGGGCAGTTCGGCAGATTCTGGAGTCATTGCTGCTGCCCTCAGCTGCGACCAGCCGTCCTCTTCGCTGATACCGAAAACGTCGAAGGAATCCAGCTCGAATATGGGTTTCAGCAGCTTCAATTTTCCGGGCGGGTTCCATTTTAAGCTTGCATCATAACCATGAGAGGGGGTAAAGTCGGCCATTCTTGCAGTGGTATCAAGGAAAAGGCCAAAGAATTGCTTTCTGTCCTCATGTTTGCTGATCTTTGTCATGTGCCGCATTGCTCTCCGAAGAGCCAGGAATTTCATTTCGCGTGCTTCTTGCGAGAGCTTTGTGTCTCTGGAAAATAGTCCTCGTGCTTCGTCGAAGCACATAAGGGTGTCTGGTTTATCAGATTTTCGTGCAAGGCCGCTCTTGTCTGTCAGATAGAGCTGGAGTTTGATAGGGTCATTTGCGAAATCGTGATAGATTTCTTCGAAGATCTTCCTCGCTTCTCTCCGATAATCAGGGAGATAATGGTTGACATGTTCTTGATAGAACCCGTCGTCGCCATAATCGATGTTTTCTTCTGACCTGACTCGTGGGTGCCCGTGCATGCCGATATAGAATGCTTTTGCTCTTTCGTAGAGAAAGTGGACGACATCGCAAATCTTTTCCTGGAAACGTTCAAATTTTTTCTTCACGAGGATATCGAAAAGACCGAGAGGGGAAATCCCGAGGTCTCTGCAAAGCTGTACGTTGCAGAGGCTCGCTGCTAAAAAAGATTCGAAAAAAATAGTTGTTTCTCCGCGCTCCGTGAACTCGTCAATTTCATCGGCTACGACAGACCGTCTGGGATAGCTATGTGACCTATCTTTTGCCAAGCAGGTGTAGACCACATAGGTCCCGGAACGTGCTATCTGCTGAATGGTAAAACTCTTACCGATCCCACTGGGACCGACAATTGCAGCATACGGGGAGAAAAAGTATTGGGAATCGTACTCCTTATATCGTTTAAAGATGGCATCGAGGACAGGGGTCGCAACATCTCGTCCTGGGAGCGATTCGCGGTGGAAGGCGTTCTCAGCCTTTCGTGCAGCAGGGTCGATGGCCGGGGTGATTGGGGCAGCTGGGCTGAGCTGTAACATCTTGCGAAAATAAGACGAGGTATCGTTAACGAGCATTAGATCCGGGGCATGTATTCTCAACAGCATGACATAGATTGAAACCATCCAGTCTTTTTCTTCCTCAGTCGCACGAGTAGCATCAACCCAGCGGATCCTTTGACGCTGTTTATCATCGAAGTGCTTCTTGACACTGGCAATGCAACTGCTGGCCCTGTCCCAAATGTAGACGAGAACGTTCGTAGATTGTTTCCTCCAGAGGATGTCGAGAAGCCCGGCCTGAGTGTCGTCAATTTCGGCCAGCTCAGCGAACTCCGTGAGGGTGGTGCAAGAACGCCAGTTCGACTTGACATTCAGCAGGATTCGCGCGAGATTCTGCTCGAACGCGTCGTGAATGGCTTTCTTCGTATATTCACCGTCCGGGGGGGTACCTGTTATCGCTAGTTAAACAAGAGTTCGTTCCAAGGACGTTGGACCACACATTGTGCGTTGCAAACTTACCGGGGGGTCTCTTGATCGCTTGAGGCAGCGGGGTCTGGAATTCCAGGTCCATTTTGTAGAGAGCAGAAAAACAAGTTGGTGAATTTTGCAAATGTGAGGCAGTAAAGATTCGATAGGGACGGTGTTGTTCCAAGACAGAATTCCTCTAGGAAACGAGGGGGCTTATATGGACCTCGAGCGAGCAAAAGCATTAAGATTTGAATTTCCTGTCTGCCTACCTAAGGCTGCAGTGGACGGGTGCAATTGTATCCCCGAAGGGTTAGAGCATTGTGCTGTAAATCCTCACTATAACGAGCCCTGTTTCAGTGAGATCCCCGCTGTAAAGAGAGGAACATGTTTCCTGAATTAATTTCCCATACAAATAATGAGAAGCCCCACTACTATTAGTCTCATTAGTTTGAAGAGACAAAATTAATACAAAGTGTATAATGTGTGTATATACTGGTCATAGTGAAAGGATGATGTCTGTAGTCCCTTGATCCTAACATCTTTCATTATATCTGTATGTGCATACTATTGACAAGAACAGCAGACAGAGGATAGTCCTGCATTTTCATGTGAGATTGAGAGGCATAAGCGTGTTATATGGTACTGAAGGTTGGACTTACAGAGCCAGTGTGATATCAGAATGTAAATATATACATATTTAGCGAAGATTTACACTATTACTCGCATTTATGCATTTCAAGAATTGACGTAGCAGAGAAAAGTAATATACCGGAGATATTAAATACAAGTCATATTGCTTTTTTACATATATGAAATAAAGATAGACCTGTGTACAGTAGTATGCTGTCCATATTCGCAACTTTATGTATCAGAATCCAACGGCATCGAGGCTTGGAGGCTATATACAGTGGCCAACAGAGTCTAAATAAATCACCCAGGCGAAGGAAGAGTAGGGCAGGCTCCATCTCTTATTTTCTTTTCGCCTCGACTCGAAACCTACTATTATCTGTAAAACAACACATTATTGCATGTTCATGCCATGTTCCTTGCAGCAAGGCGGTTTTCATCTGCCTGCAGAATATTCTATACTGCCTTTGTCCTTTGTGAGATAAACATGGCACAAATCGTCTTCTTCTCCTGCTCAATATTGCCTATCAGATTGATTCTGGCTGGAAGCTGAATTGAAGGACAGCCTTTCAATTCCTGTTTGTAGTAACAGTTTATGCTCATCCGATTGCCAAAACAGACAAGCGACTATCAATCCGTCGAATCCGTCGAATACCCTTAATTGACCGTCCTCTTCCTGTCACCATGAATCTCTGACCTCCCAATTGACATTATACTCATCATCCCCGACTTCTCGGAATATTCTTGGGAACTCAATGCATTCGCACAGACGAGTCGCTTCTTCTACCCGTTGCTGAGTGACCATATCTACGAGCACAATGTCCGTTACTTCAACGGCTCGATACTGACATGGGCATCCAAGCATGGATCTGAGCTTGTTGCACGCAAAGCGATAGACGCAGGCGCTGATACGATGACATGTCATGATGGAAAACAGACGGCAATGGTACTTGCCGCAAAACATGGTTACGCTGCAATCTTTCGCCTATTTTTGGAAACCGGAAAAATCCCTACACACGTATTGACGGAGTGGTATTCTATTAGAGCCAAACTATAGCCCATTGATAATGGCGGCAAGGGGTGGCCATGAGTCCGTCATCCGGCTACTTTTCGAGCATGGGGCATGCGCAAGCTTTGGTAGGGGAATGATGAATGACACTCCGCTGATTTCGGCGGCTAGGGAGCATCACCGTGGTGCAGTGGAGGCCCTGGGGAACGCAATACGAGAAGATCCACCCATAGATAATACTTCTTTATGGTGGAAATTCCATGACGCGTCGGCTGATGCGGCAAGATGGGGTGATTTGAAGGTTCTGCAATTCCTACTCGGCCTTCGGACAAGTTTGGGCTTGTCGCCTTTTGCCTGGCATCCTCGTGTGGGGACGGATTTGCATACCCGTGTGTCAGAGGCTGCCAAAGGAGGTCACATTGAGTGTGTTCGATGGTTGCTCGCACGTGGAACGGGTCCGGATGAAAGCGCAGAAGATACGCACACCCTGGAAAGATATCCGATTTATTTGATTATTGCAAAAGGGAACCTGGAGATTGCAAGTCTCACGCTAGAACATATGGATTTCGGCTTACTTGAAAGACTATACGTACAGTTCCCATGTGAGCAGGACAACCTGCTGTACATCGCTCTTGCCGTTGGCTCTGAAAACCATGTCGAGGTGGCCCTTGAGAGAGACTGGCCCAGAGAGACAAAAAACCACAGTATCGCGACTGACATGATAACGCGTGGATTCTATAAAGGCGATGTCAACATCATGAAAGCACTATTTCTATGGTGCAACGACTTGGATTTGAACAATGGGCAGCAAGGGTGACGCGGTTCCGTGTGAAAATCGAGGATAGACTCAGAGAGCTGAATCATGCTTCTGTTGGGAATTGATGGCCTGATGCGCAACGGTACTTGCTAGCCTTTCTGGTGTTGTATATTCGTACCACATACAGCGGGAAGTCACTGCACATCGGGAGGCATATAATCTTCGAGCACCCTTCAACTGTATCACCAAGTGAATGTATATTGTGATGTTTACCAAACACTCCGGTGGCCTAAATAATACAGGGGTATGTACATCGGAAAGACTATGGGGATTTCCTCTTTCGGCAATCCGCGGCAACTTCACCCCACGTATGACATCAATAATTACACCGGCTCTCAAAATTAACAAGCTCCAATGCCCATTTTCATATCCAAGACTCTGCAAGTAGACAAGATGGCAGTCCAAACTATCTGCTCAAAAGACATCTACCACGGCCTACCTGTCTTTCCGGACGATGTGGAAGGACTTACGGCCATTGTCACCGGTGCCAATGGCATTTCCGGCACGTATATGGTAGGTCACACTCCCAACTCAATCTTTACAGTAAATCTCACAGACAGACAGCTCCGCGTGCTATGTGAATCGCCCAAACGATGGAAGAAAATCTACGCCGTCTGTCGTAGACCACCGCATGGAGAATGGCCAAGTCAAGTCGAACATGTCTCAATGGATCTACTCCAGTCGCCTGAGAAGATTGCAGAGCAGATGCACGAGCGAGGAATGAAGGCCGACCACGCGTTTTTCTTTGCTTATATCCAGCCGAAGCCGAAAGAAGGCGGGAGTATTTGGAGTGCTGTTGATGAACTTGTGAAGGTTAACAGTATGTATTCTGCCCAGATTTGATACAATCTTCGCTAACAGATAAAGCCGCCTTATTGAGAAACTTCTTGGAAGGACTGGCAATCTCCAAGTCCGTCCCTCGGAGGGTCTTACTCCAACTAGGAGCAAAGTATTACGGCGTGCATCTAGGCCCCTCCGCAGTACCACAAGAAGAATCCGATGAGCGCGTGCATCTGGAGCCAAACTTCTATTACCCCCAAGAGGACATTCTGCGCGACTTTGCCCAGAAGCACGGTATCGGATGGAACATCACCCGTCCTTCGTGGGTCCCTGGCGCTGTCCCCGACGCAGCGATGAACCTGTGTCTCCCGCTTGCCATCTACGCCACTGTACAAAAATATCTTGGGGAGCCATTGGAGTTCCACTCGGATCTGAACGCCTGGGAAGCAAACCAGACGCTATCCACGGCACACCTGAACTGCTATCTCGCAGAATGGGCTGTCCTGGAACGCCATGCCAGAAACGAGAGTTTCAACGCGTCTGACGACTGCCCCTTTACCTGGGGCAAGTTCTGGCCGCGACTAGCGGAACGATTCCAAGTGCCGTGGGCTGGACCATCTACCGATCCGTTTGTATTCAGCGAACAGGAAACACCGTACAACCCCCCACCTCGCGGTTTCGGACCTCCGGCTAAGCTGCGATATCGATTTACCTTGACGGAATGGGCCAAGAAGCCTGAGGTCCAGCAGGCGTGGAAAGGACTTGCGGAGAAGTATCAGCTGCGGGATAAGTCATTGGGAGATGTTGATATGATTTTCGGGTTCGCTGATGCTGCGTTGGGAATGTCATATCCTATTCTTTTCAGGTGAGTGGATGCCATCGACGCCACCATTTCAGTTGAACATGACTCTGACTGTAGTAGTACCGCCAAAGCGAAGAAACTTGGGTTCTTTGGATTCGTCGACAGTACGGAGTCTGTTTTCAAGGTGTTTCAGGAGTTTGTGGATTTGAAGATGGTTCCTCCTCTTCCTTGATCTGCGTTAATACATAGTCTTGTTTGAGATGTTAAGTGTCTGTAGATACTATATCTTTTATTGTATTGATGTACACATTTGCAGAATCGTCTTACAGCCTCGGCTTAATCATGCCAACCTCAATCTCCCTCTTGCTGATCTCCTTCAACACTTTCTTCAGAATCTTCCCACTAGCATTCTTTGGCACCCCTTCCACAAAGACAACGCCACCCGTCAGTGACTTGTACTTCGCCAACCGCTCCTTCATATACTTCTGTACATCCTCCACCGTCAACTTCTGCCCTTCCTCCGTAGGCCTCTTGACGATATACGCCCGGGGCCATTCACTATCCGATTCTGGGAAGCTAATTCCAATAACAGCCGCGTCGACAATCTGCGGATGCAACAGTAGTACAGCTTCAAGTTCCGCGGGGGCAACCTGAAACCCGCGGACTTTGATGAGTTCCTTCCTTCGGTCCACGATGTACCATTTACCAGTCGCTTCGTCGCAGTAAGCAATGTCGCCGGTTTTGAACCAGCCGTCCGCATCGAAGGAGGAGGCGTTGGCTTCGGGATTCTTAAAGTAACCGGGCGTGACGGTTGGGCCGCGGACACAGATTTCCCCGCGGGTGTTGTACGCAGAGATATTATTCCCATCAATATCGATAAGTTTCGCCTCAAGATTAGGAATCAGCCGTCCCACAGAGCCAGTATCGTCGTGCTCCGGAAACCGGAAAGACATAGCCACGCAGCTCGTCTCAGTCATACCCCATACCTGCGTGAATGGCGCCTCTTTATTCATGAGCTCGTGGAATTTGCCCTGAACATCGCGGCCCAGCGGCGCAGCACCGCATCCCGCCATCTTGAGCTTCTTCAAGAACGGCCGCGCCCTGGCATGCGGGCTCATGAGGATTCCGACCGCGATTGGAGGCACCATGAACATGTCAGTGACGTTGTATCTCTCAACGGCTTCGAGATACTCATTGAGATCGAAGCGGCGCATGATGTAGACGATATAGCCGGATTTCAGGGTCGAGAAGTGAGTTGACGGAGCTGCTGCTGCGTGGAAAACTGGCGTAGCTATTATTCTGCATACCTATCTGGGTTAGACCTGCATGATCTGACGGTGGATGAATACTCACTCGATACGGTCGGGGATGCACTTCGAAGACCAATTCGTGTTGCGCTGCCATGTTATAGTGCGTGATGGTGACAGCCTTGGGCAGACCGGTTGTACCGCTGCTAAACAGTCTTGCTGCCGTAGTCTCTTTTGTAGTTTTCAGATCGTCGAACCGCACCCAGTCCTTCTCGCCGGCCTTGAGAAGGTTATCCCACGATCGGAATCCGGACGGGACATCTTGTCCGAGAGCGTTGAAAATGAGAATATTGCTCTCTGAAATACCAACTCCCTGTGCAGCAGACTTGAGTGAGCCCAGAATCTCCGGCTCCGAAACCAAAAATTTGGCCTCTGATGCTTTAAAGTGGTGCTCCAACTCCATTGGCGTGTACGATGGATTCGTACCGGTGAAAATCCCACCAGCGCCCACAATCGCCAGGACCAGAATACTGTAATAAATCTGCCTCTTAGCTTCGTCCGGCACAGAAAGAACGGTGGTCCTACATCATTGAACGCATGAATCGCGACACAATCACCCTTTTGCACACCCCATGCTTGCAGTCCCGCGACCAACTGGCGGATCAGCCTCCGGGCCTGATTGCATGAAACTGACCGCGAGGGATTTGCAGGGTCTCTATAAATCTGCTCGAGTCAGTCTCGTCGCGTGGACATTGACAATTGGGGGGGAAGGGGGGAGACGCGTACTGGCTCATCTTGGTCGTATTTGGGATTGTCGAAAATGTACGACAGAAGGTCCTTGGTGGGAATGTGCAATTTCTCGGCCGGTTCGAAGATCATTTTGACATTCAATATGCAAATTGAAGAACAAACTGGTCGAAAAAGAGAACAACGTGTTTATATGTACATATTTTTTAGATGATCGGCTACCCGAGCATTCCCCGCATCTTTAAAGAAACGCCGAGAGCCGATGCCGAGCAGCATAACTACGGCGATAGAGGTCTTATGGCCAAAAGTTGTACAGATACAGTGCCCGGTCAAAAGTATTCGACCCCCCCCCCTTTGACCGCTTTTTACCCACCGCCTTCCCAATAAAATTAACATTTCCGTCAACACATCGCGTAGATAATATTGATAGAGCATACACCATCAATAGAGCATGCTCCTGATACAGGGGAAACACTAGAAAAGTTGATTGAGGCAGCCAAGGAAGCATGGCATGCAATTGATCAGCAAGTATTAGTGAAGTTATCTACAACAATGCATCATCGTGTTAAAGCAGTGATCGAGGCAAAGGGCTGGTATACGAAATACTAAATTTTGGAAGTTTTGGCTGGCAGAATAATTGAATTCAACTGGTTGAGTAAAAGCGGTCATTCATGGCAGTAAATAGGGGGTCGAATACTTTTGGCCTCCCACTGTAGTTAGTTAACTAATCAGTGTAAATGACCTAACTTACTACCACAGCCACATTATTATTTCAACACACTACAAAAATAAAGGACTCTTCAGCGCAATGCGTTGTTGAATTCTTTAAGCATGATAATAGGCTATCTAGGCCAGATAAAATAATACAAAAAATATCAAATAAAAATTTAGCTTCAGGATTTTTTTTTTTTTTTGGCATTAATTTTAGTACCTAAAGATCTCTAATTGAGAGGTAAAAATGAGGTTAAAGGGGGAGAGACTTGAATATCTTTCAACTAATGGTGGGCGCGGGCGCATACTTGTACAGAACACGACCTTTGGCCATAGGACCCCTATCGTCCGCTGTACTAGTAACTAACCGAATAACTAAATAATGAATGCATAAAGATGGATCAACTACACAGCCATAGCATAAACCCCATCAGGACCATACCCCTCCGGCCGCGTATACCACTGCATGGCACGGAAATCCCCGTCATCAAGGCTAACAAACAACTGAACCGCATCCGTGAATCTCACCCGCCATTTCCACCAGATCTCATCCTGATAAACATCCGCTTCCCCCGGGACATGATACTCCACCTCTGTATCTTCAAGCTCCGTAGCCCAGAGCGATTTCTCCTCGCATAGTTGCAAAATCACAGTCGAGTCCCGAGCAGAGCGCTCGTCGAGTATGGCCACCCACCCGGGAGAAAGTTGGCCCTCGTCGCCTGTGTTTTTGAGCTCCTCGATCCGATTGCGAGTGTAGAGGCGGAGATCAGTGTCACTGGCGTCTTCGAAGCCAGTGGTAAAGTCTTCAACTGGGGGTTGGGTGCCCCATTCATCGACCTTCTCTTATTCTGGGGTGCGGATTAGAGAGAACATGTTCGGGGCTTCGAAAGCCTCGGTGACGGCTGTCATAAATTGATTGATGATCTGGACATTTAGTTATTTGTTTTTACTTGATGTTGTGGTCGCTCATACCCTGGCTGGCACGTCGGCGGTGCAAAACAGGAAGACCGTAGTCATGGTGTTGATACTTGCTTCGTATAATTACGGAGAATCGAGTCTACATACTGAGGAAACCGCATGCAGGTGACACGTATCCAACCCAGCTGATCATTGATTCTGCATTCCCTATCCACCGATAGTAGACTTTTTCGGATCGACTAGTGCCCTTCTTGTCTGTGCTCTTTGTGCAGTTACTCCGCAATAGACTAACTATATGGGATGCGAGAACCATCACATACACCGTCTTCATCTCGGCCCAGCACTCGACTGTGATCTTCAATTAATACCCCAAATAGATCAGCATGGAGTAGTATCTGGCATGTACATTGGAAGAGCTCTGATGTTCTTTCCTGTTGCCTCCAGTTTTGTTATCAGGCAATCACGAACTTCTTGGAACTGTTAAGATACCACCCGCTCAGATGCCACAGAAAAAACTGTTAGGTAAGTCTGCTTGATATCCTTCCCTGGGGGGGCATCTAACCAGCACAGACAACGACTCATACAGCGAAGGCACACGATCAAAAAAAGAACCTCTTCGACACTTACGAGCAAAGTCACGACATGGACACCCGCACGGTCGATCAGATCTGGGAAGACATCCGAACCAAATGGCACATCTGCGAGACTGTCGAGCAGTTTTCTAAGCTAGCCAATTTGGATCCAGTTATAGCCAGACAGATGCCTTACGTCAGACTACAGCTTTCTTGATGAAGGCGTTCATGAGTACATCTGTGAGTTGGCCATGACATTCTACATCGTTGTCAAAGGCTTTATCGAGGAAAAACAGTATAAAGACATCCAATGGATAGAGCCACCCGAGACAGAGGGAAAGCAGAACCAGATCGTCTCCCTCTACTACGTTGATCAATTACGAGTTGAAACGCGAGATGAAGTTGAGAAATACTACGACTTTTTGAAGTAGATTATCTCTACACCACCAATTCCCCCCAAATATTTCGAACCCCCTGGCAAGAGATGCCTATGCGCAATTTCCACAGGGGTACAAGGGAAGATAGGGATGTAGCTCGCCCTCTGCTACGTGCCATTTGGAAACGCTACGAGGAGCACAATCCTGACCACCATGTAGCCCCGTGCACCTCCATTGTTGGGCCCAGTGGAATCTGAAAAAGTTTTTCCATGCAGCCGATTGCCCAGGAAAAGACGTACACCGTGTATACCAGCTTTGCGGGGCATGGATCTGCTACCTATCCCACACGATCTATCATTTGTGATATGCTTGATGAATATACTGGCCCGATGGATATTGGTATCTTCTTTCGAGCATTTCTAGCAGCAAGCCTGACCAATGTGGAAATATGCAGGGAAATAGGAATACCGCCCCTGGGATTGGAACCGGAATGTGGCTACAGAAAATTGATGAACAAGGAATGGCCAGAATTTACTGCATTGGTCAACACAATGTGAAGACCTATGCGCATTGACTTATTCCATTGAAACACAAGATAACAACACATACGGACATGGCCTTTGGCAATACCACCCGTTTATTGGTCGCCAAGATGGCATCCTCAATCCACGAACTTGGTACAGACATCTTACGCAGACAAACTAATCGTTATATTGTGTTCACCGGTATGGATCACAATTAGGCGTTGGTCACATCTATCTTATACCGTTGGTACGTCTTTCGAGGACCCCGGTCCAATCCGTATCATAAACAGTTTTTAAAAACGGTTATGCTCTTTGTCCGGATGAGACATCCAAAGCGGGCACTCCTCACTGTCGCCTACCATGGTTAAGAGGGTAGTGTTTTCCACGCCGCTGAAGCATGGTTGAACCAGCAGTCCACAGATTTGACGTCACAGGCTGAGTTTCAAGACTCCTCCACCTTGATGAACAATGCAGACGGGTACTGACAGCGCTGACATATACTTCCAAGGGGATAAGCCGGTTTTCACAAGCAAGACAGAACGAGGGGTACTGAGCAGGGTATGTTGAGCTCTATGGCTGTCGTTCAACTGTTGCAAAACACCCCGGCCGAATGCATTGAGTTCCCAAAAATATTCTAAGAAGTCGGCGATTATGAGTATAATTTGAGCTGGGAGACCAGAGAGAATCATAATGGCAGGGGTACAGTCGATCAGGGATATTCGACAGATTCGGATTGGTAGTCGTTTTCTTGTTTTAATAATTGGGGAGAATATATATCCTTAGCGGCTGTCTTCTGAACTTTGCCTCTTCTTCCCATTCAATACAACTGTTACTACAGTAGGAATTGAAAAGGCTGCCCTGTATTTCGATTTCCAACCAAGATCACGTCTGATGGGCGATATCTAGTAGGAGAAGAAGGCAATATGCATGTGCCATGTCGCCTTTCGTTACTCCATCCGGTAATAGCTAGTCACGATTGCAAGGAGCTCGCCGGGAACAGCTGCTTCAAGGGGCATATGTGGCTTAGTAGACAGTAGTAGGCTCGGAGTGGATATGAAAGGAGAAGAGAGATTGAGCCTGCCCTACTTTTCCGTCGGTTGGGTGGCTCGTTTGGAATCTGCAGGCAGCAGTATAGTCTCCAATACTTCATGGAATAAACTAGCGGAGCCTCTGCAATGCAAATGACGTGCATATTGCTTGTTTAGGCACTCCGAAGTTCTACCGACAAACAAGGTTCGGGGTCTGTATAAAGACGGGCTTTGCTGTGATATAGTCAAATCCCGTGATAGCCAGATCCACGTTCCGAAGATGTCCCGGCGAGGAAGAGAATAATCGGCATCGGAACTCCTTATCTTGATGGGTTACTCGGGAAGGAAATCGGGAATTATCCACGACACAGAGTAGGGGTCCGGGTTCATCCCGAGTTGGTTCAAAGATATAAAGGCTTCACATCTTTATCTGGACAGACTCCATGTAAACCTCCGAATCATCGACTCACCATGCGGTTCTCAATTATCCTGAGCTTGGTTGGCAGTTGTGCTGCGAGTGTGCTGCAGCATGCCAACCAGACAGCCAACTATGATAATCTAACCGTCGCAGTTGTCCGCGCACCGCCGGCAAACTGGCCCCTACCTCTCATGAGCAATAATAACTGGACAGGAGTGGAGTTCGACTTGAATGCAACGGTATCCAAGGGCGTCAGCCTCATCAAACAAGCAGCGGGAAATGGTGCTAATCTTGTTGTTTTTCCTGAGTTATGGTTCCCGGGGTATGTCCGCCAAATACAATGCCATATTCAGAGATGAAACACACAATGCTAACTAACGTCTGCAGCTATCCCAAAGGAATGTCAGACAACGTTTCCATCGCAAGCCATATCGAGAACTACATCCAAAACTCCCTCACTCTGAATAGCCCTCAATGGAATCGACTCGTATCTGCCGCGAAGACTAACGGAGTCTACGTTGTCCCCGGATTCTCCCACCGAGAAGGAAACTATATCTACATGGCGCAGGCATTGATTTCTCCAGAGGGAGAAAATCTTTATCTCCGCCACAAGTTGAGGCCATCCGGCGGTGAACGAACTATCTGGTCTGATGGTACCCTGAACGAATTGAAAGTGATTCCGACACCGTACGGTCGATGGGGCATTCTTGAATGCTGGGAGCATTTTCACCCAGCCATGACGTTCAATGTTCAGGCGCAAGCGGAGACACTCCATATTGCATCTTTTCCCTGCATGTCACTGCCCTTAATAGCTTTTCTATATCGATGACAAACTAACACTGCCAGATACACCCGACTATGGCGACCCGGACGCAGCGGACTGGCAATCAGCTGAAGTGAACGTTGCAGCAGCACGGACATACGCCGTAAACTCACAAGCGCCATTGGCATATGCGTCCGTTGGAAACGCACGATACATCACCAGCGGAGGACTTGATATCAACGTGGTGGATGCGTCTGAGTCATTCAATAAGACTCCGTTGGTTTATACCTCTTTCAACACGACAGGACTGACGGATACTGTGCCATACACCACGAACGGCGAGCAGTCGTGGGGGATCTTGCAGCAGATTAACGCCGGCTTTCCGTCGTACATCCCGAAGGTCATGGGTGATTTCGTGACTCGGAATATGGTGAAGATTTCTGATCTTTTGCAAGCCAAATAAATCAGAGTCCATGTACATTATTACTAGTTCATAGTCTTAAGCTTCCCGTTAGGATAGAGATATCTGGATAGACCCTATCTATAAACATTCGCATTGGCATCTAAATGCCCCGAAAAAAGCATCTCTCGTCCCGGATCATCCGGCAACCGAATCCCATAGAACCTCCAAAAGGCATCCTGAATCACATCAAAACAGGCTCCAAACCGCATCAACCTCATATTCTTAAAATCAAACATAGTCGACGACGGCCGCGGCGAGGAATACCGCTGTCGACCATAGTTTATGATAATATCCGCCGCCTCACGAATTTCCGGCTCAATATCCTCAACTGTACTCTTAGTCCCTTTTCCGGTCAAATTGGCCGACGATCCCATGAGTGGAAGACCAGCCTCAGTCGCCAACCGCGATAGTTCCTCCTGGAATTTACCCCCGTTCACGAGCATTGAAAGCGTCCCGTCGACAGAGCTCCGCTGCAGTGGCTCCTTCCCCAGTTTCTGGATAATCGGGTGGTCTTCGCGGAACGGCGCAATCACACCGAGAGGCAGGTCGAGGTCGACCGTGAAGAGATGAACCATTTCAGTCTCGCGTGGAGGGAGAACGTGTAGTTCGCGATGGAGCGCGTAGCTACCTATCATGGCGTGCTTCTTGTGCGGCTGGCGCTGTTTGGTGTTGAAGACGCGTTGTAGAGCTTCGGGGTCGGTGGCTACAATTCCATAGCCGACGCTGGCGGGGATTATGGCGATGCCGCCGGATTGAAGGATATCGAAGACGCGTAGGGCGTCATTTTGGATATCGATTCTTTGCTCTGGAGCAGACATGGCTGTTACTTGAATTTCTGCAACTTTCTAGGTGTTTTTGTCTGGTTTAAATACGCCGATATCAGGAATAACCCCGAGATTTCCATCTTATGAAAGACCCGAAATAACCCATCCTCACGTTACACCAAACGCTCTGTAAGCCACATTGATAGGACCGGAATCATTCTACCTTGACGCGTCCAACATTCGACAAAAACTCCCCCGTCGTCGCATTCAAAGAATGATCCCTCTGCTCCTCCGTAATATCACCCAAAGCCGTGTACCACACAGCCGACCAATACCCCTCCGCGCGCACCATATACTCCCGTCCAGCTTGTATATCTTTCTCATCCACCCGCAACTCAAGAGTCTTCTTCACCGTCGCGTCGGAAGGAATCTCGATATACTCATTCAGAAGCGGGGGCCGTACGCGACTAGCGGAGATTGTGGAGATAGGCACTTCTTCGTGTGTTTGCGCGTCGTGGAGTTTGAGGACGCCCAGGTGGCCGGCACCGGGCTCGAGGGGGGTGTTTCGGTCGAGGATTGTCACGGGAGTGCTGGCGGCGTTGTGGATGGAAATTTCGATGGGGAGGGAGGAGGTGAGAGGGACGGTTTGGTGTGGTGCCAGGAGCACTTGTAGGGCGATGGTGGTTTCCATGAAGCTGACCATCATGGCTTGAGTATCGGTAGGGATTCGAGTTGATAGACGCTGAAGGATTGAGATGAAGAGTTTGAGCGTAGAGAAAGAAAACAAAGAATTATCAAATAACAAGGAAGGATTTCAGGGGAACGGAAAATATTAGGAACAAAGAGATCTCAGGAGAACAAAGAAATTGAGATGACAGCTCAGGTCGCACCGCATTGAGCCCTAATTACAGGGATTTACCGCAGCCCTGATGGATGTATTCACTACTCGACTCTACCGCAGACACCTGTCTGTAGAGACCACTAACTGCTATAAATTCCTACGGTAAATACCACGATTCACTACCATATGCACTACCAAGTCATCTTGTTTGCCACGGCTTTTTTCATTAAGCTGACTCAGATGGGTTTCGAGTCCAGCACAAATACCATTGGCATGGCTACACCTCTCTTCTCTTTCTATGAATCAACTTCATCCTCAATCTCCTCTTGACCTGATCCCTAATTGAACTGATCATCTTCAAGATGCGCTTCGTTACTTTCACTGGGGCCCTAGCCCTAGTCCACACTGCGCGGGCTTCTCTGAACATCACCCTAAGCCAGACTGGCAATACTCTGATCAAAGCTGTCGTCAAGAATGAAGGCCCAGATGATATCAATTTCGTCCATTACAACTTCTTTGGCGATACTGCCCCAGTCAAGAAAGTCTCTATCTATCGCAATGGCAAGTAAGTACATCCAAATAACACGAGGATTATAATGGCTAACAATCTCAGGAACCCAGGTCGACTTCGAAGGAATTCACCAGATCTACCGCATGACCAAGCTTACCTCTGACGCTGTGACCAATCTTGTTGCAGGTGCTAGCTATGAGGACGAATTTGACATTGTCTCGAACAACGACCTCTCTCAGGGCGGCACCGTTACCATCTACTCCGAAGGATACGTTAATCTCGTAGTAACCAATGGCTCGGTCTCAGGCACCATGCCCTACTCCTCTAACGAACTTACCATCGACATCGACCCAAAGCAAGCAAAGACCGTTTCCAAAGCCCGTCCCATGGGCAAAGCTCGAACAGTCACTACATGCTCTCCTGACCGCCAGGCCATCGTGGACACAGTCCTAGCCAACACCGTCAATCTAGCCAATGCGGCCGCCGACGCAGCAACCTCCGGAGACGCAGCTCAATTCAATTACTACTTCAAGACTACCGCCTCCAGAGCCCGCGAGAGAGTCTCCGCCCGTCTGCGCGGCGTAGCCAGAGAAGCCGGCTCTACCAGCGACAACATTAACTACTACTGCACCGACCCATGGCCAGAGCAGGGTAACTGCAAGGAAAATTTCCTTGCTTACGCATGGGCTCAGTACAGCATGATTGCGAACTGCGAGCTTTACTATACTTTGTTGACGACGGAGTTGCCCACGGTCTGCGAGGGACAGGATGAGGCGACGACTGCGGTTCATGAGTTCACGCATTTGCCTGCGGTGTATGATCCGCCGACTAGTGATTTTAAGTATTCGGATGAGGCGTTGCTGTTAGGGAGTGAGCAGGCGTTGGAGAATGCTGATAATTACGCCATGTATGCGACTGGTGAGTCACCCTTTTCCCTGGCTGACTTTTGATGTGATGCTAACTTTTATAGCTGTCTACCTTAACTGCAACTTGGCTTCTTTATCGAGCTTGGATATAAATTGGGATTCATAATGGATGACACGCGTACATGAATATGGACATGGATTGAACTTTTGGTTAATGGTTGGATACAATATTAATATGTATGATGAAACGCATACACGAATAGGATACATACGGAACAAAAGGACTTCAACCAGAAACCAACTACGCCTTCCGGCATAATCCCTCCACACATTTATTATTATAGCAACACTGCTCATCCGCCTCACACAACTCCAAATCCTCCCTACAGTCTGGCCACTTAGGGTCCGTAGGTCGACATTTCGTAGCCGCACAGTAAGTCGAGCAGCATATATCTCCGGATCCGCCGGATTGACAGTCCTCTGTTTGTATTAGCATCTGGATTTGAAAGTAGGATATAGTAGGGAAGGGAACATACGGTAGACTTTCAGGCATGTCGGGGTGGGCACGCAGGTGGCAAATGTGGTTGTAGTAGGTGTGGTGCGGGTATAGGTTGAGCAGGTTTCGGTTAGGACGCAGGCATCGGCCGTGCCGCATTGGGCGTCTATAAGGTCAGTATTGTGTGGAGTAGTACATGGAGGGATGTGGCATACTGGTCACTGCGAGATGAAGGATGAGGGCTGCGAGGGACTTGGTGAGATGCATTTTGAATGTTCACTGAGTGCAATTGATTCGTGATTTGGATAGCAAATGATGAAATGGACGGGGGTATATATAATGCCTGTCTTCATAAAAGTGCTGTAGAAGCGGTTGTCTCGTATTCATGACATCAACCCTACGGAGTGAATACGAACCTTTACGTGAGACATGCGACATACTTTATCCTATTCCAGACATCTTAAGCAGATGCCAAGGACTCTGAACTCGGTTACTGCAGATACGAGTGGGCGTTCCAATTGTACGCTGTTTATTCAAACTGTTGCTTTGGTTACAATACATCATGCCTGTCCGGTATCCTCCACCTGCTGCAACATCCCCTCCAGCTTACTGTCCACCTGGACATTGTGCGCATGTTGACGTGGTTCAACCGTCCGACCACCTTTCGAACTAAACACGCCACCCGTGAAGCCTCCTTTGACAAAGAGGAGCGGGATATCCTCCAGCTCAAGCCCCTTGGTCTCGGGATAGAAGAAATAGACCATCGGGATGAAGGCGGCGTTGAGCACGGCGAAGATAACAAACGTCCGCCATCCGATGTTGGCTATCATGATAAGTGGTTAGCTTGACTTTCGTGCTGTGGGTGAGAGGCTTACCAAAAGCAATTGGAGTGATTTTAACCACGGCAAACACCGCCATCCAGTTCCAGCCAGACGCGATGGCCTGCATCCTGGTTCGCACTCGTGTGGTGTTAATTTCGGCCGGGTAGAACCATGGTACCGGAAGCCAGCCCGCACCATAGAAAACCTGGAAAAGGAAAATGAAGGCTGTGGCTCCGTAGGCGGCGTTCATCTGGCCCAATGAGAGGAGAATAGATACCATCACGAAGCAGAGACACAGGCCAGCCGAACAGATGATCAAAAGTGTGCGTCGACCGAAGCGATCCATCAGGAACACCGGGATGAATGATCCCACGAGGTATGTGCACTGGACGCATCCTCCTAATATCATCGAGAGATTCCTGCTCAGTCCCATGGTAGTCTGGAACATCACAGGCGCGTAGTAGTTGATCATGTTGGAGCCGGTGAACTGCTGTCCCAGCTCGATAGTGATAGTGATGAGCATGCGACGCAAGTTTTGTGTTTCACCCCACGAAAACAGTTCCAGAAAACGGAACGGTCCGTCTTTTCTTTCCTCTTCCAGCGCAGTCTGGATGTCCAGGACTGACTTGCTTATTTCTGCGTCGTCTAAGGGCTTGTCCTCGATGGCAGCCAGGACTTGACGTGCTTCTTCGTGACGGTCGTGCTGGACCAGCCAGCGAGGCGTTTCTGGTAGTCCGATTATCTGGAGGATGAGGCAGACGGCAAACACGGCTTGGAAGGCAAGAGGGAATCGCCACTGGAAGGAGGATTCGGTGAAGCTGGTGCCGTAGTCCATCCTATTCCGGTCAGCATCGCTCTTCGGAATGCAATGTGGTACCTACCAATATGCAATAACCACGCCTAGGATGGTAACCGTGCCCTGCAGGGTCAACACTGCACCTCGAGTCGATGCCGGTGCACATTCACTCTGATATACCGGCGCTGTCGACGAGTTCATCCCATTCCCAATACCCGTAACGATCCGTCCAACAATCAACTGCGCAACTGTGAACGACGATGCCAAAATAGCCGTCCCGATTACCATAATGCTTCCACCCGTCATCAACATCGCCCGTCGACCATATCGTTCACCGATGAAATAACAAGCAATCGACCCGATCACGCATCCGATATCGTACAGCGCCGTGATGTTTCCCTGCATCGCAGTATCCGGATTGTTAAAGTCGCGTCCGAACCGGTTGTCCGCTCCTACAATTCCAGACATCACCCCTTTTCCGTCAGTATCGCAGCTTTGCCAGGGAAAAGCAAACATACCCTGATCGAATCCAAGCAGAAGGAAGGCCTGGCAGGACGCCATGGTCATGGCGACCTGTAAGGCCTTGCCGCGAAAGTTGTGCTTCCAGAGATGCATATTGATACTCTGGTGCTCTGGTATCTGCCGGAAGACCTGACGAGTCGAATATCTTAAAGCTTAGCGTGAGTCTAGCCATTCTGGCCTTGCCCTCGCGGTCTATTCCCCCGAGGTACATGGTAGATACTACAGCAATCTCTCCTATTGGCTTTCGGGTCGTATTACCCCGGACATTTCGCAGACTGGAAAACCCGAGACAGTCGGGCCCTTCCGAAATGCGGGGGTATTCCGGGGCCCCGCATATTTTATTTGTCCCGATATTGTCATTTATTATGGACCGACAGCGATTATACGAAGATAAAATGCTAATGTGAGCACGATTACGATGTTGAAGACCGGTCACTTATATGTGCTGGTCAGAAGACCACCCGTGAATGTGATCATCAACGGAACTACGCACCGCGATGCTTAAAAGTCGCTGAACACCAGCATTCATGACGATGTTGAACATAAAATACTAACAGCATGGCCAGAGTTTTTCTGGTAGGCATTGATAAGCTGGAGTCTAGGGCTTAATCTCGCCATTTAGGTCTCCGCGATCGCTGGCCGCCCCAATGGGTCAACTTGTGATCAATCACGACAGTGGAAGAATTTCCTTATCATTTGAGCCATGAGTCAGTCTCGTCTACCAAGATGACCTGTATATACTGCTCGGAGAAACTGTCAATCCGCTGGTATAGTGGAATTTCCCTTTCCGGTAATCTGCATGCAGTTTAGCCCCACGGGTGATATCACCATCCACGACTAACACCGATGCAGGTACGTTCCTTCAGAGTACCTTTAAAAGTATACAAGTACATTCAAGTGTCCCAGTTGAAAGAAACCAGTGTGCCATTCAAACACAGCGTCGTCAGCATCGTGGTCTCGGTACTCCTACACAATGTCACATCAACGTTTCATTCGAGGCAGGAGGTTCCTCGGATCCGTGATTACATGATTTGCCGATCAAGATACACATCTCTGAGTTCAGCTCTGTCTTCTTAGCCATTGCTCTCTCGAATTACCCCGCGGAAGTGCCAGACTCCCATATACGTGCTCCTGGGCAGGGACCATCTCAAAATCACCGAAGAACCCAGCTATCCGGCCGACTGCTTGCTCCCTACCACCTTACACCATGAGCTTTCAGAAACTTCCCAGTGAAATCCTGCTTCACATTAGCGATTTCCTGGAACATCCTTGGAATATCAGCGCCCTCTCCCAGACGAACCGCCACCTATATACTACATTGAATTACTATCTATATCAACACAATGTTCGTCATTTTGATAGCTCACTGTTTGCGTGGGCAATGGAAAATGGATCCGAGATTGTTGTGCGAAAGATGCTAGATGCAGGTGCTTACCCGACAAAGGAATGCTCATGGAATCGTCTTGATTTGATCAGCGCAGCAGCAGCAGCAGGACACACTGAAATTGTTCAGTTATTTCTGGAAAGAGATCTACTACCTGTTGACCGTCGCGGCGCCTTGCTGACAACGGCGGCAATTTTCGGCAGTGATTCTGTTGTATACCTCCTTCACGACCATGGGGTGTCCATAACCTCTAACATGGCTAAAGAGCTGCTTTGTGTAAGACAGGGATGTGGCTTCGATGTGACGAAGATACCTGTGGATAAGATGTGGAGCGATTATCCAAGAGATGAAGCAATCGAGATATTATCGTGGGAATTGGAACAAAGAGTGGTGTCTGGACCTGAGTGCTTGGAAACAATTCAATACCTGCTCCAGCTTGGGATCAGCCCGAACCCAGTCCATCCCGACAAGCTTGGTCCGCTTTCCCTTGCCGCTGAGCGTGGTTACCTTGATATTGTGCGTTGCTTGGTTGATTCTGGGGCGGAAACAGCACCAGCGCTGAAGACGTCGCCGCGTAACCCAATCTACAGAGCCATCAATGAAAAGCACACCGATGTCGCGAGATTCTTATTTGAACGCTCAGGGCTCGAGGCGCTCACACCCAAGTCCGAAGGTGAGGCGGCCCTGCTTCTGTGGGTTGCTACCGCTCTGGGCTCCGAACCTCATTTCTGGTGGGCCGTGCAATTCGGATTGCCGAGGGAGGAACGTTTGTTACATCTTGTGTACCATCATTACGATTTATCTGCACCCCTGGAGGTTGCGGCAAGAATGGGCCATGAAACGATCGTTGGCCTATTGCTGAACTTCCTACAATTCAACGAAGGGAGGTATAGGAGCATGACCCAGCGAGAACATGCACTCTTTGCAGCCATTCGTGAAGGGCACGAGCCGATTGTCAAGCTGTTACTTGACCACAATGCTGATCCCAACGTCATGGATTCTTCGACCACAACATCGATGAATTACTCGATTTCAACACCGCTGTCAGTCGCCATCGAGCATGAGGCTATATTCAAGTTGCTTCTTGAGCGAGGGTCCGATGCCATCAGGACCCCAGTTCCTGAGAATGAGAATGGTTTCGCTGTCAATATAACGGCAGTGTTGGTCCGACTGGGTAAAACGACTTTTATCGATCACTTGTTGTCAACTCTAGGAGACCCTCAACTTCATGTTCTTCTTCCGCTCGACAACGTTCATATTCTCAACCGGGCACTCATTGGAGGGCCGGCCATGCTCAAATACCTAGTCTCCAAGAGATTACTGCAACTCCCGTCTGACGAACATGACAGACAAAGTGCCGTCAACTATACGCTCGATCATTACCTTCCAGGATCTCTTGACTTCCTCTTGGACGCAGGTTTCACTTTACCCCTTGGCGTGGCTCGGGACGCACTAAACTTGGCACCAAGCGACGAAAACAATTCCCTTGAAACGATCGATGTGTTGTTGAAACATGGCGTGGATATAAACAGCCGCTCTCTTGACGGATCCACAGTCTTAGGGTACTGGCTTCAAGAACCAGTCAGAGATGCCAAATTTCTTGTGAGCAGAGGCGCAGATCCGCTACTAGTGGACCGTGACGAGATCCTGCTGGCTACCGCAACACGCATGCTATCGGCGCAAGACTTGAAACCTGTGTTGCAGTCAATTGATGTCCGTTCTGTGCCGCGCGATGAATTGCGCCAGAAGATTGCTAGATCTCTATCCGTTGCGGAGGAAAATCAGAAGTGGGATAATGTGAAACTGCTCGAGCGCTTCCAGGCTACGAATAACCTGTTGGCGAGTTAATGACGATTTTGTACATGCAATTTTGATCTTATAGAGAGCGCACTTATTTATACTCCGGCCACTGTATGCACGCCGAAGAACACTCACAGATTCAGCTTCGCTTCCCCTCGTAAAGCACTCAAACTGGATGATTTGAATTACAAATTGAATTAACTATTCTGCCTTCACAATCACAGCCTTTTTTTTTTTTTTCGAAGGCACGTCACATGACTTATTGATCCCCGCTCTTTTTTATTCTGCCTGAAAAACACGAGACTTCGCGAACAAACACCTCTCACCATGCATCTCTTAGACCTCCCTAACGAAATCTTGCTTCTCATTGCCAAATATTCTGATTATCCTTGGGAGATTAGTTGTTTCTCCCAGGCTAGCCGCCATCTCCATTTATTGCTAGATGGCCTTGCCTATCAACATGACCAACGCCATCACGATAGCTCATTATTGGTATGGGCAGCGAAGAATGGAGTCGTGTCAATTGCACGCAAAATGCTGGATAACGGGGCCTACCCTTTGCGATGTCATGATGGAGAGCATACGGCCATGTCGCTTGCTGTGATGAATGGACATGCCTCGATACTAGAGCTGTTCCTGGAAAGAAACATACCTCTACCTAGAACGGACTTCCTCGACCCTGACTATGACGCACTGACGGAAGCGGTGCACGAGGGCCATGCATCTATCGTCCGGTTGATTATTGAACATCGAAAACTCCCGGCTTCTTGGAACTTCAAATTTCTGTTGGCTGATGCAGCGGGGGACGGCTATATTGCTGTCGTCGAGGTACTCATGAGATTATGGGAAATGGAACATCCTCCTGACCAGCTTCCCCTCCCTTCATTGACAGTCGCACTGGCCAAGGCATTGTGCAGCGCAGCGGGCGCGGGTGAATTAGAAATGGTTCAGTGCCTGCTCCGACTCGGAGCCAACCCAAATGCAGTTCCTCGTACACGGGATACCCCATTACTTGCCGCCGTCACCTATGGTCATTTTGACATGCTCCGGTACTTGCTTACCCATGGCGCAGATGTGGCTCAGTTATCAGTTGAACAGAGATCCAGCATTTTCTCTAAAGCCGCCACCAACGAGCGTGACGCGAGGTTCATTTTGGAAAACATCGATTATAAAAGGTTTGCAATGAACAGTAAAAAGGAACATGCATATTTGCTGTATGCCGCTATTGCATGCGAGTTTGAACAACATGTGCAAGAGCTTCTGCAATACGGCTTGCCTGATGACAGTGACTTTGTAGTCCTTCATTATGATCAATGTTGCCTACGCTGTGGACCGCTTGAAGTGGCCGCAAAGACGGGCAACGAGAAAATTGCCACTCTCCTGTTAGACAAGGGCGCTTCTTGTAACCCTCGCGACATGATCCCATCCCGAGACCCACTCCGCTTAGCCATCCTCGAAGGACGTGAGAATATAGTCAAGTTGCTGCTCGATCGCGGTGCTGACCCAAATTACATCGAACGCCTCGGTGCTACTGTCTCCTTGCCGCTAGTTCTAGCCATCGAGCACGAACCTATCTTCAAACTGCTACTTGAGCGAGGAGCTGACCCCATGAGCCCAATTTACTCTCGCTACACCAGTAGCACCACAGTGCTACAGGTGATTATGTCCGGGAAAGTGGCCTTGGTCCAGACATTGTTGGATCGTGATGTGCCAATTGAAATTCCTGGCCCTTTGCACCATCAACAGGAGAGGACCAGTCTTCTGCACTACGCGATAGAAGGAGGGGCAGATATGATGAAATTCCTTCTTGGAAAGGGCTTTCTGAATATCCCTAGTGATTCGAATGAGAGAAAGGAAGCCGTCATATATGCCTTAGACAGAAAGCAGGCCTCCTCCTTCAACTACCTCATGGACCAAGGTTTCAACATGCCTATTGATGAGGTCCCAAAAACACTTGAAAAGCTTGCTGGATATGCGCAGACAATAGGCTACGGTTCCTGGCATTCTCAAGCAGACGCGATGTTCAACACACTATTAAACTGCGGTGCGAATATAAATGCCACCGATATCCCTGGATACTCGGCTCTCTGGTATAGTATCCACTTTCGCTACATCAAAACCGTGGAATATCTCCTGAGTAAAGGCGCGGATCCGCTTACTCTGAACAAAGGCGGGGAAACGCCATTATCTCTCTCGGTGCGGTGGATGGAGGGGTTTGAGCTCCTGATGCGATCAATTGACATTTCCTCTATGCCGCCGTATCAGTTGCGCTATAGGATAGAGAGATGTCTGGATGCGGCTGTCGAGTTTAAGCAGTGGGAGGTTGTGAAGAGGTTGGAGCGTTTTCGACTCAAGGTGAATAGACTGGAGAGCTGATCTGTGTTTGATTGGCAGGGTTGGATCCAAATTGAAGGAATACTTTCTTGTATATAGTGCCCGTGATGTTGACAGGATCCTCACCCGGTGAACTAGGTACATACACTTATAGTACGTACATCGGAGAGCACCTGGCGTTCCAGTCAGCGGATACATGGTATCTTCTATACTGAGATATTCTTTGCGACTCGGTTCATTCGTTATCGATGTGGATTGCAATAGCATAGCTGTCCAACCTATTCGGCCTGACAGTCGAGGCCTTCCGTTAAATGATCCCGGACCATGCCAGCGGAAACGAGAGTTCAAAATGCATATATGGACAGAGAAAAGGAAGGGAGATGCTAAATCGACACCCCTCCGAATTAGGCAAGTCAGCAAAGCTACGAAAAGGCGCCAATATACCAACTTACTATGCCGCCATTCAAGGGCTTTGTTGATTTGTGAGAGTGCTTAACTGGCTTAAAACTATCATGATTTTAAACCGCAGAAAAATCTGGCTATTAAACCGCTTTTTTAACAAAATCAACACTAAAATCGCATAACTTGGACATTTCGCGCTATTCCGAACATGGGGGAGAGGGGGGAGGGTGTAGATTTAGCGAAAGGAGAAGTATATTTCCAAATAAGGAAGGCGGCGATAGCCTTAGCCACATATTACATGAGTCAGCCACACCCGCCACACCAATGTTAGTTTTCTCCTTTTTCTTCTTGCATATTTTCAATTCATCTTTCACAGGGACCGTCTGCTCTCCGGTATTGCGCTTTAAGACAGAGAGCATTGACCGATTACCGGATAGCTGGCTTGCAGTGGACGCCGCCATAATGAGTCTCCTGAGCCTCCCAAATGAGATCCTATTTCTCATCGCTAATTACTCGGAATATTCTTGGAATATTAGCGCGCTCTCCCAGGCAAATCGTTATCTATATTCCTTGCTGAATGGCTATGCCTATCAACATAATGACCGCTACTTCGGCAGCTCACTACTGAAATGGGCGGTCGAACATGACTCTGAGATTGTTGTGGCAAGAATGCTAGACGCAGGTGCTCCTGCAAGGATGCCTGGCCCAAAAAATGACTATGATCCGATTGAGACTGCTGCATTAAACGGGCAGACGGCGATTATCCGGCTAGTCGTGGAGAGGGAACTAGTTTCAGCGGACCATTCCTACCACTTGATGCTTCTTGCGGCAGTTCATGGTCATGAGGCTGTTGTAAAGCTCCTTCGCGTGCCAGCAATGCTCAGCTCTCCAACACAACCCTATGCCGATTTCGCTATGGCGAGGCAGGGTCGTAATTTGAACGTGACGAAAATATTCACGGAGGAATTGGGAGACTTCTTGTTGCCAAGTGATATATCGTTCACGTGGTGTGAGGAATTGAGATTGGAAGCACGAAGAGGCCGCTTGGATTCAGTTCGAGAACTCCTCCGGCTTGGGGCCAACCCGAATAAGGCCGGCCCTTACGATTACGAACCTACTGCACTTACCATTGCTGCTAAAGCTGGCCACTTGGAGATTGTTGGGTACTTGCTTGAATATGGGGTGGACATGGCGGAAGCGCGAGAACGCTCACGCGAGAATCCAATCTTCATAGCCCTTGATAACGGTCATGTGGGGATTGCAAGGCTTTTATTCGAACATTCAGGGCTTGACACGAATACCCTAGAAACCAGCGACAGTAGAGCCTTTGTTCTTTGTCTGGCGGCTGCCTGTGGCTTTGAATATCATGTTCGACAACTTCTGAGCTATAGTACACTGAACGAAAAATATTTGTTTAAATATCCATTTGACACGCCCGGCCTTCGCGGGCCGCTTGAAGCCGCAGCAAAAAATGGACACACGGAAATCGTTGCTCAATTGTTGAATGAAAGACGCGTCAACCCACGACGAGAAAATCCGCTATATCACGCCGCTCGGGAAGGGCACGAGCATATCGTCAAGCTATTGCTTGACCATGATGCTGACCTCAATGACGATTATTGCCTGGATCTACCATTACTGTATGGAGCTGTTGAACACGAAGATATATTCCGATTACTTGTCAATCGAGACGTTGACCTCACGGACATAATGTATGAGGATGATGAGCCGGTCACTGTAATGTCACTAGTGATCCGTCGTGGGAAGATAGCGTCGGTTGAGCTGTTGCTTGACAACGGTGTGAAAATCGAAGAGCCGAATGAGAACGATCTTTTACGATGGGCAATAGAAGGCGGGCCAGCCATGCTTCGATGCCTCCTTCTCCGGGGGCTTTTGAAATTCCCATCTACCCACAGTGAAAGACAGGCTGCTGTGATGGCTGCGATTCGCGATGGTCTGACAGGGTCACACGACTTTCTCTTGGATCAAGGTTTCAATATGCCTGAAACTCACCATCATCTTCTTGACTATTTCTTCGAACCCTGTTCGACTGAAACGCTTGATATACTCCTGAAGCACGGTATGAATATCAACAAGAAAGATCGTAATGGATACACAGCTTTGTTGCATACCGTCCAAGAACCTGTCCCTCATCATGTGAGGTATTTCTTGGAAAAGGGCGCGGATCCGCTGATCGCTGGAAGTGACGGCAAAACGTCTTTGCTTCATGCGGTAGACAAGCTGGGGGCTGCGGATTTCAGACTCATGCTGCAGTCAACCGACGCCCATTCTGTACCGCGGAATGAACTGCACCGGGAGATATCTAGATGTCTAGCTACGGCAGTTGAGCGTGAGGACTGGGATAAGGTGCGGATGCTGGAGCGCTTCCGAGTTAAGATCGACATGTTGGCAAACTAGCGCTGGGGTTGTTGTACATAGCATTTGATTCTGTGTATAGTGCATGTTCCGAAAGAACTAGAAATGACCATATAGACTTAGACCACACCGGTTAAATGCATAGGCTTAAAGCCATATTTCCATTGCTCCAGAGAGCTGCCGGCATGTCCTCTTTCGCTTGCAAGGATGATCCTTGTACGGTCACTCTTGACACGAAGGTTGTGGTGAGCAGTTGCTTGCTTGCTAGATTTCCTTGATATACCCTGTCTCCGGAGGAAGATTATCCCTGTTGCCGCCACGTAGCACAGCCGAGCGTCTCGTTTTGTATGAATAAGTCAATTCGTTTTGATTCTTAAGTGGATTTCTCAGTCTCCTCTTTTCAGCAGCGAATTCTATTTTCCTTGACACAACATATCAGCGTCAACCTGTGCCATCGAACATCGAAGGAATACGAAATCCTACCATGGATCTCTTAGCTCTCCATAACGAGATTTTCTTTCTTATCGCGGAATTCCTAGAATACGAGTGGGATATCAGTGCACTCTCTCAGGTCAACCGCCGCCTCTACCTACTGCTGAACAGCTATGTTTATGAGTACAATCGGAGTCACTTTGACAGTTCGTTATTGAGATGGGCAGCAGAGCATGGCTCTGAGATCGTTGCTCGCAAGAGGCTAGATATAGGAGCTGCTACAGCGATATCTAATGAGCAGCGTTTGAAAGTCATGGCTATCGCTATGCGGAATGGGCACGTTGCAGTCTTACAGCTTCTTCTAGAGCGAGGAATCGACTTACCTCATGATTTACTGCTAGACACGGCAAAGAATGGGCACCTGTCCGTCATGCAGTTCATGATTGGACGCGGGAAATTTTCACCTTCCATGAATATCGCCAAAGACACATTATCCGCGGCAGCAGGGCGAGGCGATCTTGCTGTTATTAAGGCCCTTGTGGACGGCCTATGGGTCAGGCATCTTCACTACAATCCTGAGTACCATAATTGGAGATATACCGCGGCAAGTGCAATGTCGCACGGCGCAGCGATCAACAACCAGTTAGAAATCGTCCAGTACCTTGTCGACCTTGGCGTCGGCCCAGATGATTCTAATCCTCTAACTGCAGCAGCCACGGGAGGTCATCCTGATATGCTTCCAAGCCAGGGCTAACATTGAGCTTGGTGAGAGATGAGGTATCATGAACAATTGACTCACATTCCCTACGCATAGTTCCCCGGTCAACCACATCGGTGGGCCCGTATAGTGTCATTTGCCATTTTTCATTCGTCAAATGGTCGTGTCCGCGGTACTTACAGCCCTTAAACTGGGTTAGCGCATGTCTAGTGCCAAATCCGCTGTCTCCGACGATATCCGACATATCCAGATCAGGATGATCGTGAGTCAATTCTCTCGACTTATAAGACGCTTCCATCGCTGTAGATTTACACAGAAACACACCGAACAAAATGGCAGGAGAGCAGGCATCATACGGTGAGCCAACAGTACAATACTAGCTATCACTCGCTAACCGGACAGTCACCATCGATGTCTTCACATCGGAACGGTATGCATCCCACCCCGCAATGCCCACTTTATCTAACAATTACAGTCTCAAGGGAAACCAACTCGCCGTGGTAGACATTACCGACAAATCCCTAACCCACCAGCGCAAGCAACAAATCGCCCGCGAGTTCAACTTCTCCGAAAGTGTCTTCCTTACTCATGGCGGGCCGGGTCGAAACCCGCGCGCCGAGATCTTCACGCCCGTGAATGAGATGGAATTCGCCGGTCATCCGGTCATTGGTTCGGGACATGTTTTGTTTCAGGGCCTGTTGGGTTCATACGGCCCCAGTCAGAGTATGACGTTGGACACCAAGGCGGGGCCAGTTGCGATTAAATATGATCCGGCTGAGAAGGTTGTCTCGGCGGGGGTTCCGCATAATGTGCATGTTCATGAGAAGCAGGCTCCCCTTTCTGTTCTTGTAATGACGCAGAAGGGTCTGGCCGATGTCGCCGGTCTCGACAGCACATTCCCCACGATATCTATGGTCAAGGGAGTCACCTATGTTCTGGCCGATTTTACAAAGCAGCCTGATGCATTTGCCAACTTGGCTCCGGGGCCAAGCCCAACTATTGACCTGGACGATGACTGGAGTCCTTCGTTTGTCGGAGTCATGTACTATCGAACTCTGCAGTCTCGCGTCGAGGAAGAGACGACCGTATGGGACCTCCGTGTGCGCATGATTGCCATCGACCTGGAGGATCCGGCGTGTGGAAGTGGATCGTGTGCCTTGGGTGCGTATCTCGCTTTGCAATCTGGACAGCAAAGTCGCAAGCATCGCTTCAATATCGACCAAGGATCGGAAATTGGACGCGATAGTCAGATCATTGTCAACATTGGGTTGAACGAGTCACGAGACAAGGTGGAGAGCATGCAGCTCGCTGGTCCAGCGGCTTTGGTGGCTCAAGGCAAGATCTTCTTGGATTAGTCTATCTAGATATGTACATTCTATACCGAAAAAAGATTCCCGTTCAAATACTTGAGTCCTGTGTCAACCGCCACCGTAACAACAGTCTTCCCGGGTCCTAGCTCTTTAGCCAGGGCCAATGCAGCGGCGACATTAAGACCTGTCGAGGTACCGACCAGAAGACCCTCCTCACGAGCCAGACGGCGACACATCTGACGACCCTCGTCTTCAGAAATCGCCCGAGCTTCATCGTAGAAACTCTTCTCCAGATGTGGCGGGACAGACCCAAGCCCAACACCTTCCACCCCATGCGACCCGGCACGGCCTTCCGTAAGTACCGGCGAAGAGGCCGGCTCGAGCACAACCGTTTGTGTCTCGGGTCTCTGGGATTTCAAAACGCGAGAAACCCCCATCGCCATCCCGCCAGTGCCAACAGCACCGCAGAAGGCATCGATTCCGTCCGGAAACTGTTGCACGAGTTCTTGGCCGATATCCTCGTACCCAACGAAGGAGTCCCGGTTAGTAAACTGATTCGTCCAGTAACAGTTCCCGCTTTCGGCGATATCCCGTGCCCGTCTCGCCATCGACGGGACCAAGTCACCCGTGATAGTCCCCGTGGGACTATGAATCAACTCAACCTCCGCCCCGAACGCACTCATAGTCCTTAACTTCTCCGGCGCAAACGCATTCGACGACACAACCCGGAACCGATACCCCTTAATCGCGCAGATATACGCAAGCGAAGAACCAGTGCTGCCACCGGTTGCTTCGACGACGGTCATTCCGGGTTTCAGATCGCCGCGGCGCTCGGCTTCCTCGATCATGGACTTGGCCATCCGGTCTTTGTAGGAGCCAGTGGGGTTGACGGATTCGAGTTTTAGGTAGACATCGGCGTGGTTTTCGGGGACGAGACGGTGGAGATGCACGACGGGCGTGTTGCCGATGACTTGGAGGGCGTTGGCTACTAGAGGGGGTGCGGTCATTGTTGACTATGAATGTACGTACCGGGTGATGGATGCTTCCCAATTATGACTCTTCTGTCATAATCAAAATTCGCCTAATCCGAAATAAGTTAGACGGTGAAGAGTAATTAATCATCAGAAATGATGCCATTCATCGTGTCTAAACCAGGCACTGTAGGTGACTGGCCCGGTAGATTATGAGTCAGAGCTTTAGAGGACAGGTTCAATGTTCAGGATATACAATTGGCACCATTGCATAGAAATAATTGAGCATTGTCCGTCGTTGTAAATGCCGTGAAGATTGTGCCAAACGGATACTCCGCAAAGATATATAATCCATTGCAAAAGGTATATTCATACCTGAACCTACGATATGATAAGATCATGTCCAAGCATATTCAGAGGTCCTTCGTGAACGCAATTCTCCAACCTCTGCCTCAACAATGTATACATTTTTGTATACCATCTAAGCAATTAAAGTCTATCTACCCCGGGATCTAACATCGGTCTAGAATGAATCTAATCTGATATCACCGGCAGCTGGATTATCGGACTTTCCGCACTGAACCTCGGATCGGCTACGAACAAGACTGAACAATGCCGGGACACGACTATCATTGCCCTTGGCTTAATTTGGTGGACCTGTCAAATGCATTCTCCCCACATTTTCTCCGCATCCCAAAGGCTTGGCCATGTCTGTCAGGAAAGGTCTATCATTCCGTCTTTGTCAATCGAATCGTTTCAATGTGCGGAACCAGTCACTACGCGGTCATTCTTAAGCACATCGAGATGTCTTCGGGGATGTGTGTGCCAGAGCCAGCAGAATGTCAATTGAAGTATCCCAAGCCGGTGTGCCACAAGGGCACCCGGACTACCTTGAAGAAGCAGCAGCCAAAACCCTGACACCAAGTCTCTCACCAGAGCATCAAGCCTTCCTCATCGATCGTCATGGCACCCTGAACCTCGATCCTATTCCTAGCATCGACCCGACAGATCCGTACAACTGGCCGTCGTGGAAAAAGGGCACCAATCTGGCTCTCGTCGCCTTCCATGCCTTCATGGGCACCTTTTCCGCGGCCGGAATCATCCCCGCGTTTGAGGAGATCTCGGAAGCACTGGGTGTCTCGCTACAACGCGCAAGTTATCTCGTCTCGTTGCAGATTGCGATCCTGGGCGGTGCGCCGTTGTTGTGGAAGCCATTGTCGCACCGTTTCGGACGGAGACCAATCTTCCTGTTGTCGCTGATACTGAGCTGTGTGTGCAATGTGGGATGCGCGAAGAGTCCGGATTACGCCTCAATGGCGGCTTGTCGGGCCTTGGTGGCGTGTTTCATCTCGCCAGCCATGGCCATTGGGAGTGCGGTGGTTATGGAAACGTATTTCCAGCATGAACGGGCGCGGTACATGGGTATTTGGACTGTGATGGTGACCTTGGGGATACCCATTGGGCCTCTCATCTTTGGATTCGTGGCGAATCGCGTGGGATACGTATGGATCTATTGGATATTGGCTATTGTGAGTGCCGATTTGCATTGAAATTATCCGAGCTATATTAACCAGGAAAGACGAATGGATGTCAGCTCATTCTATACATATTCTTCGGACCAGAGACCCGTTACGTCCAGTCGAACAAAACAGGATCAGTCCTCCAACGACAGTACCTGCGCATTGGACGGATTGACCCCCGGCCCTTTGCGTTGAACGAATTCATCCATCCTCTTTCCCTCTTCCGCAAAGTCCCCGTTATGCTCGCCGCGGTCGCATACGGAATGGTCTTCCTCTTCGCCAGCGTACTGAACTCCATCGAAATACCCCAGCTACTGCAGCAGAAGTTCGAGCTCAACGCAGAGCAACTAGGCCTGCAGTTCCTCGGGCTCATCATCGGGACACTGCTAGGCGAGCAGCTGGGCGGCATCATGTCGGATCTCTGGATGAGCTGGCGCGCCCGTCGCATAGGCCACCTTCCAGCCCCCGAGTTTCGGCTCTGGCTGAGCTATATCGGCTTCTTGCTGAGTATGGCGGGTATGATTATCTTCCTGGTGTGCACTGAGCAGGCCCAGGCTGGGAAATGGACCGTGGTGCCGATTGTCGGCACGGGTATTGCGGCTTTTGGCAATCAGGTTGTAACCACTGTTCTTACCACGTATGCTGTAGACATTTATCCTGAGGATGCTGGGAGTGTTGGTGTATTCATCAACTTTGTCCGTTCGGAATGGGGGTTTATCGGGCCGTTCTGGTATGTCACCCCGGTTGTCTCTGTATCGACATGACTAACACGACGCAGGTTTCCAGCTATGTTCGAAGAAGTCGGCATCGCAGCTAGTGCAGGAGTCATGGTCGCCCTGATTACCGGTGTTAGTTTTATTCCGACGGCTCTTTTGCACTGGCAGGGGTGGCGATTGCGGTAATGTTGCGCTCCGTACACAGGGTGTTGTATATACTCAACAACCACAAATGAATGCAATTACACGATATTGATCTGGATCAGGCCATTATTTCTACATGCGACACTACAGGCAGCAGTGTATCATCTAATTCTCTAGAAAAGAGGGCAATCAGGGTAGCCCACCATACTATTTATAGCGGTTTCAGTGAGATTAGATCGTCGCATCGGGTGGTTCCGACAATAACAATTGCACGGATGGCTCGGATTTTTTTTTTAATATCGAGTCTCGGGGGTTTCTATTCAATGGGATTACTGTGTTTGTGCACAGTTCGGATCCATGGCTAGTCAAGCTTCGGCGTCCCCACCGGCTGTCACAGATTGATCGGAGTGGGCTCAGGGCAAACTCGGGGCTGCCACTGAAGTTATTCCGACAGTTTCACCTTGACACAGATAGGGCTGGTATAAGGCCAGGTAAAAAGCTTAGCTTTTGCATATAAAAACCTTTGTCCCTGACCTTCAACAAGTCTTTCATCCAACAAGTTCATTCTCTCTTTACTACTTTCTTTACTCACTTCTATTCTCTAATATATTCCGTTCTGTTGACCAGAACCGATTCCCTTCATTAATATGCACTCCTTCCAACTTCTCGGCCTAGCTGCGTTGGGCTCCGTTGTCTCTGCTGCCCCGGCCCCCTCTCGTGCTTCGGACTTCACCAAGCGCGCAAGCACCTGCACCTTCACCGACGCCGCGGCGGCCTCTGAGAGTATCTCGAAGTGCTCCGACGTCGTGCTGAAGGATATCGAGGTCCCCGCCGGTGAGACCCTGGATCTTTCTGACGCCGCCGACAAGTCCAAGATCACCTTCGAGGGTACCACCACCTTTGGCTACAAGGAGTGGAAGGGTCCTCTCATCCGTCTCGGTGGTTCCGGCCTCACCATCACCGCTGCCGAGGATGCTGTGATTGACGGCGAGGGCTCGCGCTGGTGGGACAGCAAGGGTACCAACGGCGGCAAGACCAAGCCCAAGTTCATGTATGTCCACTCCATCGAGGACTCGACCATCTCCGGCTTGCACATCAAGAACACCCCCGTGCAGGCCATCAGTGTCCAGGCCGACAACACTATCCTCGAGAACCTGACCATCGACAACTCGGACGGCGACGACAACGGCGGCCACAACACCGACGCTTTCGACATCAGCGAGTCTAACGGTGTCTACATCCGCGGCGCCACCGTCAAGAACCAGGACGACTGTATCGCCATCAACTCGGGCAAGAACATCGAGTTCTCGGGCGGTTCGTGCTCTGGTGGCCATGGTCTCTCCATCGGCTCCGTTGGTGGCCGCGACGACAACACCGTCCAGAACGTCACCATCACCGACTCGACCATCAGCAACTCGGCTAACGGTCTGCGCATCAAGACCATGGTCGACGAGACCGGCTCCGTCAGCGACATCACCTACTCCGACATCAAGCTCTCCGGAATCTCCGACTACGGTATTGTCGTCGAGCAGGACTACAAGAACAGTGGCGCGACCGGCTCCCCCAGCAGCGACATCAAGGTCTCTGGGGTTACTTTCGATGGTATCACCGGTTCCGTTGAGGACGATGCTAACCCGGTCTTCATCCTCTGCGGTGATGGTAGCTGCGATGACTGGACCTGGAAGGGCGTTGACATTACTGGTGGCGAGTCTAGTGATGACTGTGAGAACGTTCCCTCTGGCGTTTCTTGCTAAATGTGCATAAGTTGTAATATAGCTATCCTGTCAAGTCTATCCTTTGTAATATAGCTTTTTTTTCAAAACATTGTTATTGAATAGTCGATGCAACCATTACCATCGATATTAGACCATCTTTCAGTATGCTTTCTAGCTTAATATCTCAGTTGCAGTGTCATTGCAAGCATTCGTTCCTGATAAGCATCCCCAAGGTGTACACCACAGTCACCGGTCACCAATCCGACACCGTCTCGGACGCCCGAATAACCATATCAACGCTTTGATCGATGTCTCAGATGCGGCTATAACACTGACGCAGCTGCGGAAGCTCTGGTAATTTATAGAAAATATTACGTCGAGCATCTCGTGCATCTCCGGTTCAGCAGCGCTGAGCCAGTCGTCTACATAAACTCCTCCCTTGCCGTTACCAAGATCGATGGTCATGCAAGGAGTATGTTGAAGATCGATCTGACGTGAAAGCTCGCAGATATGCAGACCATTGTGAAGCAAGGAAATGTCTAATGCAGATATCCTACTGAGGTGAGCCGGGAAGAGAACATCCCGCAAGGGTATTGCATTGATTCATGACATCATTAAGTGCTGAGCGCTTTTCATGGCTCGATTGTGACTAAATTACATAGCGGAAACTTTCCATCTCCCCATCTGTCTTGTTGGACAGGTCTTGCTGCAATTCTTCGTTCTCCGTCATTAACGAAGGGGGTCCGTATAGTGCGTCGCGGCGGCGGTTTTCCCAGATGTAGTACACCATCAGGCAGAATAAGAAGAAGATGCCCAGGATAAGACCGCACATGGCTGCTTTGATTCCGGTCTATCTCTTTATTAGTCTTGAAAATCGGAATGAACGATTCGAGGGGCATACCGGATAATCTGGCTCCTCCGACGCAAGATAAAACTGAGGTCCAACGATATTCCCAACGCAGTATGCGACGAAGATCAAAGCACTGATGACACTCCGCTTCGTGAACCCGGCAACATTGGAACTGACTAAACTCAGCGACAGCGGGATGTTAACGGCGAACACGCCGCCAAAGGTCAAGCCCGTGAGCCGACCACCCTTGTTGTCCGCGTCCAATTTCCAGATCAGGATCATCCCCATCATCGATAGTGATGTAGTAAACATCATCATGGCGATTCGGGTCGACTTGATGTAGGTGGCCACGCCGGAGGTGATCACTAGAAAAACGATCTGGGCGGCTCCCATAGGCATTTGCAGTAGGAGGGACCTCAGTCGACCGTATCCGAAGCCGTTGATGAGAATTGATGAGAACTGACCCGTCAGTAAGTTGCATACGTCTTTTATTAAATGGCAGGACATACCGAGGTGATACCGCCATTGCAAAGGTTGACGCAAAAGTTATACAAAACCAAGAACCACGTCTGCGGATCTTTAAAGGCCATCCACACTTGATTCCACTTAAACGTGCCAACGTCCATGACACCCGTCTTGTTCTTCAGTGTCCGCTGCAGCGCAATGGCGCGTTCCTTCTCTTTGAGAAAGATGGCATTCTTGGGGGTATCGGGCAGCAATGCGACCAACCAGAACGCCAGACTCGTGGTCACGGCACCCAGAACGAGGAAGATCAGTTGCCATTGAGCGATCGTGTGGATTGTGATGTTTCCAATGCCATAGACGACCACACCGCTGATGAGGTTGGCGACGCAGTTTCCGAGATACCAGGCGGCTTGTCTGGGATGGTCAGCTATTTGGATCCGATCAAGTGAGTTGAAAGGGTGCGTACCGTGCTGGCTGTTCTTCTCGCGTGTAGAACATACCAACGACGAGAGAGAAACCTGGGGCAATCGATGCTTCTCCAACTCCCTGATGGTGTCAGCAACGATATACCGAGATAGTTGCATGCAATACAACATAAACATACCAAAAAGAATCTGGCTGCCATTAGGCCTGCAAAGTTCTTTGCTGCCGCATGGCACAGGAGAAACCCTCCCCAAAGAAACACACAAACACTGAGGTACTTTCCGATGGGCAGCCGGACCATGAGGTATGAGCTCGGCCAACTCCAGACCAGATATCCAAAATAGAAAATCGCCGATGTCCAGTTGAATTGGTCGCCGACAAGGTTCTAACCAGTATGAGCATCGCATCATCCTCGATCGCAGGCAAGAAAACATACAAGGTCCTGTCGCAAGTTGAATAGCGTCGCCTGACTCAACACGTATTTGTCCATGTACTGCATCATGTAACAAGCACCCATCATCGGCAGCAATACCAAATCCAACTTCAATCGCACTTTCCGCTCCTGTTCCGGCGTCGCGTCGACCTCGAGCATTTCTCCCAATACCACATCTTGAGCGGCCGCGGGGAGTCCCTCGCCTTTGACATCGCACAGGTCCTCTTTCGTGGAAGCCGCAGGTTCGTTTGATGTTCGCTTTTCCATGATTGGGTATATGGTAGAATAATGAATCGGTCGCTACAGAACCTTCCGGCAAAAGGTCTTATATGTCACTTCTTTGGCTGGTGCGGAGAGATAATGACATACTTGTACTTCTACATTGAACCAAATATCAAATTACCACCGCACAATGCAGATAGTCAGAGCCGATCAGCTCAGCCTCTGCCGTGTCTCGGGCCTCTTTGGGAAAGACGGAATGCACTTGCCAGTGTGTTGTTGAGTGATGTTCCTCAACAGCGGAACAAAACCCCCATACCACAACTTACCGCTGTTGATCATCGCTGCGCGGCTTATCAACACGCAAAGACCATATGCCGATAGACTTTTGGGTTTCCTTTGGGCCAGAAACGCCAGTCGGTCTGGGCCGTCGGCAGATACACCAATGGGACATTGGGTCCTTTGGCGATTTCTCGCGGGGAATGCGCTTCAGCTGTGTATTCTCGTGATTCCATCCAATCGGCTGGGAACCAAGGATGATTAGGACATTGCTTTTTTATCACGTACTTCGTGCCCCATAGCAAAATAAAGAAGGCGCACCCCAGATCTCGAATGCGGAGATAAAAGCACGCTTCTCGCTGCAAACAGTAACCATCGGCAAGATAGGCGCTGTCCATTCCCTATCTGCCGACGAGTCAAAGACACATGAGTAATGGATTCCTCCGGTTTGCCCGATATAGGATGTGACATTGAGATAACCCAACGGAACCCCGCAATGGAAAACGCGGAGAGATACGAGGTCTGTCGGCTGCCCCGGGGGAGAGGCATTTTCACACAAAGACATGGTTTCCGTTTGTAATGTTATGCCAGAAAATAGTATCATAAAGAGAGCATGTTCCCCAGACCACATGGCTCGGCGCTTGGCTTTTCGCTGACAATCCATTGCATTTCCCGATCAAAATGGCCATCTTAAACGGAACGCATCTCACTGACGTGAAACCGGCAGTCGACGCGGCAGTCGAGTCGCTGAACTCGTCGCTGCGCGAGCTCAATAGACAGGTACATTTGTTGTGGTCGCGAGTCTGACATCATGGACTAAACCGGTATCTCTCATCTAGATCTGGTCTAACCCGGAACTCGCGTATCACGAGTACAAAGCGCATGATACCATTTGCGATTTCCTCGAGAAGCAAGGCTTCACTGTTACTCGCCATGCATACGGCTTAGAGACAGCGTTCGAGGCCACCACTGGTTCCGGCGGTCGTTTGGTCAACTTCAACGCTGAATACGATGCGCTTCCTGGTATTGGACATGCCTGCGGTCACAACCTCATCGCCACGAGCAGTATCACTGCATTTCTCGCCTTGTCGTTCGCGATAAAGAAATTCGGTATCCCGGGTAGAACACAGCTGTTGGGAACACCGGCAGAAGAGAATGGAGGTGGCAAGGCTCAATTGATTGAAGCCGGTGCCTACAAAGATGTCGACATTTCCTTGATGGGGTATGTCTTCGTCACCTCGCCCGCTAGACTTTAAACTAACCTACGTAGTCACGCATGTGTCCACGAGCTCTTCCCCGGTGTAGTTTCGGACGGTATCGCGGGTACATATATGAACGCCCGGAAGAAGCTCTTCTGCGAATTCACCGGCGTAAGCGCGCACGCCGGCGGGAATCCATGGGACGGAGTGAATGCCCTTGATGCCCTGGTAGCCTCATACAACAACGTCTCGGTTCTGCGCCAACAAATCAAGCCCGATGAGCGGATCCATTGCGCATTCCTGGACACCCCCAAGGTCGCAAATATCATCCCGCATTATACCAAGGCGATCTGGCAGGCGCGCAGTCCGACATTAAAGGGGTTGAATCAGCTGGTGGCTAGGGTACGCAATTGTATCGAGGCGGCTTCTCTGGCGACCGGGTGTGAAGTCAATATCGTTGAGTGCGCATCGTGCCCCATGTTCCTTTCCAGTTCTTGTCGGAAACTAATTTAAACAGAGACGAGCTGTACAAGGATGTCCGACTCAACGAGACGCTGTGCGAACGGTACCAGTCCCATATGCAGGCATATGGTCGGAATGTCCTCAAGGACCATGAAAAGGTCATGACGGCTTCTTCTGATATCGGTAGGTTTCTGCTCCTTATCACCCTCGAAATACAGATACTGACCAGCACAGGCAACGTCAGCTATGTCACTCCCACGCTACACACCATGTTCGCCATCCCCGCCTCCAAAGGCGCCTATCTCCATCATTCGTCCTTTGCTGAGGCTGCAGGCAAGGACGAGGCGCACGAAGAGGCAATTGCTGTCGGCAAGTCGCTGGCTCTGACTGGCTGGGATATGCTGACTGACAACGAGAAGTTTGAGGCCGCGCACAACCAATGGCGCGCGAGTGTCCAGGAATGATTGACCCTGTAAATAGTCAATAGACATGCTGTAAATATCCGCTCGTGGCGACGCGAAGGAACGATAACATGAATAAAATAGACTGCTGATTTAGACAGCCATTGTCCGTTGCTAGTGCAGATGCAGAAGTCATGATCCAGATGTGTATGTGCCACTCTATTCGCTATCAAGAAATACAGAACAACATTAGAACACAAATACTACCACTTGTACCACTCCGTGATAGGATTACCCATCGCCACAGCCTCATCCCAAAACGCCCGAAGAATCTCATCCTTTCTCTCCAAGACCGGAACCACTTCTCGTTCAAACGACGTCTGCACAAAAAGCTTTCCGTCCTGCACAGAGTACATCGCCGGTTCCTGGGTCCAATATTTAGGTCCCATTCGGTAAACAAGTCGCAGTGTCTCCATTTTCAGTTTCGGAAGAGTAGAAGAATTTGCGTGTCTACAAAGAAGATTCCCAGCATGCAATTCGAAATATGTACCAGCATCCTTCGGATAAGTTGCTAGAGTTTCCAAAACCTCCCCCGGTAGGAAGGATTGACTCTCCAGCACCGAGAAAGCATGCGTCGAGGCTGACATGTTTGTATTCAACGATTGAGATGCCAGAATCTCCAGAGCCATTTCTGGCACAGAGGGCTGTGCACCGAGAACTCCAATAATGTATCCTCTAACTGACGGATTACCGGCATGCTTGACCAGCTGGAGCGATAGAGCGTTCAGGATCTTGTCTGGCAGAGGAGATTGTACTTCGAGGGCGCTTAGAGCATACTGCCTTGCAAACCCGTCAGTGTCCTCTAATTGAGCAACGAGGGCCTCTAGGATGTTATCTGCTAAGGGAATTCGTCTGCTTAAAATGGAAATAGCAGATCGTCTAAGAGACACATCGGCACCCGTTGAGTGAGACACCAAGCGCTCCCAAATCTTCCCTGGTAGAGGTTGTTTGCTGAGGGTATCCTCAGTAGCTTCTCGGATGTTAATAACTGGATCGCTTAGTCGATACAACAAGGATTCTAGGGCATTTTCTGGTAACGCAGATTGTCCGTCTAAGATCGTAACAACATTCCTTCTGATGGTTGCATCGGCATCTCCGGACAGAGACACCAAACTGTGCATGATCTCTGTCGGCAGTGATGTTCGGGTGCTTATCCTGTGTACGACACCTCCCGCAAGGTTTTTGGTGTTCTCATCTGCGTCTCTAAGTGCGGCGATCAATGTTTCAAAACCCTTCTCCGGTATGGACATTTGGGACCTTATAGGAGACATAGCGGCACTTCTGATAGCAGGATTGGCATCCTTTAGGTAAGGTAACAGAACATTCAGGATAATTTCCGGCGGCAGGGATTGCCACTGTAGAGCACGAAAAGTAAATATCTTGATATCCAGATCATCGTCTTCCAATTGTGAAATCAGTGCTCTCAGAATACCGTCAGGCAGAGGTTGCTGTCTGCCTAAAGCACCAATTACCGATGTCTTGATGGAATAATCGTTGATTCCCAAGTGTGATGCCAGAATTTCCAAAAGGCTTTCGGGAATGGGTGAGTGATCAACTAAAGCAAAAATAGCAGCAGTCCTCACAGACACATTAGCGTCTGTTAACTGAGACACTATGACTTTCAAGGCATTTTCAGGTAAGATGGATCGCTTGCCCAGAGCATAAATAGCTGATGCTTTGAAATATTTGGATACATCAGTATTCTGTATCAGAAGCATCAAAATCTCCAATATCTTCTCTGACAGGTAGGATTGCTCGCCGAAAGCATGAATTACATGTACTCTGGCTTCGACCGATGCCGTGGCGTCATTCATAAGCGAAACCATTGTCTCTAACAAGCGTGAGGAGAGCTGTGGTTTATGCGATGCACCTTCCAGTATAGCCACCTTCGAATCGTCTGGCTCTGGTTGCAGCATTTCACTCAGGATATCGTCAGGAAACTCCATCTCACAGCACACTTCCACTCGATGGAGAAGTTTGAACTCGAACAGAGCCCACTGTTTGCAGCGCCGCTTCATCTGGATCCTAAACTGCTCGATACGAGAGTCCTTGTCCAATGAAGGCACTTCGCTGAAACAATGCATGGAGAGCCGTAGATGCACCGGTCCCAGCAAGTCGTATGGCTCTTGCTCGATCTTTTCTAAAAACTGGGACAAATGTTCATCGTCTTCACGCCAGAGAAGGCCCGTGACAAACCGCCAGAAGATATCGTAGCGCGTGTTATACTTTTCCTTTCGGAGGAACTCTTCGGGTTGGAGCCGCACTGTACCATTTCTCTTTTCGGATTTGGGATCGAAAAGAATGAGAGGCTTGCCGGATATCCAGTGTCTGGTAAAGTGTCGTGCAGCAAAGAACTCCTGGTAAGTAAGATGGATGAAGTGGTAGGCTCCAGTCTTGTGATGGGAGGCATTCGAAGTGCGCAAAAAGGAGAGTCTGTCGAGAGTGTAGTCATCCACGCTGTGAATGAAAGAGAGATCATCGATCACCCCAGAGCTGCTGATCCTCTGGAGTATAGTGTCGCGGTAATCCTGATCGAATTCAATTGTGTTGCTGTAGAGGCCAGTGAATCCAAGGAGCTCGAGGTATCTCATCTCGTCTCCTATTCGCCCTTCGAGCTGCGAACGATTCCGTAATGCCCAAGCTTGCTTTTCGTTGATGGTTCCGTTTTTGTCCTTGATCTCAAGTTTCAAGATATCTTTCGTCCATAGCTTTTGCTCCATGGCTTGGTAGAGGGCAGTCATGGTCTCGGGTCCACCCTTGGTAAAGTCACCATCCCACGTGTAGCATAATGCGTCAAGCTGAATGGGTATCTGGACCAGCCCTTGAACAAGCTGGTGACTGCCGATAAACTCTCTGATCGCATCTGCTGTGAATTTACTCTGTGTTGTCTTTGTTACGTAGGTTTCTACTTGATCCGGACGGAATCCAATTGTTTCCAATTCCAGATCAAAGCGTGCGAGACCCGTGCCATCGGTTGCATATGGGCGAGAAGTGACGATAGCATTTCTGTGATTCAATAAGCTGCCGAGTGCTTCAATCAGTTGACTTCCACGGGGAGTTTGTGATCCGGAGATCTCGTCAAGGCCGTCGAGTAACAGGAGAGTTCGCTGGTCGGTCCCCTCAAATGCAGTATCGCAGAGTGCCGAAGTCAGGCGCTTTCGCTCATGAATTGGAAAGGCGTATTCTAAATACGTCTGGCGGAGCAAATCCTCCACGTTCGCGTCATCCTTGAGCATCCGCAATGGAATCCAAAGAATACGGTCAAAGAGCCCGTCCCACAATTGGCCCTGGAGAAAATCATGAACGATTTTCTTGCAAAGGGTGGACTTTCCAACCCCTGCACGTCCTCGAATTAGGATCCGCCTCGGCCGGATTGTTGTACCGTCTGAGCTTTCCCGGTCGTTAAATAGCCTGGTCAGGTTTACATTTTTCGCCTTATCGGCTCGCCCAACCTGCAGGCTCTTGAAGAGTGTAAAACAAGAGGGTCCTGGGCCTGGAATTGACACGTCCTCTCCCAGTGATCGCTCTACTAAAGAAAGGTTGATATAACATTGATTTGTGTCGAGGTGCTTCCCGGAAATACGTTTGATTGCAAGGCGATCGTCTCGGGCGTAATATTCGCTGATCGCGCTGTCAGCATCGAAGATCAAGGCTTGTCTGCAATTGCGCCACGCCGCGTCAAGAAGAGCTTTGGGATCGTCATCCAGTCTAATTCTTTCGATCGAGAAGAACGGTATACCGGATTTGAACGAAGTATTCTTCCACCAGCGGAACTTGTGGTGAGGCTGAGGGGTTGCATCCCTCCAGCTTGGTTGACCAAGGGTGTCGCCAATTAACGAAACCCAGTCACGGACACGAGCGGGTGCCTTCTTTTCAGGTATGATGCTGCCGACGAAAGCAACGATTCGCTCCTTCTGGTCCCCATCGCCGGCGTCCCAGGCCTGCTCAAGCTGCGCATACACGCCGCACCAAAGAAGTTCCTGCTCATGGTAATTAACTTGCTGGAGAAAAGCTTTCAACATTTCGAATGCCCCTGATGAGATCATCAAGTTACTGTATCGAAGAGCCCAATACCAGGATTTCTGCGAGGATAGGTCTGCCATGTTTCGTACCAGCTGTTGCAGATCATGGGATGATTCATAAAGGTCCTGAAGAGCATTCACCACGGTTTTGAAGAAAGATAGGAATTCCATTGCATTTGATGTGGCATCGAGAGCTTTTGTTGGATCCATACTCGAAACACCCCCGGCCGTTTTCGCTAATATTTGTATCAAATTCCAACTCTGTCGCTGAAATGTTTCAAAAGGGCCCTCATTATCGGGAACTCCTCGTAGAGCCTGGTATGCGTAGCTGGCAGCTTGAGCCAGGCGAGGATTTTGGTGTTTCGTCATGCCCTCAAGTTGCTGAGACAGAGGTTCGTGAAGTGTCTCTCTGTCAATCCCGGAGACCCTGACGTCGACCATGGCATCTAAAATGATTGACAGTATGCTGGTCACCTGATACTGAACTTCCGGCTCACTTTGTCGCTGGGATTTTTCCAGGCGCATTTGCAGACTTTTGAGGACTGACCCAAGCATATGGGATTCGGCAGATAACGTACACGGAGCATAGCGGAGAACAAATGCGAAGCATGTCAGTAACTCTGGGTCGAGTATTGTGCCGTCAGTTGTGCCACGGATGATTGTATTTGCAAAACTCGTGACGAGATGGCGATACTGATTATCAGTCACGACCGACGACAGCATCGCGGCTTCCCTCCAATACGATTGCGGTTGCGCTTCTGCGAACTTATTGACCATGCCGGCCACCATTGCAAGCATGGCGCCCTTTTCTCTGGAGTCACATTGGGTGAATCTCAAGCGTTGAACGAGCTCCTTGGTTGAAGTCGAGGCGAGCCTTTTCAACGGTGGATAATGAACATCTCCTTTTGCAATAAAATACGGATCGCTTTGACTGGCCATGGCGATTTCGTTTTAATCTCGGTTTTTTTGCCTTTTGGCCGTATGTGCCTTGTGTGAAGAGCTTTCTAATAAAAGCGTTAGCAATGAGCCGTCATTCTTAGGACTGAGATAGTCACTCACGGTCTCCCTGAACTGGCGTATCTAGATTTCCCAGCATGTGTCGAAACAATACAAGGCCGAAAAAAAGCGAGAAAGAGTGGCGGGGCCATGGCTATATATAGATATTTGCAGCAATCCGCGCTCTGTTAGAGCGCACCAACACCCCTGTGTCAAATCTCACACCAATTGGTCGAACAGGAAGCGCCTAAATCCTGCATTGGCGGCAAACGACCAGCCCTAGGGGCGCATTAGAGGGCAGTGATGGAGGATCGCACAGGAGGTATCATGCTATATGAATGAGTGGGAGGGGATGAGAATGGGAAAAGAAGAGAAAAGTCGAGAGAATCAAAAGATAGAGATTCTCCTAAACGGGAAGAGCATCAGCCACACGTCAGTACTGTGGCTAGTGTGTATTACGTGGTTTTCACGAATTATGAATCTGAAACAAAAAGCATATTCTACTCTGTACGTTGAGTGAGAGGGCTTATGGTATAGCTTTAACAGGATGCGTTTTTGTTAATGTACTGGTAAGTCTCGTACGGCCCTTCTTTCTGCATAGAAGACATTTCCGGAGCTGTCGAGCATCAACTGTTTGACTGGCCTGTTGATTTTTTAGTATGCCTACCCTGTGAGCACACAGGTTGTACACGGAGGATAAAACATCTATTTCGGGATGCTGGAGAATGGGTGTCGCTGTTTCTGAACGACCGGCACTCGCCGCATAGTTTTCCGCTCCTCCCTATCCCCATTCGGAAGGCTGCGATTTCATGGACTTCAAGACGGCATTCTCTCCAGCAGGATATAATACGGTCAGATACTTGAAACACGGTGAACAATAAGAGGATACGTGCGGTTTGGATGGCCCTAAAGTCATGCCCTGACCCCAGATGGTGTGACAGGTTCGTCCGGGGATTCTGAACCCGGCCGTCGGAGACATCATACCCCCGGAAACCAAAAACGGCTATTGATCGAGGTACTCCACGGTTCTTGATATATCTGGATTGTCCATTTGAGCATGATCTAGCACAACGGTCATGGACACATCCCGGAAGCTGGAATCGGTCAGCTCCACCGGAAAGCCTCACATAGACTGTCAACTCAATGCAAGCCAAGCCTCGTCGTCAAAATGCATAAAAACAGCATGTTTGGTCGGACCCAGTCATAGCCTCGGCCAGCCAGAGTTCAGATATCAGCTTATATAAGCTCCGCCATTCTCCGAATGGTTTCCCGACAGCTAGCTTAATTTGCTCTTCTCCATCTTTCTCTTTCTCGCTTGATTTCCGGTCATTTTGGAATTTGCCCGGGCCAAATCCCGTCTAGACTTGTCATACTCATGTCTGCGCGCTGGATGGTTGACCACGCCTAGCCGTCGATCGATATATGTCGGGACGGAACGCCCCTCGCTCCAAGAATGGTAGGTCTCCTTTGTTGACCGCGCAGAAATGAATGCGCTCTGACACTCACGGGAACAGGCTGCAGTACCTGCCGTCGTCGAAAGGTGAAATGTGGAGAGGAACGCCCTGTTTGTCAGCGATGCTCCAGTCTGCGCCTCCATTGTGAATGGGGGGTGCCGGTGAAGCGAGGCCGTTCCGTCCAGGTGCGAGACCTGCAGCCAGCTCCTCGGCCGCCATCGCAGCAGGAGGAAATCAGCTTAGATTTTGGGAATCTGGCGCTGTTGTGGGAGCGATCTGCAGCATCAGCGTCGCCTGGACAGCCAACTTCACTGCCAGCCGCTTTGCCGTTTTTTCCTCCCTTTTCGTATCCGACTCCCATCTATCCCTCCGTGACGACGCCGGAGATCGCGTGTGCCAATTCCTTGGTGCTTTCCAAGCAGGACCAGAAGTACTTTCAATACTTTCCATCGTCGTCGCTTGTATTCTATTACATGAAAGCGTGGCAATGGAGCAGCTTCTGTTATCTGTACCAGGGGCCAGCGGCCACGAGCAAGGCGATTATGCGAATGATACTGGCGCTCTCCGCGAGCGACATGCACCGCAAAGGGCTGGACGCTCGTTCACCAGGTCGCCCAACAGCAGAGGACCACGCACGGTATCACTACGGACTGGCGGTCAAGGAGTTTCGGCAAACGCTGGAGACGCCACGGCGACACATTTCGCACGACGAGTTGGAGATGATCTTTGTGACCATGTTCCTGATGGTCATGTATGAATGTCAATTTGGACACCACGTGCGGCATTTGCAGCTGCATCTGCAGGGTGTGCGATCGTTGCTTGAAACTCATCCGGAGTTATTCCAGAACCGCAACGTGGACAATGTGTTTTCCTTGATGGATACTGAGCTGCCTGGCCCAACGTCTCAGGATATCTCTTTTGTCCCAATTCAAATGCTCCTGTGGATGTTATACGTGGATATCAGTGCGCAGCCGATGGGCGCGACAGAGTCACTATACGACTACGTTTTACAGTCGGGCAACGCGGCATTGCAACCGGACCACCTCTACCAGGGCGCACGTCTCTGGGGTCGATGTTTCTGGGGTGATCAATATCCGGAGCAAGAGGTGATGGACGATAACGAGAATTACCGGGGACTGGAGTTGATCCATGTTGGTATGGTCTTACAACATGTAATATGGAGGCTAGCCATGGGGAACCCAGTGGTACCTGGCACGACTTCTGAATCTCTTTTTCAGGAGATGATGGCCATTCGAAATGTAAGTCACTCTTGACTGATTCACGATTCTATATGTACCGATCTAACGAGGCACAGAGATACTCTGATCTCTTCATCACAGCCAAAATGGCCCGCGGCCATTCCGCCTACCGCACGATCAACACAATCCTCATGGCCGTTGCCAATTTCTACGCCGAAGTCCTGTTCCACCGCCGCGTACTGTGCATCGACACGCCACCGTCCCCATTCCAACGGCAAGCGCTAGGACATATTATGGAGATTGCCCAGAAACAATACACCTGGGATCCACGATTGCTGCGACGATTACACTGGCCACTTCTAATGGCCGTTGTCGACACGCCCGACCCCGTCGCACGCGAGTGGCTACAACAACGACTGGCGGAGCTGCGCGCGTCCCATTCAGAGTATTCCTGGGCGAACCGCGTCGCGGACGAGGTATTGGTAGAACAGGATAAAAGTGGAGGATATGTGAATCTGCTTGAGTTTTTGCGCACCCATGTACAATAGATTGTACTACACATTTCAAACGATAATTAGTCGCACTCGGCCGTATTCTCTAGGAAGTACGCATCGTAAGAAACCTCATCTTTGGTCCTAATAGCCCGTCCAACAATCACCCGGTCATTCATCCACTTATACCGGTCACATCCCGTCTCGACTTTGACATGCAGATGGAACCAGTACTGGCTGTGGTGGACCAGTTTGCCTTCCATTAACCTCTGCAGTATTTCTGGGGGGCCGAAGCGAGTTCCCTCGGTACTACTTCTTAGCTCTTTGTGCGGCTTTATTCCACTATCTGGTAAACGTACCGAATTTCCAAATGCGCTTCGTCATCACTCTTGACTAAATACCGCGCATTCACATGTGTAGTGAGATCTTCCTCCGTCCTGAACACAAGCCCATCAATATCAAAACAGCTTCGGAAGAAAAGGGGGAGTACATAGAATCCTCACCACCAACTACCTCGCCAGTGAGAGTACTTGCCACGAACACTGCCACCGACAATCGGGACCCAGCGCCGGCAACCGGATGATACTTGGCCGATGTCCAGTGGCTGCTCGACGGTGCAGTGGACGGTGAAGAGATGAATTAATTTAGGAGGAGGCAAAAGGGGTTCCATTGTGATCGTGGTTATACAGAATGAGAGCAGTAGGTTACAAAACGGTTGAGGAGAATGACTCCGGTGGCGAGGGCTCGACATCATAGCCATTACAGAACAGATACAGAAAACGTTGCTTGATTGTGTACATTTTCAGTTTCAAGGTCACAATTAACATCTCTCAGTGAACTTGCCAATCGTCACCTGTTAAGGACGGCGCGTAGCTTACTCTTCTGGTTGCCATATCCTATATCTTAAGATGAGAGAACTCTGGTGACACCAGCCAATGATTTTTGGTGCCGCCTTGAGGCCTGGTGTTTATAGAACAAGTCAACTTGGCCGTCCATACAACCATATTGTATAAGTTCTCTCGCAAAGTAAACACTCCACCCAAAAGGATGTATTCCCTGACATTTTGCCGTGGCTAAAAGTAGAGTTAGGGAGCGGAGAACCGGTTTTCCGTTCATTTCGACGGCAGCATCGACAATAGACATGCCCTATGATACCGGTTCTGGTCGCAGATCAAGTCCACCTTTGCGCGCTGCAGTCTGGTAAGTCGCAATCGTATGAGGTTATGGGCGAATGTCGGCCAGCGATGGCCTCTCCAAGGCAATATGCGATGAGCCACGGCACTCGTCCCAGCAGAGATATCCAATGTGGCCTTGGGCCGGTGTATATATGGATCTCCATTATGATGTCCTTCAATTGTATTCCCACGAGACTTGGAGACAGCGCTAAGCTTCCACTCAGATTCGGGAACAGAGTCATTTTCCACGCTGACAAGTACCAAGACCGACTTCTGCTATGACAATTATGGACGCAATAGACGTCCGTTGTGTTTCGTTGCAAGGAGTTACTATGCTGGTCTCATCTTTGAGATGAACTCGCCGGCTGAGAACAACCGCAAAGGATATAATCTCCCTGTTAGTTTCTAAAAAAAAACGACAGTATGCGCATCAACAATGACATCCAGTTTGAGGATTTGCCGGGTGAGGGTCAATGCCAGGGAGGATGACCTGATACCGGCGAGTAGAACCCCAAGAGAAGCAAGCGACTGCAGAATCCGCAGAATCCAGTAGACATTCACCAAATAGCTCTCATCGGAGTAGAAGCACGGTTAGTGGGGTAATTACTTATCCGCGGTTAGGACGCACTGCCGACCGGCATCGTGGTAGTTATACTAGCCATGCACCGTATAACACGAACCAGACTCTCCCACCCCAATCTACGCATCCAACACTACACAACAACCCCCAAATACACCATGCGCCTCCCCTACGCCCCTCCCACTGCTCAATCCCCCGAAGATGAGGAAATCTACACCCGCATCGCTGCCCGCCGCCATCCCCGCCCCCTCATCCCACTCGACTTGACGCTTCTTCACGCACCGCCGCTTGCAAACGGGTATAACAGTTTCGTGGGGGCGATTCGCTCCTCAACTGTGCTGGATCAGGGATTGCTTGAATTGGCGATTTCGCGGGTTGCGATTCTTACGAATGCCGTTTATGAGTGGAATGCGCATGCGCCGCTTGCGCTGAAGGGGGGGATTAAGGCGGAGGAGTTGAAAGTTGTAAGGGCGGTGCCGTCTACAATTGGCTCCAAGGAGGCGGTTAAGGCGTTGGGTGAGAGTGCGTTGTCGCCGTTGCAGGGGGCGATCGTGAGGTATACCGATCAATTGACGGTGACGGTGCGGGTGGAGGATGCTGTGTTTGGGGCATTGAGGGAGGAAGGGCTGTCGGATCGGGAGGTTGTTGAGTTGACGACTGGTGTCGCTGGGTATAACTGTGTTAGTCGGATTCTGGTGTCGTTGGATGTGGGCGAGAACAATGACAAGGAGATGAAGAGTGTGGATGAGTTGGTGGCATCTCTATGATTATGATATCATGTATATCTAGTCTATGTCTAATTGAAGACAACCGTTTTATGTCCATTGAGCAAAACTCTGCGCTCCGTCACAGTCTTGACAGCCCGCGCCAATACATTGCTCTCAACCGTACTGCCCGCATGCGTCAACTCCTTGGGACTCATCGCGTGGTTCACGCGCACGACGTCCTGTTCGATGATCGGCCCCTCGTCCAGATCACTCGTAACAAAATGAGCCGTCGCTCCGACAATCTTCACACCGCGGTCGAAAGCCTGATGATACGGTTTCGCGCCCTTGAACGACGGCAAGAAGCTGTGGTGAATGTTGATGATCTTTCCAGACATCACCTCACACAACCGTGGCGACAGCACCTGCATGTATCTTGCCAGCACGACCAAGTCCACATTGTGTTCCTGCACCAGCTCCAACACCCGCTCCTCCTGCTCGCGCTTCGTCTCGGGCGTAACGGGCAGATGCACAAAGGGCACATTGTAGGTCGCCGCCAGCGGCGCGTAGTCGGGATGGTTCGAGACGATCACCGGCACGTGGATGCTCAATTGTCCCGTGGACTGTCGGAAGAGGAGGTCGTTGAGGCAGTGGCCGATCTTGGACACCATGATCAACACGCGGGGTTTCTGCGAGACCGGACAGAGCTGGAAGTCCATGTTGTGCTCCTGGGCGACAGGTTCGAAGGCCTGCTTCAATTGGTCCAGGCTGTTCCTCTCTTTGCCCTTGGAGGCAGGGGCAAAGTGGATGCGCAGGAAGAATCGTTTCGAGGTGGGATCGCCGAATTGCGACGAGTCGACGATGTTGAGGTCATGCTGGGTCAGGAAGCCCGTCACCGAGTGCACGATGCCGGGACGGTCGGGGCACGAGAGGGTCAGGATGTAGTTGTCCATGTTGAATAGCAATTGTTATATAGCAATTGTGTTGAAGGGACAGACCGGTATATATATACAGGGAGAAAAGAATGAAGGGAGAATGACTCACGGGATAATTTCGGGATTTTCGGGTGACTAATGAGCCGATTGATTGATAAGATTAGGGTAGGGCAACATGCCTATTTGGGATGGACTACAGGGGTACTGACTTCATATTGACCAGACGATAATTTCCATACTTAGGCCGCCACACTTCAGCATTCGGTGTTAATTCACTTGCCCCAACCTTCCTTAATCTACTGTCAGCCACGATGAAGCGAATACTAAACCGGATACGCTCATCCAGCAGTATTACTACGGAACCAGACACGATGCTAACTGGCAACCTACGACTGGAGTGGGAGCTGCCCTCCAGACTGAAAGGACAAGATATCAGGGAATTTGTCTTAGTGAGTAGTGTTCTCACATTGAAAGATGGCGTAGTCCACATCGGACGCTGCGAGAATGAAGTTGCCAAGTTCTACGGCTCTGTTGGCTCTCGTGTCCTGTAAGGAGTCATCAGCGCCCTTGACAGTCCGCCTGGCTTGCATAGTATGGTATCCAAATCCAGATGGCTCCGGTTCTGTACTAATTCAATACGAATGCGTAGAAGACACCGAGTTCCAAATAGCAACCTCGCCCAAGTTGCTCAAATGTTCCTATGCCACCATGGATCCCAAATTCCTGTCGACTTTGAAGCTAACACTATCATGGATCTGTCTTCTTAAGCGCAATAAAATCAAGAGCCATATCGCTTTATCCACGGGCCATTGGTTCGGAGACACATTCCGCCTGCATCTGATGGACGTTGTAGACTGGTCTGGCAGCAGCTGGACTAAAACGCTTTGGCCATGCCATGGTTGCCGGTCTGGATTATATCGTCCCCAAAGCCCCATTGCTATCCACAGCCTTCCCAATAGCGCATCAGCTGGCAGGCGTTCATGCCCCGATACATGTTGACGAGGGGTTAATCTACCACGGGGGGGCTTACTGCATTGGTCCCCATCAAGCTGCGCAAGGACGGAAGTATCCTCTGGCACTTCGAGATGAGGTGGAATTTACTGCTCAAAATTTCCGATATCAAGTGCATGAAAAGGCGCTGGTACCAGAGACGGGCCTGGTTCCAGACTGAAGACCTCGAGTTGCTGCAGTCGGCCCCGGCATTGATCAGATGAGTGATCGAGCAGAATAAAGTACCAGGTCCTACGATAGCTCGCATAATGCTTAAGAGGAATACGTATTTTCTGCAAATGCTGAGCAACACCCTGAGCGTGAAGCTATCTTAGGTGTCTCTTACTCAATTAATAATGAATAGTTTGTCGACTCAAGATTCATTCACCTGTATACAATATAGTCGGAACGGAGGAATCCTTGAGCCGGTTTCCTTATTCCCCTTTCTTCTCTCTTCTCCCTACTAACCCTCAACCGCCATCTCTTTCTATCCACCCAGACTTTTTGACGCGTTATACTGTACTCTTTGGTTTACCACTTGATTTGTTCCTACACGAAATCGAGCCTCGTAAGCGGCCTTGCCTTGCTTGACTATACCACGGTCGGGGCACTTCCGAGAGGCCACAGTAAGTAAGTGCATGGGTCTATTCGAATGTCTTCCACCAGGGCTTTGACTGATATTCTGTGGACATGCTGTGAAAAGGATACTATGCTGGAGACATCCAGCATCCAGCTCTACCCAAGTCTACATTCAGTGCAAGAGGGATATCCAGCCAGCATCTAGCTCTATCTCACAAATTGTGAAGAGAGTATTTGGAGACTTAGATCGTGGAACAGTCGACACTGTGCCGTCTCGACTGGCTCTCTGATTGGCCGACCTGAGACTTTGTTCTTCGATCCTTTTGACAGTCTACTTCGTACTAACCTTTCGCCGCTTATGGTAGTTGAATAGTGAGCATATTACCAGGTCGAAATAGTAAGTCCTACCGGCCAGGGTGAGCTCGGCAGAGATTAGCCGATCAGTGAGGCTTTTGTCGAGGAAAGATCCAATGTTGCTATAATCTGGAATAAATTTGTTATTAAGGAAGGGATGAGAGACTTTTGATCTAGATACAGGTAGATATATAACTGTCCGCTGGCCTACATCCACGAGACCAATTGTCTTGAATAATAATGCAACAGATAACGTGTCAAGAAAAAAAATTTCAAATCACCCGAGCTCGTGCCTGCTTCTCTAATCGAACAGATCAAGCGACCACCATTGGCATCTCCGGTTGGCAGCCGGATCATGGGAGATGGTGATGTTGTCCTTGCTCAGACGCACAGTCTTAGCCTGGGAGCCCAATGTGGGAATCGACCGCAGGCCATCGACTGGACTGTTCAGAATGTCATCTTTGGCAAGGGAGAGAATGTAGTCCTGCATGGCAAATGCGATGGTCTGGTTCACGGAGCCGGTGTTTACCAGACTGTAGGATGAGGACTTCTCATTGGGGGTGTAGAAGGTATATCCGGTGTCCTGTGCATGAACCCCCGGCAACACATTGAAGAAGTAGGCATGGGAATCTTCCTTGTAGGCGGATTCCAATGCAGCCGCGTTGCAGTCGACGGTGATATCGCCCATCGTCCGGGCCGCTCTCTGGTAGTTGTTCGTGTACCCCATGGACCCATCAAACACGGGCGGATAAAGAGTCTTGGTGATATAGTCTATGGTAGAGCTATTGGCACGGGTGAGGATGTGTTTCATCAACGTCTCATACTCCTCGTCGGTATGGACCGCTGGCACCAACACCAGTCCCTCGTCCGAATTGTGAGAGATCAACAACTTTACGGAGTGGTCAAACTCGCCGCGACGGAGCAGCGCCTTAGGATCCTCCTTCACGAGACCGCCGTCTGGCGTAGGACCGTAGATGGGCGCAGTGTACGGCTGAGCGACACCGATTGTTTCCGCATTCGCCCGAACAAGAACATCGGAGCGAAGCTTGCGGGCTTCCGCCAGCGACGTGACGTTGGATTGGTCGAGAAATTCTCTGAACGCCTTCTCCTGGTCCTGCAGCGACCTATAGGGGAAATAGCCAGGGGACTGCGGCACGGCCTGGTTGAAGAGGGACGGTGCCTTTCCTCCGTATGCAGTAACGTGGTGCATGATGGAACCGCCGCCTCCAGACTCGCCAAACACGGTGACGCGTGTTTTGTCTCCTCCAAACAAATGTATGTGATCCTGGATCCAGTGCAGGGCAAATCGCTGATCATGAAGTCCGGCGTTGAGCACACCCTCTTCCGCCTGGAACAACTCTCCAGAGAGGAAGCCGAACGCACCCAGTCGATAATTGAGAGCCACGTAGACCACCCCGTCCGAACCACCGGCCTGACTGCGGTTAATAAGGCCCTTGGATGATCCAAAAGAGGTCTTTGACCCGGCAGTGAATCCACCACCTTCATCTCCTCAGCATTTCTGAATCAAAAGGGGAATGGGGCGGGGTTCTTACCGTGGATCCAGACCAAAACCGGCGCCAGCTTTCCATCTTCGCGAGGGCTGTCAAAGATTTTGCGAGGCACTTGGACATCCAAGAACAGGCAGTCCTCCACGCCACCTGAGGAGATCGCCGACATATCGCTGTAGGAGACATTGGGGACATTCCCGGTCTTCAAGTAGTTGTTGGTGGACTGCGAGGTGCGCAACTGCCAGGTGGACGCCCCCTGTGCACAAGTAATTTGCTCCGAGTTGGATTGTATGGCCGACCGGTTGGTCTGGGGTGGCATGGGAGCCTTCCACCGGAGGTCGCCCACCGGCGCAGCGGCATATCGGATGTTGGAGAAGCTGTAATAGCTGTCGGAGCTCTATTGTTCGACATTATTTGGTATCAGCAGGACGAAACAGAAGAGGTCGCAGGAAGAACGCGGGAACCTACATTGCTGGATCCAGTCGCTTGGTAAATTTCGTAGCCCAGATCCACCACGGGCTGTTGATTCACGGTGCAGCCGGCGTTTGCTGCAGCTAATATGCAGCCGACTAGCAAAGATTGTTTAAGGCAGACCATTGCTGGACCAATGACTGTAATCTTTCCACAATGATGTTGATGCAGGTTTTTCTGATACAGAAGCCTCGGCCTTATATATCTACGTAAATATATTTAGTGCGGGTAATGTGAGAGTTACAGGTACATTCATTGCATTCCAGGGGAACCAAAAATAGGGCAAGACCGAATACGGATACGCGTATAGATTGCGGATCTGCACGGGGAGATTCGGGGTCCTCGAATACGCGTATAGAAGGGTTTCTTGGCGCCACCTGCCGATATACCTGTAAGAATACCATTCGGTATACACGGTGGCCTCCATAAATGAAGTTCTACTGCATACGCGTATGGCCGAAAGGCCTGTGTACGGCCGATGGACCTTCACTCTAGGCAGGATGGTCAAACAGTTAAAAAAACCCACTCATGACGCTGGGGCAATTTCAGGGACAAAGAGACCGTCGCGCCGTCCAAGTACAGAGTACCACTCCCTAAATTTAACATTATTTTCACACCCCCAGTCTTCCTTGTCCTTATCACAATATTTTTCCGGTTGTCGTCCGCTTCCAAGCGTTCACCAGCCTTTATTGGGAAACCAGACCTCGTTGGAGCAAAGATCATAGATGTCCAAGCTGAAGAGGTTCACAGTTATTCGGCTACCAGCCTGGGCCCAGGAACCAATGATGGAGGCCGATATACCATTAACTTCTGCAACATCACTGTCACACACACACATCCAGGCTGGAACGACACAATCAACACCCAGGTGTGACTTCCTCTGAGTGGGTGGAATGGCCGCTTCCAGGCGCTGGGCGGTGGCGGGTACAGCACTGGATTTGGTTCAATCTATCTCACATACGCTGTCTCCAAAGGATTCGCATCTGCGTCTACCGATGGAGATGTTGCAGTGGGAGAAGGAGCCATCCCAACAAACCTGTCATGGGCGCTCAGCAACAAGGAGAACGTGAACTGGTTTCTCCTCGAGGACTACGCATCCAAGGCGACAAACGACATGGCTGTCATTGGAAAGCAAGTGACCAAATCATACTACCAAGCAGCCCCCAGCTACTCGTACTTTTCTGGTTGCTCCGGTGGCGGACGCCAGGGTCTCATTATGGCACAAAACTACCCTGACGCTTTCGACGATATTATGGCTAGTTCCCCCGCGATCCATTTGGAGGCTTTTATACCCGCGGGATTTTGGCCCGAACAACTCATGAATCAAAACGGTGTATTCCCACCACCATGCGAAGTCGAAGCCTTCACAGCAGCAGCAGTGAAAAGCTGTGATCGGATGGATGGAGTTGAAGATGGCATAATCAGCTCGCCGAACCTCTGCACCGTTCAGGCCCACGATTTCGTCGGTCAAAACTACACCTGCAATGGAACACAGGAGACCCTATCCGCCGCAGGCGCCAGGATTGTCCAAGCAGCTTGGCCAGGCTCCGGAAAGCACGGCTGGTTCGGGTTGAACAAGGACACAACGCTCAGTTCTTCCTCTATTCCGACGGAATGCAGGGCAAACGGCACTTGTTACTCCACCGGGAGCGAACTGTTCGGCAGCTGGATTTCATATCTCATCGCGAAAGATCCGGACTTTGTGCTCGAAAACATGACCAATTCGAACTTCTTCGATGGCCTGCGCTATTCGACATCTCACTATGCACCGATGCTGGCAGGGGCCAACCCCGACCTTTCAGGTTTCAAAACCAATGGCGGCAAGATGATCGCCTGGCATGGACTGGCCGATGAGGTCATCCCCCACAAAGGATCAGAACAGTATTATGAGGAGGTATTGGAAAAGGACGAGGCCTATGAGTTTTTCCGCTTTTTCGAGGCACCTGGTGTTGGTCACTGCTACGGCGGGCTGGGTCCTGTTCCGAACGACGCACTCGCTCAACTAATGGAATGGGTTGAGAAGGACGTTTCACCTGATACGCTGGCGGCTACAAAGGGCACTTTATAGTAATGCACTTCCGCGATGGTCGGCGTATATAGACAGGATAATGTCTAGTAGGCCTGCTCACCCTCAGACTGTTAAATGCTTCTTCCATCTTCGAGACTTTTTGTGATTTGAAAAAACTTTCGCTGGATATACCAGACAGCAATATGGGCATATTCTCTCCTCCTCATTTGCTCTGGGTTATAATGACGAGTGGGGGAAAACATGTTGACTTCCGTATAACTATGCCGAAGGTCTGATATGTTGGCCGCTCCGACTGACCAATCAAAACAATTGAGCGATTCTCCCGATTAGTCATGGCCAATCAGAGCCCGAGCCTCCCACCTACCCAATGCATACGACTTACTGCTGCTCAAGCATATGCATGGACTGATACAACTAGATGATGATAGGACTGAGGACTATGGTCATGCAGCCAGCATTCTTCAAGCATGGACCAGTGCATACTTGCACTATGCACCTTGCACTGCTTCTGTCTTTTTTGCAATGATTTTGTCACAGGCTGCGCCTGTCGCATAAGCGATATGTCTAGCCAAGCGGAGAGGCTATCAGACGGAGAGGTTATCGGAGGAACTATTTACCTGCACTGCGCACACATGTATTTAGAGCCGCTCGATCGGGCATCCGTCCGATATTTCTTCAACGAAATCTTTTGTGCCAAAGCTAGTCATTAGCATTTCCGGGCCTAGCCCTTAACAGAATATATGTTTCTGTTATTGTATACAACACCACAAAGTAGTAATGGCATCACAAAAACAACTCACCCAGGCAACTCTTTGAGCACAATAAACCTATAAGAGTGCATTTTGAGAGTATTTACTGCATATGCTTAGTGTATTGCTATTTCTTTCTATTTGAAGCCCTATTTTCGTACAAAGTACCGAGTATAGAAAGTGGTGTAGGGGGCCACGACTGCGAAAAAAAAAATATTGATGTAATGGCAATACATACACTGGAAATATTTATAGCATGATTTTAGCATATGCTGAAATGCGACTGGGTGGCAGTTCAGCGTTGGTAGAAAATTCTCTGCGGAGTGTGTCGGTAGAAAAAGTAGTGCTCTACCAACGGTGAGGTAAAATCTCGGGAGAGCTCGGCGTATGTACGCTGAGCTAATTCTACATTCGATGAGCTGAGTCCCGCAGCGGGCATATCAATCAGTTTTCAGCGTATATATGGAAGTCAACACTTTCCCACATGAACGAATCCCGCAGGACAAAACGGCTCACTACATTACCAAGGGAAATAATGAATGGATGAATCTGCATGCAAGGATGGATACAAGCGACATTGGATTTTGGAGATTCATCTCCATGACCACACTCATGGGTTTGGTGGTTTTTGCGAGCAACTCCTGACTGTCGGCTAAGCATAAAGCCTTCTCCAAACATGCCCACAAGGGTTGCTGTCATCCCTACAGAGCCTAATGCCTGCCCAAGGCCCTCCACGACAATTACCAGTCCAACTGTCCACATGATGCGCCCTGGGAAAGACAGCCAAGGATTGGTACCTGAAATCTATTCCCGAAAGTCGGGTAAGGGTGTCAGAGAACGTGCGATCTGTCTGGCAACTGAAAATGAATATATCCGAATGCATTGGGCCTTACACCGCAGAAGATATTTGGAAATTCTATCTTGGGTTGGATTTGTTTCCAGAGCACATAGACCATATGGGAGTTGGAGTGATAGGATCAATACATTAAACGCTCATGCATCTGGTAGTTTGAATCCTGCGTTAAGAAGGATTACCAAAATAATAATTACACATCACTGGTTAACTACCATATACCCATAGGCTTAGCATAAATCGACTCAAAACCCATCGGTGAAACCGCTGGCCTTGTCCTCCTCCTTCCTTTTTTCATTCATCTCAAACCACCATGTGTGCGTTGGATCTGCGTGAAAAGGCGGAGTCTCATCCCATGGCTTAGGTGTCAGAAAGTAGTGGATATTCTTGACACGATCATCTCTCCAGATGGCGTCATGCACACCCTTCCACCGCTTCGTTTTAAGGGCATTGTAAATGTATGGAAGCGGGGCCCAACGGCCTTGGAAAACCTCTGAAAGAAGAGACTGGTCGGCAAAGATCCAATCGGATGTATTAGACGTAGCCAGGCTGTCGGTGATTTTCTTGTATACGCCTTCGCCCGGTCTTGTCACGATAATACCTGTGTTGCACAAGCCAAAGCCTGCTTCGATTGGAGGAGCAATGGTCTGGGCGAGTTCTGGGGTGTCATGCTGGAGGGACCATCCGCAATTGGCCGGTATCCTTTGAGAATTGGCAGGTTAGAATGAGACGAGTTCTTCAAGACGGTGATAATGAAATGCATACCAATCTTTGGGGTAGTGAGGCCTATTGAGCGGATTGCAAACACATGCATGGGTACTACCAAACACGCGATTCCCATTGCCCTCCATTTCTGGTGGATCCAACTCAACATCCATCAACTCATCCATATTGTGAAGCACCATCATGTCGCAGTCCAGGACAACAACATGCTCATATTCGTAAAGTGAAAAGCACACCAGCTTGGTCCAGGCATCATATAAACGTCTGTCCAGGCTCAAATCGGTCGTCATAGATGGCTTGAGGTAGGGAACAGGTTGTTTAAGTATACCGCGGGCTTCAAGAGCTGCATGGGCTTCCTCGGGGAGTGAGTCCGTGTACAGAACGATGAACGGATATTTCGTGCCCACTTTCCGGAGAGAGTATTCGAGGGTCAAAATGCCAGCCAGGTATTCGGTGTTTGTTAAGAGAGAGGCCCATACTAGAAGAGTTTGGAAATTGTAAGAAGAGAATAATTGTAGATAATCTGGACTGTACCTTTTGTGGCGTCTGTGACACGATCACGCTTAGGATCCGTGGACATGGTGCTGGGTCGGGGATGATGTGCCTCTACCTGTCTTTGCTGTGCCTGATGAGCTTTTGCTGTGATCGAATGTGACAAGGCAAGAACAACAAGCTGTCACGACCTTTGCGATGCAGAAAGGGGTTATCTGTGTCTCTGGGAGGGCGTAAAACCACACAACAGTATATCGGACCATAGTTCTTCCAGGATCTTTACCGAAGCTCTTTCACCAGAATGACCACAGATTGGCTGGGAAAATTCAATTTCTATACAAACATCTGCAGACGCTATTAGGCTTCCATACGCACCCTTCCATACGCACCCTTCCATACGCACCCTTCCATACGCACCCTTCCATACACACCCTTCCATACGCACCCTTCCATACGCACCCTTCCATACACACCCTTCCATACGCACCCTTCCATACACACCCTTCCATACGCACCCTTCCATACGCACCAAATTTCAGGGACGTGATGGCATTGTGGTTGTTGTAATTGGTTTTTCTTTTTTTTTTTTTTTTTTTTTTTTTTCTCTGTTTTAGACCTCGGCACCGCCCTTTTTGGCCCATTCAGTGCACAATTCTCCGTAATCTATCACCGAAAGGCGCATATCACCGAGAGGCGCGCCTCTGTATCCCATACAAAATGTGAGATTTCGGTGGCCCATAAGATGGTCTAATTACAGAAATTGCCTACTTTTCCATGGATTTGGGTGGCAACAAACAACAGGAAATGTATGCATATATCGTTCCTTGTCTTGATGGCGAAGACCTGATACTCAGCCTGCCATGGCTCTATCATCAGGGAATCTCCATTGTCACACGCAGTCCCCCAGGCATACCTTCCCTGCGCCTGGCAAATGGTGATTATATCCCTTCATTACAACATGAACCAAAAATGGAGATCCACTGGATTAGTGCTCAATCCTTCAAAGTATGGAATGGGGAGTGTCAAAATGGGCTGCATTTGCAGCAAGCTTCTGAGACATAAGGAGCATCCAGTCTTCAAATTGGGGCTCCTTGCCATCCGTGAGCGTTGGAGGGTCTGGGATCTTGGTCGTCTTACGAGCAGCAGACGCTGAGACATTGGTTGGAGTTGCTTCCTGAGTGCTTGGAATGCTGCCTTGTACCAGCATCTTCACTAGCTGGTTAGCATAGAGGTGTCGGTCCTCCACAACTTCTCTCATTTTCTTCACCAGCTCAGTCTTCTCAAGACGGAGATCTTTCAAATCATCTTTTAAGGATGCAATCTGAGCATCCCGGTCCAGCAGTTCACCTGCGCTCCTCTGGTGTACCCCCAGGAGTTTGGCATACAATGCTCGGGGGTTCGCTCCATATTGCTGATCAAACTCATCATAGCTCAGCTCATGGAGATCATTCATCATCATCCTCTATATAGATGGAGGATCGTCGGTCCGGAGGAGGGATATCGCAGGTGCGAGCCATTTCATTGAGATCTTTGTATCGTTCGGTTCGTTTCAATTGACGTGGCGGTCAATTATCAGGTTCGGTATCAGCTGCAGCTGCAGCTTAACAGTTCGGAGTCGAAGTCGGCGTGGCAATCGGTCAGGCAGTTGGATCAATCAATCAATCAATCAATCAGTCGGTCGGTTGGTCGGTTGGTCGGTTGGTAGTTGGGAACACACTACTATGGTTCCACGATCAGGAGATCGAACCAATAAAGTAGGCGTATGGAAAGAAAAGGCGGGATTCGATATTATGTCACGGGCTCGGATCAGTAGATAATAACGAATTGATATTCCTATCTAAATTAGTGTAGCCATCGACGAGAATATCGAATCCGGGGGAAAGAGAGAAAAGGGAATCTATCTAGAGAAAGAAGGGATTTTATAGGCATTCGTTTGACATCACTAATGTCCTGTCTGGTGTGTGGACGTCGTTTGTCTGTGTCAGTTGTTGACGCAGCGTCGACGTCACGTCGAACCGTCACACCGTTGGTATCTGCTGGCAGGTCATTTATGTCCATGGGTTGGATATGTATCACTGAGACACATGAGATAGCTGATCCATTTACCTTGGTGAATGCATTTGGATCAAGGAGGCGTTTCTCTCGCATCTTTAATCATTCATCATTTGGGTTGTTGGGCATGTCCTGGTTGCAGTGAGAAAGGACATCAGGGGCAAGTACAAGCTTCCCAGGTCATTAGTGGAGGGAGAAGTCAATCTCAAGTATGAATTGCACTGCCCTCGGTACCAGGTCTGGCCGTGTAAGGTAGGCCCGGTAATCCAGCTCCCGCCTTGACCCCTGTGTGAGATGGCGCATTCGGAGCCCTCTATTATTATTCCCCACTGCTTCAGTGATAGTTCGAAAAAAATGAACATGACAAAAAATAATTATTCCCTTTAATTGCCAGAGCATTGGTTGGTGGAGAGGATCAATTTCTTGAAGAAAGCACCCAAGGCCTACATAATTAGTGAGTACTTTGCAAATGATTTGTAACTAGTTACTTACCAGTATACTGTTTAGTATCCACGTCCACAACAATACCATATATTCCAGTGGAATGTATAGAACTAAACTTAATAGCATCACCAGTGACCTTTTGAATAAGAGAGAATACTCTTTTAAACAAGAGATAATAGCCCTCAATTGTTTCCTGATTTGTGAAAACTCGGAAAAGGGTGATAACTATTACAACTAGTCAGTAAGTAGTCAGCTAGTAATTAATTATTAAGTACCTACTTTTTCCATGCTCATGAAGATAAGTTGCAAATACAACTTCATTTATCTCTTTTTCTTGAATTCACTTGTATGACATGTCGACTTCAAAAGAAGATAATTGACCCAAGAGCTGGATTTGCTCTTTAAAAGCACAGAGAATCATTATACCCTCAGTATCAAAATACTTCTCTTGAATGTATTCCTATAATGAGTTGGTAACTAGTTTACAACCAGTTTGCAAGTACTTAGCCTGATAAATGGATTTGTATTATATATATACAAGACCCCATTATAGCCCTGACTAGCTGGGTATGAAAGCGGTCGTTGTTTCTGTATGATGGCGGAAATGCGATCTAGATTTGAAAAAGATGTGTGTATTTCCGCAGGTGGTCAGCCAGCAATGTTTAGAGTGGTGCCGCGCCCAGTCCAAACCACTGAGTTGCAATGGTTGATAAGGCTCTTCCTCAGTAGCTGGAAAACGATCAGAATAATAAGCA